TGGAGGGTCATCCCATCCTTAAACATGCCATCTGTAGGGCGTTTTCCAGTGAACATCTCCAGTAGCAGAACTCCGAAACTGTAGACATCTCCAGGCATGGATGCTTTGCCACCCATGCCATACTCTTAACAAAATGCAACGAAACTCAATCAAACATAGAGATGTTTTGATATACGCAAAAGTGATTTTCTGCTTACTATTTATAAATCCAAAGGTTTCGGCATTTCTATCCATGGAGGGTCAATATAGAGGAAGATGGTGAAGTTATTACCTGGAGGAACATAGCCGACTGTTCCCTTCACTCCTGTTGAGCTGCTTTGATTCGGTGAGCAGTTATCTGGTAAGGCACTTGGTAGAAATTTTGCTAGCCCAAAATCTCCTAGATGAGCTGTCATATCATGATCAAACAGAATGTTGCTCGGCTTTAAATCACCGTGAACTACTGAAGTTTCGCATTGGTTGTGAAGATAGTCGATTGCCAAGGCCATATCAAGGGCTGCATTCAGTCTTTGGACAAGGCTCATAATTCCTCAAATCAGGTCGGACTTCAGACTTTGTTACTTCAGGTTGATCTTCTTTTTGGTGCAACCACTCGTCCAAACTTCCATTGTGCATAAACTCATACACTAGAGCTTTGAAATCGGCACCCTGAAAGTCAATGCTTGAGCATGTGGTGATGATCTTGACGAGATTGCGGGGACGGACACTTCGCAATGCCTCGCATTCTGCAATGAAACTCTTGAAAGCTCCCTTTCGTCTGAGATTGAGTACCTTGACTGCTACCATCATCCTTTCTTCTCCAAGAATTCCTTTGTACACAGAGCCATAACTTCCTTCTCCAATCAAATTCGAAGATGAGAAGTTATTGGTGGCTTGCTGGATCTGAAGATACGAAACTTTTGGAAAGTGTTCTTTGATGGATGGTTCTGAAGATCGTTTCCTTCCAGATTTCCTCGGCCTGGTCAGACTAATCACGAAGCACGCTAAAAGGAGGAAGCACAAAACGGTCTATGGAATCACTAATTTAAGAGTTCTCTGCTTCTTCTTTCTGTGGATTTTGCATGGAGGTAGTCCTAGTTCCTCTGTACCCCCACAGAGGCGGCTGTTCCCAGTAACTGTTATGGCACTGACGTTCCAAAATAACCCATCATGCGGTACTTCTCCTTCGAGGTTATTGAATGATAAGTTTAGATCCTGCAGGAGAGTGAAGTTCTGTAGGTACTTCGGAATTTGACCGGATAACTTGTTCCTTCCTAGGTCAAGAAGGTGAAGGCCTTTTAAAGCACTGAGAGAGGAAGGGATGCTTCCTTCAAAGAGGTTGTTTCCCAGATCAAGACGCTCTAGCATTGTGCATTCCCCCAATGTAGTAGGAATGACTCCCGACAACCTATTGTCAGAAACATCCAATTCTACAAGGTTGCTCATATTACCCAGCTCTTGGGGCAGCGGTCCGTTCAAGAGATTTCTAGCCATATTAAATGAAATGGACATGAAAGGAAAGGTGACGGCCTCTGCTGGTATTGTGCCAGTGAGGTTGTTACTGGACAGGTTAAGTGTTTCGAGTCGTTGACAGCTTCCTATACTAGAAGGTATATTGCCTTGTAAACTATTTTCTTGCAAGAACAGTCTTGTCAACTGGCTAATGTTTCCAAATGAGGGGGGAATTGCTCCAGAGATTTTGTTGTGGGAGAGGTCGACTTCTAATAATTTGTGAAGCTTTCCAATGTTTTCAGGAATTACACCTATAATGAAGTTCCTAGACATATCCAAGCGAGTTATACCTTTCAAGCTTTCTATTCCACTTGGAATTTTGCCAGATATCTGGTTTGATCCCAATAATAGCCATCCGAGCTCACTTGAGAAGTTGGAAACTGAAGGAGGTAATTCACCTTCAAATTAATTCCTGCCTATATCCAATATTTGGAGTCCGCTACAGTTGGTTAAAGAAGTTATAAAACTGAAGCCGTCGTCCTTCAAATTTGTCAACTTGTTCGTAGAGAAAACTAATCTGCCAAGCCTCTCTAAGTTTCCAAGGTTTAGAGGTAGGGTTCCAGAGAAACTATTGTCGGCGAAGTCGAGTTCTACCAGTCCTGTTGCATTGGGTAGCGAAACAGGTATTTTGCCTGTGAAGCTATTTCTTCCAACATAAAGCCCTTCTAGATTAGGAAGAGTGAAGCCAATATCAGGCTGAATTTCACCATGCAGTCTATTGTTTCCCACATCAAGAATTGAGAGAGAAGTAAGATTATAAACTGATGGGGGAATAGTCCCAACGGCAGCGGGAATGGTACCTTGTAGATGGTTATCTGAGATGTCAACTTCAAGCAGTGAACTTAAATTTCCTAACCATTCTGGAAAATTTCCTGTCAGGTTGTTTTCGGGAACTAGAAAACTAATCAGTTTGATTAGCATATTCTTCGGTTCGACTAGGATCTTACCTGTTAACTTGTTGCTTGTCAAATCAATGCCCAGAAGTTCTGAACAAGAAGTCAAATTGATAGGTATCTCTCCCTCAATAGCGTTATAGCTGAGGTTGAGGAACTTAAGTCGGTATAAACGACAAACCTCCGGAGGGATCTGACCCCGGAAGCCATTGCTGGCGAGGTAAAGATATTGGAGGAAGGAGAGATTTCCTATGGATGGTGGTATCGTGCCGACCAACTGATGATCCATTAGGTTCAGAGCGGTGACCCTTTCTTTGTGCCGGCGGCTACATCTTACACCAGTCCAATTACAGAAAGGCAGAGAGTCATTCCACGAGCTCATCACCCTGAATGGATCGTAAGCTATATGGTTCTTGAGGGAGATCAATGCGACTTTGTCGGGTGCATCTTCGGAGTACGCCGCCGTTGCCGGGGAAGACATTTATCTCGGGGGCATCAGCATGCATGTCAGAATGCTCAGAAATATGGGAATGCATGAACTGGTGCAGGCTTGTGAACAAAGTGCTCTCATTGTGAGGAATTACAAGATTGCGATAGAGGAGGAAGTTTAAGGTCTAGTGTGGGACGATGGAATTGCATTGGCATATTGATATTGGATCTGCCAAGGGCATCACAGGGAACTGAAAATAGCGCAATTTCCTCGCATGCGCTGCCCTGACAGCGATAGAAACATCCACATCGGAGACTTGATTGTCTGACTGCAGTTTGATGACTCGGAAAATAACAAAATTTTGCGGGAAATTTTGCTGCCGTCACGTACTGTTCATGTCATTCTAGTACTATCAATCAATGCGCTCCAGGACTTACTAGTCTTAGTCAAATTTGTATGAAAGAGGTGAGGCATGACTTTGCTAGTGTGAATGTGATTAGGTGATACAGGGACCTTTCTTATTACAACTTTATACCGTGTGGAATCAATTGGTTAACAAATCTCAGCCGTTGGATGACGGTAATATACAGTACACTATTCTATCTTAAGAATTTCGTGAGATACGGGACTCGCTCTTATAGAAATTACATTAGGATACATAGTCAATATCATCGCTCTATTCTACACGCTAGAAACAATCGAAAAGCCGTGGCTTCAGCATGTGAGTGACGTGGTCCACCGTTTCGATAGATGGCAACTTAAAAGGTTGCGAATTCTTGTATCTGTCGCATCGTGCTCCGCCAAAAACGAGTCATCGCACCGTGTAAACTGGGATGAGTGAATTATTGCATCACTTGAGGCAATGTTAGATCACACACGGACATGCGAAAGGGGTGGGTGTGGTTATAATCTCCCTACGCTTTCTTCGGTGGTGGTAGTTTAGTCTCCAATCTAGAACTCGTGTAGGAATGAATGACGTGCTTATTTTACGGTCGACCGTCGATTCAAGTTGCTCGGGTCTTCTGAGATATTCTCCATCCACAGTAAGTCAAGATTCCTTTGAAATGCCATGGCACACTGGAGGAACGTGTTTGTTTATTTAAGATTGTCCCCACGGTATTTGTCACTCACTGGAGCTTTTTCGACTAGAATGCGTCCCACTCGCAATTGTGCAGCACTAGGCGGGGCATCGACTTTATTCATGTAAGCCATAGTCAATCCTTTGCTAGGAAAGAATTAAGCAGGCTTTTCCCAAGGAAGAAGGATCTTGTTTCCTCAGTCACCAGTTTCGCACGATTCGTGATGCTTTCCGCTCTTTTCCGAGGCAATTCCTTGCTCGTTTGGTGCCCACTAGATCGGATCAACCACAATCGTCGATCATGCGAGCGCTATATGAGCCGCATATATGGGTGGTACGTGATCGATGGGTGTGATCTGGCCTGGATCTGAATCAAAAGTACCCTTTTTACAAAGATGGACGTAACGGCTTAAAATGACTTCTTTATCTTCTTAGAACTCAGCTTTAAGCATAAACTAGGAAGAGTGAACTTTGAACTGACATGCTCAAGAACGAGCTGAGTTGGCAAAAAATCAAATTCTGTGAAATTTTTTTCAATAATCAACATGCAAATTTCAGTGCTGAGACGAATTTTCGATAATCGAAAGTTTTCCGCATTGCCATTCAAAATGGTTTGGCAATCGTGCTTCGGCATCTGGAAATTGAGAACTGGAGGTGATCAATGTCTCGAGTAAAAGGTATGTTATGCCCTCAAGGATTAGTCTCTCAGTCAGAATAAGGTTCTCATTTTTGCAATAAATATCGTTACTATAGACAAGTAAATATTAGTAAATGTGCAATTCACATGTCCAGGCTATAAGGATGAAGATGCAAAGGGGTGTACTTTTCTGATTGAATAAAGTGGGGTGGTTTATTCAACATTGGATCTCCGAAAGTAAGAAATGAACACGAACGAGCTAAATGCCGAGTTTATTAAGAGCTCAAGGTAGATGAATAATTCTCCTGAGTATGCTTCTTCTTTTGTTAGGATTCTCACGGTTTTTGCCTACTCGGCGGGTGAACAGAGTGGAATACAGTTTGAGATAATTTTTTCGATGACAAAAGAGCATAGTAACTAGCATTTTGATTTCTAAAATGAATTAGTAAGTTTCTGATACTAGTCTATCCATGCAGAATTCAGTAACTCTTTATATGCGCAAGTAATCATCTCTCGACTCTTCCATCAAATTTGCCTTCTGATATGAATAAACTGAGCCGTCGAATATCCTGGTTTAGCTAATGCAAGCACTAGGAAAAATCCTCGTCCACTCCACAGCAACTGGATAGGGATCCATCTCTCTCAGAACTCTCAGAAGACTACAAGAACAAGGTTCATTCATAGAAGGGAAGTCGCCTGTCTGATAACCTCCCTAAGAGAATAATCATCTCTCCCTCCGATGACGAGAAGATAGTTCTCTATCATATGTTGACCTACTATCTGATTCGTGCTTCTTGGATCGACTCTCTTCCTTCCTCTCATAATCGTCTCTTGATCTAGGCTTCGTATCATCGTCATCATGCCGTCTCGATCTCTTTTCTTCTCTCCTGTCGTAATCTTCTCTCCTTCTGGGCTCGTGATCATCATCATACCTTTTAGTCCTTTCTTCTTTCCTGTCCCGGTCTTTCATACCTCGCTCAACATTGTCATTATTCCCGTCCCTCCTGAAGTTCTTATCCTCCCTCCTATCAAACCTCCCTCTTGACTTTTGTTCAAAATCATCAGGATCGTGCCTTCTTGATTTTCTGTGCTCCTCGCCTTCACGGTCTGCCTCCCTCTCCTTAGCAGTGAAACTCGAATCCATACTTCGCGACTTATGGCCATCTCGCGCTCTAGATTCAGGAAGACCGTTGCGTGAGAGACCCCTAGACCTTTTCTCTCCCCTTTCTGGACCATCAAACTTGTCATGACCCCACTGCCCATCCTCATCCTTGGCACCCCAGCCAGTGTTAGCAGCTCTCTGTTAATAGAAGATCACAAAAAACGAATCCGTCAAATGATAGACAGTAAACATGCTTGAAAATACATAGAATTTGCTTCCAAATAGAAAACTCAACACAACACAACAGATAAGTTAACATCTCTACTAGCGTTCTGATTAAATAGACAGATTAATGGTTCCCAGCTTGGCACGAACAGCAGTCACAAAAAGGTGTTTAACATTGTTCAGAATCAGGAGCCCCATAAAAATTTTATCCACCAATGTGTAAATTGCCAACTGAATATATTATATACAGAGAAAATCCATGAACTCTCATAGATATGTATATATATGTTCGATCAGACCGTAACTCGTTAAATTTAAAAACAAGATCATTGCAATTTGACAATCAGAAAAGGAAGGAAGAAAAACCTTTCAACTCAAGCCATCCATTTCCTTGCCTCCTAAACCAAACCAGAAGAAACAAGAAAGACTAGAAAATTCCGATACTTTCTAGCTCCAGCCAGTAAATTTGGTATTGCAGCAAAGGGATCACAAAAGAGATTATACTATCTACATCTTCTCCAGTGAAAAGAAAGTCTGAACCAACAGACTTGAATTCAAGGTGCTTCAAGCGTATTTCCTCGGCCAGATTCCAGAAGAATAAGCATCTCAAGTGCATCCATTATATGTTCCAAGAAAGCATGATAATGGTAACATCAAACTGACATTAAAGCATCTTACTTGCTCATCATGTGAAAATTTGCACCCAGCTCCGCGAGTGCACTCGCCTCTTTGGAAAGCACGGCACACGCCCCGTTCTGCCCTCTTTCTCTGCTCTTCCTCCTCATCCTCTTCTTCCTTCTTCTTATAGCTGCTGACATGGTCTACTCTTATAATTCTACCCAGTACTGATGCTCCATTCAGATTATCTAACCATCAATCAGAATCACGAGAGCTTAAACAATCAGTCTAAACCAAACTCAAGATAACCAGCCAGTAAGCACAACCGTGCATGTACATTGGTGGAGAGAGAGAGAGAGAGAGAGAGAGAGACCAACCTACGGCAAGGTTTGTACTCCGTTGATCCTCGTATGCAATGAATGCAAAGCCTTTTGATTTACCAGTACCCTTGTCTCTAACTAGGTTTACATCGACGATCTCTCCGTACCTTCAGAAACCAATCAGGAGACTAATTAATGAAAAAGAAACGTCAAAATCATTTTCAAAAGCTGTAATGAAGACTAAAAATAAACATGCATGACGTGAATATCTGTATCCATTAATAAGATGATGAGGCAAGAGATCACATTGAAACAGCTTTATCTGGCCCTTGATAAAGGAACTGAAGAAAAGCAAATATCAATCACAGTTCCACTAAAAACTTGATTTCACATATTGCAAGACATCAATTCAAAAAAAATATGATTAAATCTTCAAAAACTGTAAATACTACACTACTTGGGAAACCAAAATATTCGAGGCCCTAGGCTGTCACCAATGCTAAAAAATTTCTCCACTCCACACTCTCCGCAGCCTGGACTGAGTATGCCAACTAATACAAAGAATCGAAACATTGCAGCAGCTGGTGATTTCCCAACCCACACATATCAGAACTCCACATATTAAAGCCTGGAAATCAGCTAAGAATGCAGGACAGATCTATAACATGCGATGTGAAATGTCTAAGTGCTCATGAAAAAAAAAATTAGAGATGATTGGGCAAAATGTCATCATGCAAGTCCGAAATTCTGGTCCTCTCGACACCTCACAAAGTGGCAAAGTCGAGTCATTTACTTGAATTGGGTCGTTTCAAGTCACCTTCTTATCACAGTTTGTAAAAAATAACTAGATTTTCTTGTTCCGTTTCGAAGGTCATCGAGGATCTTTGACTCCACAAAAGAAGCAGCCAAAGTAAGAGGCAAACTTACTGGGCAAAAACCGCGAGGAGATCGCCTTCGGTGAGATCGAAGGGAATGCCGCCGACGAACACGTAAGCAGAGTCCTTGTATTTGGCATGCCACGAGGCTTCGTCCGATATCCCCAAGGCCGCTTCTCTGCTGTTTATCTTCTGGATGCGTTTCACTAAGGTCAGTGGATTCATGTCGCTTCTCTTGCGATGTCTGAGGAACGAGCAGCGGTTCTATCTCCCGCTCTCAGCTCTACGGCCAAATCCTTCACCGTCGAGTTCACTGAATACGCCGATCGAACGAATTGATCACGAGAAGCAGCAAAGCTACAGCGGAACGTAACAGAACACGAAGCGAGGATGAGAAAAAGGACCGACGGACTGCGAGATTCGGATTGAAATGGACTAGAGGACAGCACGATCAGTTCCCCCGGGGGTGGAATTTAGGGTTCGAAATGGGCGCAAAGAAAAAAAGTTGAGGACTTACGGTGCGAGGTTGCCGAGCTGCCGCCGCTAGTAGTGAGGCGCGACGGCCATAAAACCACCGATCTCGGCTCGTGTACGAAGGCCGAACGCGCACCGATTCGGCGGAGGCTCGCGCGCGAGAGAAGGCGGTGCGAGCCAAAAGGAAAGGGGAGAGAAGAGGGAGCTCAGGCTCTCCGACGCGTGACACTTATATGCCTTTAGAAGAGATACGCCAACATTACGGGGTTTAAACATTTCGAGATAAAAGATCAGCAACGAGGAATTATGTGGCGACGGATAACGAAGAAAGAATTTAAGCTCTGTTTATTTTGTAAAAAATAAATAATTTAAAAATAAAAATTCGGATCGTTTGAAGAACAAATAAATAAACACGTTGAAAGTACTAAAATTTGTCGTGCAATTGAATTTTAAAATTTTTAAAAAGTGCGATCAATACGAAAATACAGTTAAGTTCTAAAACTTTCAAAAAGTATAATAAAGTTTTGAAATTTGTTAATATTTTCCTTAGTCAAGTTGGACGAAGTTAAGGGAATGTCTTGATTGTACCAACTTGACAAATTTATTTGAAATTTCTCTCAACTCCAAAGGGATCGTGGATATTTTCAATTAAGAGCGTGCACGAGTAAAGACCTGATTGACCTAGAAATAATTGATAAACGATCTATACTACAGACAAATTTAACTTATTACAACTTTGTTACGATAAAATGAACCATTGAATAACTCATTATGGCTTGTCCACCGCGTTACAACAAATGAATTATGTTCCGACTTGTTAAAGCGCAATGCATTACAAAAAAACACAAAATTGCCACGACAAATCGAATTGTGACGTGACCAAATCAACTTAATTACGATAAACAACATGTCCTTGCGCGATACTACATTTTCTATTCGTATTATAATATAAATGGGTTCAATTACAATGCACTGTACAATTTCTTATGATTAATTCTAACAAACTTACCACCGTCTAGCTTAAACAAGTAACGAACGACCAAAATCCTCGTCCTTTTTGTCACTTCATATACATGTATATATGTGTGTGTACTTTAGAAATTTGATCTCCAATCGAGTTGCATTCGCTTATCTTGTTTGGTCGAAATGGGACGCTCCGGGCCGCAGCCGGTGGAAAGAAGCTGAGGAACCCCGGGGACCTCTAGAGCTGCCCCAGGAGAACGAAGAAGCCGAACGCATTCGGATCGGTCCGGAACGGGGTTCCCGGATCCCCTCGACCCAAGATTTCAAAAGTGAAACCGGAAATTCTTCTCCTCGCCCCGATGGCGGCCGGCCCAAGGAAAGTCTGGGCACCTCCATTTTCAATTTACCGTCACGTGGGCGGGCCTGGGGCCGAGGATGGACCCAACAATTGCGGGTCCGTTTGAAAAACTTGAAAAAAAAAATCCAAGGAGCCGATCCGGCGGGAACAGCCAAAAAAACACGATCGCTTTTTGTTTTTTTTTTTCAATTTTCAATTTTCAATTTTCAATTTCTTTTCACTTCTTCTTCTCGGGGCAGGAAAGCGAAAGACAATGGAAATGGTAATGGCAGGCTTCGGTTTTCTTTGTCATCTTCTTGGGTGCTCGTTTTTTCAGCGATATCATCAACATCATCACGAGGTCGGCCCTCCACTGAGCTGTACCACCAAAAAAAAGTCTCTCTCTCTCTCTCTCTCTCTCTCTCTCTCTCTCTATCCGTACCTAATAATGACGCGACACGCTCACCCTCCTGTTTCCCTCCACTCTCTCTCTCTCTCTCTCTTCTTTTCACTTTGCCGTTCGCTCTCGCTACTTCCAGATTCGGAGACGCGTTTCTCCGTTCGATTCAAGTTCCGATACCGAGCTCCGCCGTCGCGGTCGGCCCGGCGTTTTTCCTCGCTGTACTCCGACAGGATTCTCGTGAGCTCCGTCCTCCATTTTTTACGCTTCTTGTCTCCGGTTTCGCGAGTGCGCATGCCTGTGTGTGTACGAGAGAGAGAGTTGGATGTTGTAAGAAATGCCGTTTTGCGGGATGGGAGAATTGTCCGAGGGCAGGTAATCCGAGCTGTGGGGCTCTCCTCCTATTTGTGCTCCGTTTGGTCAGACAAGCATCGTTGACCGGGCGCTTTAAAGGGTTATGCTATACGTATTTGCCAGCGCGTTCCTTTACTTGTGCTCCTTAGTTATGGTTCTCAGATGATTTTGGTTGTGGACGCTATGATCCGCATGTGTCAGGGTAACCGTGTCATTGCTCGAGCCCGGTTTAGTGTAGACGTCGGTGCCATTCAGATTGGCTTCATCCCACTGCCAAGTGAGCTGCACTTTGTGCATGTTCCTGGCCCCCGGGAGAGCGACGTAGGACCCCTTCCATTTTTACGATACTAAACTGTCAAAAACAATCATATCTACGACGAAAAAACTTCGGCCACCTAATTTCATCCTAATGCAAACGGTGAATTACGCGATGCTTGTTGTTTGAGGGCGAATTCCTTTTTTTTAGATACAGAGATTGAATTATGGATGACCGCACGAGTTTTATGTTGACTGTGGCACCAATGTGGGTAAGTATACTGATTGCACGATATACTGCCTATGCCAGGTAATTTTCTGGAGTGCTCTCTAATGAGAGAAAATGTCTCGTTTGTCTAAGGACATCGATCCGGCATTCCAAGGTGCAGGAACGAAGGGGTATCCTTACAAACAATTTAGTTTTGCAAGTTCCTTACATATAACATGCGCAGTTTCTCCTTACAAATTTACGATATTGCTGATTCGAGGCATTTTGCTGGTTGATTTTCCTTTTCAGTTTGCTCGATTAATACCTATCGGTGTCACTAGTTTCGTCGTTGTAATATAATTCTTCAGGGACACCGGAATTTCTTATTCCACAGATTTGTTTTAATGTCTTGTGATCATGTTTTTCGTTTGAATAGTTGGTATCATCCTTAATGGCGTTATATATTCAGTGGTTTAGAGATCTGGTGCATCGAGAATCTTCACTTAGTTCGCATCCCAAGGGCTTCACATGGGAAATTCTATTCTGGGAGTGCGTACATAGTATTGGAGGTAAGCCTTTTGCCCTCTTGAGCCTGCTCTTCTGCAAGTTATTTCAAATTTTTGACCACTGGCATTGAGGATAGAACAAAGGATGGAACCTAATTTCCTCCTTTCCTTTCAAAGTTTTGAGGACTTAAGCAGCTTTCCCTCGTAGTATGCAAAGTCGTCAAGAAAAAATAATTCCCTTATTTGACTATATACACATATTTATTTTGAAATGCTATACCCCTGCCATGTGCAACTGCAAGAAGCCTGGCATCAACATGGCTATTCATTCATCTTCTTTGTTTGTACATCATGAGATTGACAGTTCAATTTCCCCCCTTCATTCGAGACAGACAGTTGTGGGAAAGAGTGGCTCTCCTCAGCATAGCATTCACTACTGGCTAGGAACCGACGTTAAGGAGGTACTACTAACTTTCTTACGTGTCGAAAGTTTCAGAAACCTCACTTTTGGTTTTTTATTACCATGTGCTGGTAGAGAAATTTAGGGTGCATAGAAGAAATGCCAATCACCCTTAAAGGTCATGAAAGTATGATATTTTGAGTAGGCCAGCTGTTTTCCCCTGCCTTTTTCCAAGTGAAAGAGAAGAGGTTGTGTGAATGTGAGAGGAACTGCTCCGAAACTCCACGACCTGGTCTGTGGGCTATAACCATCTCTAGAAGTGGGGAATGACGGGAAAGTATCTGAGTTCATGTACCTCTACTATATGGCACTGTTAGAAGATGCACGTGCAAACCAAAAACAGGCGTAGTTTTTCCGTTCTCATATCCCTGTTTTGTGTCATGTTTTTCCTTACAACTTTGCAGGATGATCTGGCTCTGGCATCAGATAAAGCCCTTGAATTAGATGAAGCCCTAGGGTCTTGTGCTGTGCAATATAGGGAAGTTCAAGGCCAAGAAACAGAGAAGTTCTTGTCCTTCTTCAAACCGTGCATTATACCCATCGAAGGAGTGTACAAGTCAGAAACAGGAATTTCGAATGGGGAAAAGTACTGCATCAGCTTGTTTGCATGCAAGGGAGAGCATGTTGTTCATGTTAAAGAGGTAAGCTCTGTTGAAATTGGTGAACAGTTACAGTAAAATTCTCGGTAGCTGCACTGGCCTAAGATTTAAGTCATTCTTCTTCATTTGATGAGAAATAAGCTACAGCAAAAACTAGTAGTGTTATGTTATAAAAGAGATGTCCTTGGAAAATGACAGCTAGAATATCCCAAGGGCCATGTAAATTATCTAGCGTATTAGGTGATAGTATGCTCACAATAAGGGACTAGTGGGACATGGACAGTAGAAGAATTGACCAATTTTGATTGTTGCAGGATTTTACCGTCATGTTTCATCCTGGGTAGATGCAAATATTCTCCGATGTGCAGTGCACTCTAGTGTTGAATTTATGCTTCCATTGTGTGCAGTGACCATTGACCCGTATATACTCTTAAGTTAAGAACTCTCTCTTGGTTCACTTTTTGAGCAGGTTGCATTTGGTCGGTCATCCTTGAATCACTATGATGTGTTTATATTGGACACCGCTTCAAAAATATTTCTTTTCAGTGGGTGCAACTCTAGCATACAAGAACGAGCTAGAGCTCTGGAAGTTGTTCACTACATTAAAGAAAATAAGCATCATGGAAACTGTGAGGTGGCAACCATAGGTTAGATCTACTTACTATCTCTCTCTCTCTCTCTCTCTCTCTCTCTCACAGAATGATCTGCCAGCATGAGCTGATTTAATGCTGCAGAGGATGGGAAGTTTGTTGGTGATGCTGACGTCGGCGAGTTCTGGAGTTTCTTTGGTGGCTATGCTCCTATTCCTCGAGATTCACCATCTGCATTCCAGAAGCAGGAAATTGTTCAATCTGTAAAATTATTCAGGTGACTAGTGCAATAATGTTGAAAATATTTTGCCATGACTGATTTCTGCTCTTGTATATTTGGTTCAAATAATAGCGCAAAATCTGTAACTGAGAGCAATAGTATAAGAATCATCTGAATTTACTAGCTAAGTGTGCAAACAATTTCTGCTTAAGTACTCAGTCATTTTGAGCTTTTAGTCTTCATGAAGGATGAGATGAATTAATTTGAACAAAATGGAAGTCATGTGTAGGTTGGGCCATAACTACAAAGTAGATAGCATGAGCATGCTAAGAAGGAGATATCCTTATCCATATGTTCATAAAATCCACTGAAATAAAAATATACATGTAAAGTGTTGTAATTTGAAGCAGATTGCTGTAATGGGAATATCTTATGTGAATTATCATTAAGTATGAAAAGAAACATAGAGATATACATATGTGGGCAAAAAGCATACCGTTGCGTCATCTGCACTAAATTATTTGTGATTGTCATTCTTGTCATTTTTAACTCCCTACGTGGTGCTCATGCATCCTAGTGCAGGATAATGACTCGGGGGAAACTATTTGAAGTAGCAAAGGAGCTATTGAGCCAAGAATTGCTCGACACAGATAAGTGCTATTTGTTGGACTGTCACACCGAGATTTTTGTATGGATGGGCAGGTGCACCTCAATGATGGAACGGAAGTCATCGATTTCAGCTACAGAAGTTAGTCTCTAAGTCTGATTCCAACCCCCCCCCCCCCCCCTCCAAAACAAAAAAGAAAAGAAAAAAAAAATCTCTGGAAGCTATAGAAATCTGAAATTTGACGAGTGCAGATGAAAATTCAAAATGGACTTAGGATTAAAAATATAAGACGCTTTGATTTCTTGTGCATAAAACTTCCAAATAATCAGATTTCTAGTTGTATCTTCCATTCCCTCATACCAACCTAATCATCGCACCATTGATCAGCTGATATATTTGATCAATTTAAAGTAAAATTCCTTTAGCAAGCCAGGGCTGTTCTTCAGACAGAAACTCTTTTGGTTGGGAAACTACTAAAAGATGCTTGCTAACAATTATCCCCATATTTTTTGTGCTGAGGCAACTCATCTGTGAATGCGTGTTTTAGGATTTTCTCCAAAATGAGGGCAGATCAACAAGGACTCATGTGACCTTATTAACTGAAGGATTAGAAACTGCCAGGTTCAAGTCACACTTTGTAAATTGGCCTAAGAAAGAGGAACTGAAGTTGTATGAAGAAGGTCGAGGGAAAGTAGCAGGTTAAGTACCTGATGAAAGAAATTGTTTTGCAGAAGCATTCAAGCTCTTCAGATATACCAACCTTTACTCTAATTTTTCCTGTTCAGCAATGTTCAAGCAACACGGTTATGATGTAAAGGAGCTTTTAGAAGATGACCATGAGCCACTTCTAAACTGCAGAGGGACAATTAAAGTAAGTTTTGGGTTTAGAAAAGCTTGACTGCCCCTGTTGATTGTGAACACAAACTTGACATGGTTCAACATGTTTTCTTTCAATGACCTTTTCTGTTGCTGTATACTTCAGGTCCTGCAGGTCAATAGCGGTGAGGCATCCCTTATTCCGCTTCCAGATCAGTCAAAACTTTTCAGTGGTGATTGCTATATTGTGCAGTACACTTACCCTGGAAAAGGAAGGGACGAGAATCTATTCTATGCTTGGTTTGGGCGTGCTAGTCAATTGGTGAGCATTTTTTTGCTTAACTTTTGGTGTTAGAGACTGTCTCATCCTTTATTTGAAGTTTCTATACAAGAGCTTTTGTTCTCTGTCCTTAAGTACAAATAACGTACCTTTACTTCCTGAATTAACTGTTTCTGCTGCTTGTAGGAGGATAGAGTTGATGCTCTTTCTCATATGTATGCCATTGCTGATTCAACCAGGGGGTTTCCAACTTTGGTTAGTTTTAATTCTTCATTCTCGCATCCTTAGCCTCTGTTTGGGAAGATGGGAAAAATGCGGGGAATGAAAGTGGACTAAAAATATAGGAGAAATTGTCAAATTTATGTGATGTGAGGTGGAGGGAAATTCAAATATTAGCCAGATTTACCTCTCCCACCAATCTACTTTATATAGTACCCTTAATGAATATGGATTTTGAGCCTTTCGTAAAGTATCACAAGTTTCACGACCCCCAGATTTGGATCAGTTCTTACATAGTTCTTTTAGGTCATGTATTCACCTCTAACTTGCTTTTATGTGACAGGCTCAGGTTTATCAGGATAATGAGCCAGAACAATTTTTCTCGATTTTCCAAACATTAATTGTTTTCAAGGTTAGGACACCTGTGTCTTTTATATTGTTAGATTGCATAATACATTCTTTGAGGTTGGCTTTCTATATAAGCTATAATCATCAGTTTCTGTTATTGACCTGTTGGCTTTTCACTAGGGAGGTAAAAGTTCAAGGTATAGGAAGCTAATAGCTGAAACAGGCATGCCTGATGAAACTTTTGATGAGACAAAGACAGCACTATTCCGTGTCCAAGGAAAGAATCCAAATAACATGCAAGCCATCCAAGTTGATCAGGTAAATTTAATCTTTTGAAGTTTTCTGATGGCGTCAGAGACCAGTTTCCTGTAATCCATGCCTTTAGTGCTCTTTTGAAATATATATATCGAATAACATGCAAGCCATCCAAGTTGATCAGGTAAATTTAATCCTTTGAAGTTTTCTGATGGCGTCAGAGACTAGTTCATGTAGTCGATGCCTGTAGTGTGATGAGGGGTATGCCCGTTCTTTAAATGTGTGTGTGTGTGTATTTCTGTCTTCCTTGCAAACAAACATTTATATGTATAGCGAAAATAATGGTAAATGTAAAGTATATGATGCTCCTTTCTTTTAACAGCAGGTTCTCTAACATTCCGCATACACTTCTGAAGCATGAGAGCTTGTGATTGCTGCATCCTGTTAATGTATTCAATTACCTACCATGTCTAAGATTTCACTGCTTCCTTTTTTTTTTTTTTTTTTTTTCTGTTTTTATGATTGGCTCTGTAAAAGCAGCAGTTATGTGAAAATAATGTTATACAACTTAACCTAATATTGTGCAATGATTTTGGCTCTCTTTTTTCTTTTGGTTTCGTCTTTAAATTTACTTTCTGAATTGAGGATACACAAACAAATTGATCTTGCTTTTGAATGTGGACTGCAATGGAATTGTGATTTTCTTTAAGATTCGTGTATGTGTCATATCCAGGCCTCTTGGCCCTCATATTGATCATTAGTTACTTTTCTTTTGTAATTTAGTACATGAAGCTGCATTTGATCTTGTTTTGTGAGTGTTATGTATTGATGACATGTGCCTTAGCAGGTTTCAAGCTCCCTCAATTCATCTTATTGTTACATCCTCCAGACTGGATTTTCTGTCTTCGCTTGGATTGGAAATTTATCTTCAACTGAAGATCATGAACTCCTAGACCGAATGATTGAAATCATAAATGTAGGCAGATGTTCTTTCTGTGTTCTCTGATGCTCAAATAATGCTAGTTAAGACATGCTCTCTTCCATTTATACTGCTTTCATTTGCAGCCCACATGGCAACCTGTGTCTATAAGGGAAGGAAGTGAACCAGATATATTTTGGCAAGCATTAGGGGGAAAGACTGAATATCCAAGGGAAAAAAAGGTGAAGCAATACATAGAAGATCCACACTTGTTCGCAGTGACTCTAATTGAGGGTAGGCAGCGCATTGTTCTCTCATTTCTTGTAAAGATAAAGTAGAAAAGCTATTCAGATGATTATCCTGGCATTGGCTGTCATGTCTAATTGCATTTATGGTTCTGGGCTGCTTGGACGCAAAATCTCCTCGCAGGTGATATCAAGGTATGCAAGCTGTATGTCTCTAAAAATGTGTAATCTATTAAATAGTTCATTGAGCCATTTCCCTTCTTAGATTATGTATTTTGCACATGAAACCTCATTAAAGAAAAAGAAGAAAGTAAAGAAAAATTGTTTTACAGATTACATTAGAGACTTTGGTCTTTAGGCCTTTGGGTAATCATCTCTGGTTCCTATCTGAACACAACCTGATTAATTATATCAACCACAACTTGTCAGTTTATGAGTTCAATGATGACCTAAAGGAAATTGCAACTGGTCCTGCGAACTCATCTAGCTTCAGAAACTATCAGAATCAGATATTAATATCTATTTGAAAATGATAAAAGGTGCAGCTGACAGCTCTATTGTGGGAACCAAATAACTGAAGCTTAAACAATGAACAAGTTGTTTTTCTTTGATTAGTGTAATATTCTTAAACGTGTTTGACATATTAATTAGAGATCTTTGCATCTTAGAAGCTAGACACCCTTACTACGTGGCTTTTGAGTTGGAGCACGACATATCCAAATTCAATATTGGCATATTTTGGAGTACATTATTCTATGGTATTTTCCGATACTCTTTCAGAGCTTGAAGGATATTTTCAAGTTCTGGCCAGTGGCTGCTAAGTGAATAAACAAATACAAAATAAGTATTTCATTTGTAGTTATGACTTATTATCAGAACACGGTAGGAAAAATATTCGGAAATCGCTGCTACATATATAGTCGAGAAAATCTCATAGGTGACATTTTCTCCTGAAGATCAGAGCATCTTAGGTTGCCTAGGAAATTTCTAGGTGAGCCAGCAGATGCCAAAATGATTATGTGATTTTCATTCTAGTTAAACATTGATTTTAATTTTCGCAGAAAGATAGAATTGCTTTATCTTGACACACACAGATTCTGTTAACATTGTGAATAACCTTCAATTTGCACTTTCTACTTCAGCTAAAAGAAATATACAACTTCGCACAAGGTGATTTGACCACTGAGGATGTTCTCATATTGGACTGCCAAAGTGAACTTTATGTTTGGATTGGGCGCCTGTCTAGTGTTACATCAAAAGAAGAAGCTCATACTCTTGGCCAGGTTTGCTGCTTCGTAATTACTTTCTTGCAGATAATCTCAACTGTAACGTTATTTAGTTGTAATGTGTTAGGCCCATGTTCACCATGGTGCATTCTGCCAACTAATTGGATTTCTAGCTTTCATACATTGATTCATTATGTTGAGAAACTGCTGCGCAATTCAGCCTAGATGTAACTGGTTGTGACAGTGCTTTTGGATTGTGTAATTCGTATCTTGCTTTTGTGCTTCTAGCACATTGGAAGGACTCCAAGATTATGACTTGTTTTCTATAGTAATGGCATATTGCATGTTCTGGTTCTTTTCATCACCAGCCTCTCACTTGGAAATGGCAGAAATTTCTTGAGATGGACATTTTGTCTGAAGGACTTCGTCAGGAGACTCCGATGTACATGGTTGTTGAAGGACAGGAGCCTCCATTCTTCACTCGCTACTTCTCATGGGATCCGTCACAAGCAAATGTTGGTGATTTTGTCACATTAGAAAACTCAACTTTTTCATCATAAGATGTTCATAGTCGCTTTCCAGCTTTTAACTAATGTCTTCCATAGATGCATGGCAACTCATTTGAGCGGAAACTTGCTCTACTCAAGCGTGGATCACAACATTCTGAAGTACGTCTGTTACGAGACCTGTTGCAATTTATGCTGCCTGCAACTTTTTGTATGCGCAAATTGTTCTTTCTCTGGAGCAGGAACTAAATACAAGAATAACGACGCTGTTTTTAAAGCTGGGATTACTTGCAATTAGCTAATATAGCTTGGGGCATTAATCAGCTTAAGGAAATCACTGAAGCTTACAGACTATGCTTGACAAAGAATAGTCTTCAAATTCTGTGCCAACAGTTGCAGTTGAGAGTTTCATTTCCATCGATTCTTCTACATTGTATAGGTATCTGTGAGAAATTCATGGCCTGCAGGCTCCAGAGGGGGCACCCTGGAAGGTTCTAGAAGAAATTCAATCAGTTCTAATGGGCGGGGGAAAAGTGCATCGCCTCCTCTTAATGTTCTAGGTACTAAAAGTTGGGCTTCAGAAAACCAGCTTCCTCACAGCCCTAGTCCAGTTGAGGTGAAGCTGTTCACAGGATCTTCTCCTCAGAATGGAAGTTCTGGTACTTAAAAGCTTCGGCACCCTCTGCATCATGAAGCTTAGTAGTAGCTATACTTTTTGAAGTACATGACAGCGCATCAATTGTGACGTAGTCCAAGAAAGGATCATGAATATGCATTTTACTAAAGATTAATAGATATTCACTAAATGAAAGGAAAGAAAAGGCCTTAACCTGTCCATGACCTGCCATGAGTTTAGATGGATCCCTCTTAATGATTTTTGACCTATTAACTCCCACCAGAAGTGAATGCTTATGACCCTTTAATCACTTGATCTGATAATCTTTATCCAAGTGGTCTCTTCACTGTGATTTCAAATCGCCCACTTGCAATATTTAGAGTATGCAATATTTAGAGCTGGGCCAGATTTACTTCTTCTTTTTCCGCATTTTCATTAGTTGGAACTGGAATCTACTTGTTTTTGTCCCTTTGTTTTTTTTAAGTATTGATAAGCTTCTCCACATGTCTGGGCAGATGATTCATCGGCATTTGCTTGGTCTCCTGCATTACAGCCAATGGTGCCTCCTGACAATGTTAGTGCTGACCAGGTTGAAGGAAGTGATGCTTCCAACAATTTGTCAATATACCCATATGAACGACTGAAAGTGAGATCAATGGACCCAGTTACGGGCATTGATATCACAAGAAGAGAGGTATAGTCTGCCCTACGCAATGGCACAAAAACAGTTAATCCATTGTCACCTCTATCCTACTTTCTTATTCTTGACCAAGCTATAAGATACAGAAGTTTTGCTCCTCAATTTAGTTCCTTTGGGCTGGAGCTATTATTAAACTTATTGGCCTTTTGGGCATTCACTCGGATGCTCTGTTTTGAGAAATTAAACATAGTTTCACAACTGTTGTGATTTTCTGTCTGTATCATCTGAAACATGACAATATCCTATCAGGAGCAGTTATTCGTGTCTCTACTACTCTCAATCTCATGGCTTGACACGTCGGTTTTCTAATATCTATGTCGTTTTGCTATTATGTATGAATCAATCTAGTCTGAGAACTGAAGCATGGTCATCTTTCTGGTGATTTTCAGGCATATTTATCTGAAGACGAGTTTCGAGAGATATTTGGAATCACGAAACAGGCTTTCTATCAGCTTCCTAAGTGGAGACAAAATAAGCTGAAAATGTCTCTCCATCTGTTTTAGACAGCAAACATTAGATGCGCCCTTTGCAGGTCTTCTAACTGTTGCAGATATAACGGAGTATATTTCTGATATGAGTGGTGGGGCTGCTTCCAGGTTATAGTATCAAATGGTTCACTCATTTGAGTCTGGAATTAAGCTTGAGGATCAATGTGTCATGAACATTTAATGGTCCCTATGTAGTTGAATGTTGGATGGAAGAGCCTCTCATTTACTTTTAGGTGACACTAGCAGGGGACAGTTAGTTGAGATCGACATGAAAGGCAGATTTTCTTATGCCGTCGAAATATTCTTTTCTTTTTGCAGTACATTAGAGGATTATAACCTGAGATGCTGAATTGTTTGGCCCACAGATTTGTCTAATTAGATGAATTAACTATGGATGGAGAACGATGTTGGTCCTGATTGGTTTGGTGTTTACTTCTCTTAATAATTTTTAATCTGCCGAGATAAGCCCTCCTTAGCATGGTTATCTTTTTAAGACTTTAATATCCGAAACGATGTGTTGCATTCTTTTGGTCTTGACTCAACAACCGTGTCCTTTTATTGGTACATATTGGAGGGATTGTGATTGGTGATGCTGGATTGCTCCATTTTGGGTTCCAGTTCAGAGATGAAGCTTTTGAATGCCAAGAGCAGCTGAAAGACACTGATATCAAACAAGAGATCCCGAGCTGCAAACTTCACGGCAAGTCCCAATTAAGGTGCGAGGGTCCTGCATGCATTTCGTCATCCATGACATGACATTTGATGTGGAATTTTACGAAACCCTGGCAGTGAACTCGCACGATTGTAAAAGAGATCAGGACATAGGCTAAAGCTGGACCATAAGCGTCTTTCTCAGATGCTGTTGCTTGACGTGCACGATTCCTTTCATCTCTTATGGCTCCATCCGGGAGCTAGATTTTTGAATGCTTATGTTGTAACTGTGTTGTTACCAAGCAGTACCAGAGAAGAAGAAATTGACTCCAATGACTTGGCCAGTTTTTCGTGGTTGTACCACCATGCCTATGGGTGTGCCCTATCTTCTTCTCCACTTGAACCATAACCTGGAACTGGGAGGAAGACTTTTATATAGACCTAGACCCGACATCCGCATACGGCGCATGCTAGTGGTTGTCGTATCTGACAAGCAATGAGGATCGCATGTGAGACACTCCTCAATTTTAAACAAATTGCGTACTGGACAAACCTTCCCCAATCACTGGCGCAGTGTTTTTGACTTTTGATTTGGTAGGGGAATCATTCTAGTTCCCAAGGAAAAGCATCCCCCAGAATATGCTCCCCCCGAAATACGATCTTTCTGCTTTCAAGTTGGGGGGCTCCATCCCGAGCAAAAATTGGCCCACCTTCTCCGTCACCGTCCAACTCCTACGGTCCAGATCTTGCTGCGTCATCACAGCTTTATCTTCAGCTCAGCTCCCCCGGCGACCGTGACGTGGCCTTCTTTTTCTGCGCCAAATTAATGTGGAGCGTGCCGTGCGAAGAAGAAGAGAAAAATCGCAAGGAAAGGAACATGGTTTTGTCAGCAGAGTGTGGGGCCCAGTTGTTGCACCAACTGCCACGTGTCACTTTGAAATTGACTTTTCCGATGAGTGCAGTTTGTATTCTTGTCGTCTACGTTATAAAAGTTCTTGGCCCGGACGCCCTTTCATTATTCCTCGGCCGGCGATACGATCGCCTGTACCTTTTTCCCTTGTTCCATTTCCCTTCGTTTCTCCGTTGGTCGGAAGTATGAGGTCCCTGCGGCGATCGGCGCTCGCCCCGCTGTTCTTCCTCTTCCTCGTCGCCTCCTCCCAGTCTCTCCACCTGAATCGCCAGAGGAAGCACAAGATCGATGGGCCCATCAAAACCCTCGTCGTCATCGTCATGGAGAACCGCTCCTTTGACCACCTCCTGGGGTGGCTCAAGTCCACCCGGCCCGACATCGACGGCCTGACGGGCCAGGAGTCGAATCCCCTCAACGTGTCGGACCCGAGCTCGCCCTCCGTCCGGGTCACCGACGACGCCGTCTTCGTCGATTGGGACCCGGGGCACTCCTTCCAGGCGATCCGGGAGCAGATATTCGGGTCCAACGACAGCTCCTCCGACCCGAACATGAACGGGTTCGCGCAGCAGGCGGAGAGCATGGAGGAGGGCAAGTCCAGGACCGTCATGAGCGGGTTCAAGCCCCACCTCCTGCCGGTTTACACCGAGCTGGCGAACGAGTTCGCGGTGTTCGACCGGTGGTTCGCTTCCATGCCGTCCTCGACCCAGCCGAACCGGTTCTACGTGCACTCGGCGACCTCTCATGGCGCCACCAGCAATGTCCGCAAGGACTTGGTTCACGGGTTCCCTCAAAAGACGATATTTGATTCTCTGGACGAGAATGGGCTCAGCTTTGGGATATATTACCAGAATATCCCCGCTACCCTGTTCTTCAGCGGCCTGAGGAAGCTGAAGCACGTAACCAAGTTCCATAGCTACTCGTTGAAGTTCAAATCGCACGCCAAATTGGGCAAGTTGCCTAATTACGTGGTGGTGGAGCAACGTTACTTCGATATGAATGTCTTTCCGGCGAACGATGATCACCCGTCGCACGACGTGGCGCTCGGACAGAGGTTCGTGAAGGAGGTGTACGAGACGCTGAGGGCGAGCCCGCAGTGGAAAGAGATGGCCCTGTTGATTACTTATGATGAGCACGGCGGGTTCTATGATCACGTGCCCACGCCGGTCTCTCACGTGCCTAGCCCCGACGGCATCGTCGGGCCCGACCCGTTTTACTTCCATTTCGACCGGCTGGGCATTCGGGTCCCGACAATATTGGTCTCTCCGTGGGTCGACAAGGGTACTGGTGAGTTTTCGTGACTGGAGTTGCTTCGGCGTTCGTTCTGTGTGGCGGAATCAGGAATGTGGTGTTGGTTTTCTTTTCATTGAAAGATGAGCTCTTGTGGATTATATGTTGCTTGAGGCGTTAGTTAAAGAACTTTAATCAATACCATAAAAAAAGATTTTAATCAAAAGCTTAAGCAATCCCGTGGAAGAGAAGACAGGTATACAAGATCTACTGAGACTTCATTTTTGAGCAAAAGTGGATGAGATGCTGAATAGCTCATTGTTTGTCCTGAACAGATGTTGTTGGATTTATGTCATCCTCACTTTTCATGTTGCCTATTCTTTGTAATTGACCTCGGATTTTGGTCTTCATGAGCTGGTTCTGATCATAACAGCTTGACCTTCAGTGATCATCCCGAGCCTCTCTGATCTATATTGATGCTCAGGGTCATTTCGATGGTGTCATTTCAAGATTGTGTGGTAGTTATGTACTTGTTTCCACCATAGATAGCTGAACTGTAATAGAACTAGTAATTGTTGCTGAAGCATGTTATTTGGTTTTTGCATAGTTGCAGTGTTGGAGTTGAATCTTTATCGCTGTACTCAGGGGTTTGTAAATTGCAACAGTGCTCTGAAAATATTTGCCTTTTCTTTTCACGAGGCTTGAGTGAGGATGATGTGTGATTCGATGAGTAAGTTTGCACATCACATAATTAAGTAACTTTAGCTACGAGCTCCCTTGGGTGAGAACTGTCTGGTTAAGCTGCATATCTCCTTTGAGACTGCCAAGATTGAACTTGATCATGCAATGTTAGATTGTTCGACTTTTTTTTTCTCTATGTTGGAGTTTTGCTCCTTTGAGGATTTGAATTAATTGTTTGGTGGTTGGTGCAGTGATACATGAGCCTCAGGGGCCGACAGCACATTCACAGTTTGAACACTCATCCATCCCTGCAACTGTCAAGAAGCTTTTCAATCTTAAGTCAAACTTCTTGACAAAGAGAGATGCATGGGCTGGCACGTTTGAGAGGTACTTCTACCTGCGTGACACTCCGCGAGACGATTGTCCAGGTATGTTTTATTTCCTTTGCTCGTAGTTCTTTGAGTGGATCGCACATCTGTCACAAGCATGATTTTATTTCTTTTTCAGATTTTGTTGGCTATTCCATATTTCCACGTCTCTTAGAGAACAGCTTTTACACATTTTTTAGCATGCTTAACCAGAAGATAATGCAACTCCATTCAGCCCTTTTCTATTGCATCTTAAGATACCTATGTCCACTGGCTTTCTACTTTAATTAGTTGTTGCTCTTAGGACTGTGAGTTGCTCATGTAAGTGACATTCCTAGATGATTGTTGTAATAAGAAAAGAGTTTCAGCTTTGAGGCTATTCTTTGTATTTCTTGGGAATAAGCCTTTGTCACATCCTGACAGTCCATTGTAAAACTGTACTTGTGATGTTCTTATTTCGAGAGAACAAATGATCGAAGGCCGATCTAACCCGGACTTATCTATGCAGAAACCCTTCCAGAGGTTACCACACAACTTCGGCCATTTGGGCCAAGGGAAGATGCTAAACTCTCCGAGTTCCAAGTTGAAATGATCCAACTCGCGCAACAGCTGAACGGCGACTACGTGCTTAACACCTATCCGGACCTTGGCAAAACCATGACAGTACGCCGAGCCAACAGATATGCGGAGGACGCGGTGAAGAGGTTCCTGGAAGCTGGAAGGGCTGCTCTAAGAGCTGGAGCCAACGAGTCTGCGATCATCAAGATGAGGCCATCCCTCACAAGCCGAAGCGCGGGAGGACATCAGAGCTGGTGCGAAGAGCTATGAAGGGATTTTTCTTGCCATCGCTGTCTGTATATAACCACCAGATCAATAGTGATGCTTCTGTTGTATGTATTAAGTTCAATGAGATCCTGCTACTATGGGATCTGCTCATTATTGGGCACTAATAGATTCAGGTGAAGTATAGTTAGAGACTGGCAAATGGAGACCATGAAAGACTCTCAAGAAATTGCAGTTGGCATTTTATGTACCCTATAAATCATAGTGGCAGTGCAGGTTTAGTGACATCAGGGCATGAGTCGAATTATCCGTACTTGGTTAGCAGCATGTTCAGATGACGAGTACTCCAATCTTAAATAAGGGCATTGAAAGTTTTAAAATTTGTTATGAAAATATAATTGAGTGCTAAAATTTTTAAAAAGTACAATTATGTATTAAAATTTGTTAAATTGATGTAATTAAGTTCTTTGGTTAATTTCGTTAAATTTGGTTAATAGAAAATGCTAATTTGGATTTTTTTTATTATTTTCTTTGATTAACGTGTTGTTGATGTGATTAATTTAAATAATATTTAGATTGAAATATTTGATTTGGATCAAAAGGATGTTGTTTTAGTTGTCCTTATAAGAGAGAAACTTTTAAAGAAAATAATAAAAAAAATCACGTCAACGTTTTTCGTTAATTAAATTGATTGAAATTAACGGACAAACTTGGTTACGCTAATTTAACTAGTTTGAGAAATTGTATTTTTTGAAAATTGTTGAATTCAATTGTACTTTTGTAATAAATTTATTCCAACAAATATCCGATGAATAGATGAAACATAACTATGAATATTCGGCGAATAGATGAATCTAAGAGATATGAGATTGCTCTGTTCTTTTCGTAGTTTCACATTTCGATTCGAGAATTACACCATGTTGGGTTGTTTCGATTCCAAAGTTAGTCATAGGTTATGGGATAAAGGGGAAAAAAAGAAACGAATGCCGTTCTGTGTTTTCCAGAGTTTCGTGTCGTTTCATTGCCGCCATTTCTGCTCTTTGTGAAGAGCATTTATTTTTTTGGTATGTCCTACTCTAACTCTTAATTCACTTTCAAATTTTTATCATGCCTTTTATAAAGCGTAATAATCGAAATTCACATTTGAAACTACATATCTCTATTCCTAACTTCCTTTGAAAAGGTGAAAAAGTGGGGATTCGAACTTCCCACCTTCCTTTTCTCGAGTAAAAACGAGTGCCCTCGGAACAAACTCCAGTCAAACTCCAGTCATTTTGAAGAGCATGGTCATATCAAACCGTCATTTGACTGGAGTCAAATTTACACGGGCGCCCATCGAAGACTCTCTTTATTACATCTCACTTATTATGGTCGTGACACTGCACCGGGAGGGGCATAAACGAGAAAGCAGCGGCGCACGAAAGGCCACGTCACCGTCCCGCCGTGTTCCTCCCTCCCCTGCTCGTCGGCCATCGATCAAAAAGCGAGCACTCTCTCTCTCTCTCTCTCTCTCTCTCTCTCCCTTTCTCTCTCGCGCGCGCGCATCCTTGCAGTTTATCCCCTCAAAATCTGCGACCGTCTCGCTTACCCTTGTTGCCCATCGCGTCGACGCATCATCGCTCGTTCTTCTCGCTGGCATTGATTTCGCGAAAAAAGATGATGACGAGAAGGAGAAATTCTGCGTTTCCCAAGGTGGTGATCGAGAGGGACGCCGACTCTGAAGAGAGCTCCTCCTCCGACGACGACGACGAAGGCGAAGATGGCCCTGAACCAGAGACTTCCGAAGAGGAAGGAGAAGAACTTCCGGAGTGTGGAAATGGAGACAAAAAGGAAGAGGCTTTGACGGATGCCAAGGAGAAAAGGAAAGCGCCCATCACCATTAGTCTCAAGAAAGTTTGCAAAGTGAGCCCCCTTTTTTGCCTTTTCCTTGCTCGTTTATCGTTTGTCTGTATTTCCCGGTTAATCACTGCTTTTGATTGTCGCACGATCGTGTCCGTTCTCTTGCGTGTGGTGTGATTAGGTTTGCAAGAGGCCGGGTCACGAGGCAGGATTCAAGGGCGCTACTTACATTGATTGTCCTATGAAACCGTGTTTCCTTTGCAAAATGCCAGGTGATTGGTTCTCCTTCCTGTATTTGCATATTGTTTTAATCTCTCTAATCTCTATCGGATTGTGTAGTGCCAAGATCATCTATTGATGTAGAAGTCAGTGCAGTGTGCTTCGTCTTTTCGTTACTAGTGAAATGGTTTCTTTCACTTTCTCTTTAGCCATTCATGTTGGTTGTCCTGTCTTAATATTTTCACGGTCATTTGTTATTGACGAGTCATTAAAATTGAGCACCCGGCCACAGCGGATTGTCGAGACAATTGTGTGGATGCTTAGAGTGAATTTTTCTGTATGACTCTCCCTGACAAGTTTGTAGAGTTTTCTGGGCGGCAAAGAATCAAGTGCTTACGTAATTAACAAAAGCTTCTATCTTTGTATGTGGTGATGCACTTCGTGTGCAATTTCTGTGTTGTAATTTTTCCAAACTGGATTAATTGAAGGCCACACTACGATGACATGCCCCCATAAAGTGGCTTCTGAGCATGGGGTTGTCCCAGCACCCCACAGAAATACCCAAAATCCTGCGGAATATGTCTTCGAGCGCCAGCTTGTTCCGAGAATCCGTCAAGTAAGTAATGAGATGTCGTGTACGCTTCTAACAGTTTTTAGTTCTGGAATTGCAATCAATAGCAACAATACAGCAATTGTGATTCTTTGTACTGAATTGTTCTTTTTCGTGTAACATTGGATACAATCGATGCAGTAAGTTATGTGGTCTTCTATTAAGTTTGATTCACGAGTTTATCGGTGAGAAAGGTATGATTGGGCACTATTTGGAACGGTACAGCTTCAGAAGTAGCCTCAGTAGAAATAGCCTAATTATCTATGCCAATTAGCGTCTTCAAATTTTATTGTATTTGAGCTGGTGTTGTCTTGGTGGTTTCACAACTGTTTTCAATCTGGCAAGTAAAGGCAGTAATGATACCTTCTTTTCATCTGCCTGGCTTTTGTGTACTAGTCCAATTTTTCCCCTGGCCAAAATGATCTGCTTCCCTCTGCTTTTGGCCTTTCTTTAAGTGAGTGTGGGGATAAGTTAATAGCTAGATATTGAGTGTGAACTGAGATTTGTTTAGGTTATTTGCCATCTGAACACAATGCAATATTTTCTTATATTTTTGCCTTTGGTGGTTTATATTTCATATCATATTCACAATTGTTTGGGTGTCTCGCCATTTACTTCTGATAACTATTTTGCATGTCCAATTATGTGCTGCCACAGTGCAAACCAGCTTATGTAATCCCCGATCAAGTGAGTTGTGCAGTTATCAGATACCACAGCAGACGTGTCACATGTTTGGAGTTTCACCCGAGAAACAATAACCTTCTTTTATCTGGAGACAAGGTCAGTTTAATTTTGAGTAAGATATGATTGTTTGCATTCTGGACGGTTTTCTCTAGCTGACGTTAATTCCTTCTTTTAATTGTTCATTGTGAAAGAAAGGACAACTGGGAGTTTGGGATTTCGATGAAGTGTCTGAGAAAGTAGTTTATGGGACCATTCACTCCTGTATACTCAACAACATGAGGTTTTTTTTATCTGTTCCTGTTTAATATTTATTCTTCTCTCCGGTACCTTAACCAAGATACTGACTGGCTTAATGTTGACAGGTTTAATCCCACAAATGATGGTATGATCTATTCTTCATCTTCAGATGGAACTATAAGTTACACTGATCTTGAGACTGGAATTTCATCATCTTTGATGAACCTTAACCCCGATGGATGGCAGGTGAATTGTCAGCTCGTTTATTTGTGAATTTTTCAGGTTGATTTAGCACGTTCTCAAGAAACAATAGATGAGGGAAGAGAAATGGATCTTAGGAAGCTTAAACTTTGAAACAATTGGTGTGAAACATGGAAGTTAAGAGGGATTTTTCGCTGTAGGGTCCAAGCAGTTGGAGGATGCTTTATGGAATGGATGTGAATGCAGAGAGAGGTCTTGTGCTTGTTGCTGATAATGTCGGTCTCCTGTATTTGTAAGTATTGTTCTTTTTTTTTGGCTAAAATTGTAAGTATTGTTCTTATTACAGTGTACAGTGGGTACTTGCATTGCTAAGTTGTCTCCATGTGCTCCTATTGTGTCCTTCTGCATATCTGTACCGTTATGTATTACAAGCACTTTAGGGTCCCTGGAAGGTCCAGATATGACAGCGTAGTTATGTTTGTTGTCCAGATATGACAGCGTAGTTATGTATTACAAGCACTTTAGGGTCCCTGGTGGTCTGTTAATCAGTAGGGGGATTTCAGTTTTTAAATTTTGACTTCTCTTTGAATCACGCTGGTAGTGTGTCCTTATCTTTATTGAAAGAACCGTAAGCGGTTACTTATGATGGAAGTTGTCCATGAAATCTCCTACATTACCCCTTTATTATAACTCATCTGAAGTTTTTCAATTAAAGGTTATTGTAGTAATTGAATGAGTAACTTTTCTCTGGTTTCTCCACCACTCCCGCCTCTCTCACCTCCTCCTTGCACCAGTCTCTCTTTCTTTCGTTGTACACATGTATATGTGTGCTTAAATACTAATTTTAGTTAATAGGGCTGGTCTCATATAGTGATAATATTTATGGTCACTGACAGATAAGACAAATTGAGAAGGAAACGGTTACAAATCAAAGAAATAGATCACACTCTATGACACTTGAGGAATATGAGTACTGTAGTTTATGATGTGATATTTTTCCTCCTATACCACATGCATGAACTTGGTTTTCTTCTTCTTATGCCATAAATAGGGTGGATACCCGTTCCAACAACGAGACTGGAAAGGCAGTTCTGATACACAAGAAAGGCAGCAAAGTTGTTGGACTGCATTGTAATCCTGTTCAACCAGATCTTTTGTTGAGTTGCGGAAATGATCATTTTGTGAGTTCATACTCTATTCATTTTGTTGATGTTGCTCTCTTCTCCTAACAAGCAAACTCGTTCTCTTTGATTTGATTGAAACATGTTATGATCGGAGTATTGTAAAAGACCTGCCAAATTGGATTAGGAACTTGAGATCCTAGACTACTTGCAATATGATATTTTATAGGTTTATGTCATTTGGTATGTGGTCTCTTCATGATATATGGCTTCTTCACATCAGGCTCGTATATGGGACATGCGCAAATTAGAAGCAGGGGGTTCACTCTACGACCTCGCCCACAAACGCGTTGTCAACTCTGCGTATTTCTCTCCTATTTCTGGAACCAAAATCCTCACTACTGCCCAGGATAATCGACTCCGGATATGGGATTCAATTTTTGGTGATATGGATTCCCCAAGCAGAGAAATAGTGCATAGTCATGACTTCAACAGACATTTGACTCCATTTCGAGCTGAATGGGATCCAAAGGTGCGTCATCTTTAATTTCAGAGTACTTATTAATAACATTATTCACTTTCAGCCCAAGGTTGAGATTGAGATAACTTCATCATGCAGGATTCATCGGAGACTCTCGCAGTCATTGGCCGCTATATAAGTGAGAATTTTAATGGAACTGCTCTTCACCCCATTGATTTCATTGATACCGGCACAGGACAACTAGTTGCCGAGGTCATGGATCCAAATATAACAACTATTAGTCCTGTGAACAAGCTCCATCCCCGGGATGATGTTTTGGCTTCGGGTAGTTCAAGGTTTGGATTCAAGTTCCCAAATTTACTTGTAGAAAATAATTCTCCAAAAAGTGTGGTTCACATCAACTTATGGTTTGGCTTATTTTAGGAAAGGGTGTGAGACTTGTCTTGCCATGTTTAAAGATGATCAGTTTAAAATCTTCTCATGCTTTCCGGGTTTGTCTGCATTGGCGTCTTATTGTGATCTCTTTTTCCTTTTCCGGTTGGTGTTGAGTCTATTCATCATCTACGCTTTTCATTATGCACAATGAACCAAATTAGATGGACTTGGAATCATTACATCAGTCCTTTTGATGTCATGGTTCCCTCGTCAAATTTTTATGTTGTCTGTACATGCACAGCCCTTGTTATCTTTTTAATAGGATTGTAGAAGTTTAAAACTGATACACTGTTTTGTACCAATTTATCTCCCCTTTTCCTTCCATTGGGAGGCCTTATGTGAAATATATCTCCTTGAAGTGTATAATTGCTTTAACACAATTTGTGGTGAATTTGCAGGTCTCTTTTTATTTGGAGACCAAAGGAAAAATCCGATTTTGTGGAAAAGAAAGAAGAAAGGAAAATTCTTTTCTGTGGCAAGGCGGAGAGGAAGAAGCCGGGGAAGAATGTTGGTGATGAAAGTGATGACGATTCTGATTGCGGTGGATTCAGCTCTAAGGGAAAACGATCCAAGTTCAGTAAGAAAGAGTTGATAGGTAAGAGCAAGCGGAAAGTTAAACGTTAAGCTCAAGATTTCCTGGGGCTGATTTCCGATGTTTTGTCAGCCGAAATCCATCCTCAGAGAGTCTGTTTAACTTGGTGACTGTGATTGTTCGGTTTTTATCAGGTGTCCCACTCCTAACGCAAGTAGCTTAGCTCATTACCTTCCTCACTCCAGATAAATATTTGACTTATTCTGTTTTGCTTTGGCTACTTGTAATTTTGATCTTGAGGGACAGTAGTATTCTGATGGTGTTCTTATATGTTCATATTTATGCCACCCAATTTGATATTTTCGACTCTCTCTCTCTCTCTCTCTCTCTCTCTCTCTCTCTCTAATTTGGTGTGATGTTTAATTAGTATCACGGTAACATCTAAATAAAGATACATATTGTTGCGATAAACAGTTGGCCTGACCTACTTCATGAGGAGGAGGGAATAACATTATGTTCGATCACTCGTGTTCCACAACACTAGTTATAAAGCGATATGTGTATGGTCTTCTAATGAATCAGCCGTCACTAGCATGAATATAGAAGATTCCTTATATAAAACATTAAGGCTGGTTTCACCCATGCGGGGTGAAACAATCATCCAAAGAGGATGTGGGATTAACAAATTACAATCATATGATACCGGACCCACTAGGTACCCGTCTTAACAATATATCAGGACAAGCATGTTTAGCCAAGTTAAATAAAAGACACCAACTTTGTCAAGGAACACCTTTGGGCGGTCAACTGCACATCGTGAGTGGCTTTTGAACTTGTTTATAGATTCATTTTGAAGCACAGTTACTGGTGCGCCTCATTCTCCCCTACGTGCCAAGGACCAAAGCAAGCCTAAGGGATCAGCTTTTCGTGCCTCATGCAATCAACACAATTCAAGATTGAATCCAATGTTTTACACTGCCTGGTGAATCCAAGCCGGTCGACTTTGTCCCGCGTCCCGAGCAGTTTAACCGGGCACCGGAACAAGATATCCAAGAAATCCCAGTTTGCTAAATCCTCCATTTCCGTTTGTACCAGCCCTTCTTTCTCCACGATGGCCCTCCATACCTCTTTCTTATCGGCCATGACTTTGGAGTACCAATGATCCTGCAAGAACATCTCTTCAGCAACTTGCACCCCGAACTTCTCGGCGAGAGCAGGCCAGATCTCTTTCCATGTGAAGCTTGGCCCGTTAATGGAATTAAATGCCTGACCATTGGTTAAAGAAATACTTTCATTTGTAGCTGCCCATATTTGCTGTTCAGCTACCAGACCAGCATCGGACCCATCAATGCACACCTCTTCCCAACACTCTCTCGTCCCTCCAAAAACAAAGGGTAGCTCAAGGTGCTTACAAATAGAGCCATACACACCCAAACATCCCATGAAATTATATAAGGTCCTCCTCGAACTGCCTATCAGTAGACCGGGCCGGTGCACGGACCAACCCGCCTTGCCAGCTAACTTCTCCTTGAGCAAATCTTCTAAATGGTAATAGAAATTGTATCTTGCACTTGCTCTCGGGCAATCCTCGTTGTAGTAGTAAACTTGTTGGCCATTGAACGGGTTTTGCAGGGACACATAATGCTTCATCCCTGTCTGAAGTGAGAAGTGCCTGAGTGAGGGAGAATTTGGGAGGATCGCTTCCAAGGCATTGCACATCATGGCCTTGTTCTGGTCACAGCATTCTGAGCTGTCCAGTGGGAACTGACTAGCCCAAGTGACCCAAAAGACATGAGTCACATCCCCCAAATTCGACAGCCTCTGTAGGGTGTCTGAGGGATTCAGGAGATCGCAAGAGATGAAGCGGTAATTGCAACTCTGTATGGGCGCGATCTCCGGCCGGCGAGCCACGCCGTAGACTCTCCATTTGGGTTTGGAGATCAATCTCTTGGCAAGTTCTTTACCCACAAGCCCAGTGACTCCAAAGATGATGGCCACTGATTGTTTTCTTTGAGATTTATTGGCTGCCATTAGTGTAGCAACTGGTTCAGAAAGGGCACAACACTTGGGTTTAATCTGAGCTTAGGAGCTTTGTTTACATGGAGAGACCAAGGGACGTGAACATTTATAGGCGCTTAGGACCTGCCTGTTAGAGTGTCCTTGTGGGAGGGTCCAAAGTTTACAAAAGTTTACTTCTTTTGAGGCAGGGTTTTACGGATTGTTTCCAGAATTGTCCATTACACTGTTGACATTGCAATTAAAATAAGATGCTAGTTGTTGCTAAGATGAGCGACATCTTTGTTCATTCATCATTCCCTATGAATATTCTAATCGGGAACTCTCATGCGTGCCAGTTTATTCAATTGCAGAGACCAATATTACTCATCTTAGGAGAAAAACTTTCGAAGGCAAGCTCTTTCCTGGTGTGGTGGGATGAACTAGTCAATCATAATTTCGTACGTAAGCTAGGCCTAGTTTTTTGATGCGCATCCTGGTTCGCGTGCAAATAAACTGATATGATTGACTAAATCTCGACAATCTTTGAAGAGCTTATTCTAAGACGATCAAACGTTTGCTGGCAGAAAGTGAGGATGGCCGCGAACTTGCTGGCTTTATGGTTGCAAAAGAATTTTAAAATAAGTAAAAGCTGTAATCATATTGAGTCAGCATGCTTCTAGGGTCAACATACCTATGTAGGGGTGTCTTTCATGGAGGATCTGGCAATAACTGCAGCCACACCGTTGCACAGAACCTCATTTTCGTCTTATTTCCTAGAAAAGAGAACCAAAAGAACAGTATCTTGCTTAAAACGATCTCCTGAAAAATTGGAGTTTTAGACAGTTTGTAATCTCGGATGATGCTGACACATGTATCGCCTCAAGAACAAGTACATTTCTTTAATACATGTGAAACTAGCGTTCGCTTTAATAAACGATTTATGCTGTTGGGTCGTAATCTTATGAAAGGAGGAAATGAATACACATATGAAGAGTCCGAATCTGATGCATTATGAGATGAACTGATGAATCTTTGTGCAGTAAAATATATGTGCGTGGGCATCGTGGATTGTATAGAAAGACCGAATCCCTGTTCCTGAAGGAAGCTATCCTGGACCCATGTGGTCTCCTTTTTTTGCTTGATAAGCTTCAGTGATTCTTTGCACACTGCGTAATCTCCATTAATACATTCTTAAATGCAAATGATTCGCCTATTTTATTTTCTTAGTTGCACCGAAGAACTCTCCCAATGACTTCATCTCAGAATCTTTAGAACATATGAATGTATTTTTGATTGATTGGCCAGAGTCATTAAAATATATAGAGGAAGAGAGAAGATTTGGTACTCTGAAAGCTGTCAATCGGTACGGATTGAAATAGAACATGTCCAACTTGGCATCAATTTCATCTAGTTATTGCAAATCAGGATCTATTTTTATTGCCAGATGACAGATCCTATGTACATCTCCAATGGAGCTCTCTTCACTAGAGTGATCCTTTTCCCGGGATATACCTGCGATGCGTCGCGTCTGTCCTTCGGTCTTTCTGCTATCGAGGTCAAGGACGGGGGGACGCACTCGAAACTCTCGCAGAATACTCCTCAAATTCATTCAAGAGATAGACAATGACAATGTTGGTTCGAAAATGGTTGGATCAATTAACAAAATTTACGAGATAAATGCGCCAGTTTATTTCGTGGTCCAAAATCATACTCATACTAAATACGACTAAGCCGAAGAGACTCCAGCTGGTGCTTCGACTCCGAAGTTCGCGATATTCATTTGACCTGCATCATTAGAATTTGGAAGACGAAATCGTCATTGCTTGACGAGTAAAACTCTAGAAACTATGTTGGCCAAGGCGAGATTTCAGCTAGGAAATTACTCAGTGGAATTTTCTGGACGAAAAAGCATGCCGCGATGATGATGTAACAAAAGAACAGGACCACTCCCTTCATGTAATGTGATGTTCCATCCTGTGAAAACAGAACCAAGATGGTCACTTTTATGTTTTAATCGATGACCAAGTCACTAATTTTTGTTTTAACCAAAGCCGAAGGTGGAGCAGATTAAGAAAACCTGTAAAGCGAAGGAGGTGATCAAGATCGTAAAAGCCAGGCAACCAGTTTCGATGAGGCTGAAATCAAGATCCATGAGAGTGCCCATGATCCAGGACACAATTACACAGAAGGGCACCTGAGAATTTCAATGACAACGATTTTGTTAGCCTAATTTGCAAATAATTAGGATTTCTGAAATCCTATTTAGTCCTCCAATCGTTTGAAACTAGGATTTTTTCACCGCTTACGACAAACATGGAGATCTGAGTTGCCGATCCTAGAGCCACTCCCAAAGATATATCCTGCCACGAAACAACAAACCAATAAACAAAAGGTAAAAGAATAGTCAAAAGACGTGCACACCAATACACTTATGCTGCCAACTTGACCATATACTTAGAGATGAATTTCCAACTTGGCGACATTTTAAACATACCAACTTGTTCTTGAGGGCAAATATAATAGAACCAGCATGTTCTGCAGCATTGCCAACGATCGGTAGCAATATCACGCTGATGAAACTGACTGAAATCCCCCAGGAACTGGACGCGGCCTGCGGTTGCAAACGATCGCGTTTGCGAGGGTCAACAGGAATAAGATGGAAAAGTTTGATACAGGAAGGCGACTAATGTATGAAATGTCCTAAATAGGTTTCCCTTTTATGATGTATGATTACCTCGATTGTGCCTACGACGTATTCGGATAATAAGGCTATGATCATGGTCATGCCGACCAGCCAACAAAATGCGCTCCAAAATCCTATCACCGCCTTCTCTCCGTCCTCCTCTTCCTCCTGATCATGATAACTAAAATTAACTATTGGAACATTATGGCACATTAATTCAAAGAATATTAAGAAGGATTATGCATTTGAAGTACGTATCTTAATTACAAAATAAAAACTATGTATGGACAAGTTCAGCGGAAATGGAATTATGGCTACAACTTAGTACGCGTTTTTGTTAATTTTTGGGATCATAGTTTTCCCGCTACCATAATGTTTGGCCAAGAATGTACATATACAACCAACAAGAGCTTACCTAAAGCCTATAATAGATGTGTTTTTCTAGTACATAGCTAAGAACTTAGTTGCATGCACATGCGCATATATGCACGTTGAAAATGGCTTTTCCTTGAGGGCTATTTCATGCGATGTGAGTCCAATTCTCATGAATTGGATCATATGAGCCTCACGTGAGACCCACGTGATCTGACGATCCATATAAATTATGCTTGATCGATACCATATGATACTTGCTCCCTTTAAATGGGATGAAATGTTTTATTGTGAGTCACCTCTGGGGACTCGAACAACTGCCGGTGAGTTTTAAGCTGGAAGACAATGTAAGCCACGTATGCGAGAAGCATCACAATGCTGCTGGCTCTCGAAAGCTGAAGCGTGTATTCAGCAATCGAGGCAGCGCCTGGTCCGCCACTTCCTCCATATCTGAACATCAACGGCAACAAATGGCACAGCAATCCCAGTAACAGAAGGAGCGAGTTCACATCAGCCTGCTTCTGTTTATACAATCAATCCAAGGAGCAAAAAGAATTATTGATAAGCCAAATTTATCTTCTTGATTAAATTAATGCAGGCAATGTGGGTGTTACGTACTCTATCGTATCTCTGTTCCTTCTTGATGTTGGCCAAGCCCCCACAAAGAAGAGATGACCCCAACACGAGGAGGAGGTTAGAGAGAACCGAGCCCAGAAGAGAGTACTTCACCACATGTATTTTGTTTTCGTGAAGCGCAAATAACGCTATGATCAGCTCCGTTGCGTTCCCACATGTTGCATTCAGAAGCCCCCCAACTAGCCCACCAATCAAATTTATGTCAGTTGTTGTCCCTCACTTTAGAAGCCAAAATAATTATTTAGGAAGAAGAAAGAAGAAATTGCTACAATTCACTAATCAACCGTTGGTAACAGAGAAACATGTACCTGTTGGGCCTGTGAAATATGCAATTTGTCTGAAAGGAGAAACATGAAGAACAATGTTAGATACACGTGTGTAGTGTCGATTATCAATATTTTTACATGTAAGCGCTTTATGTAAAGATGCACTCACTCGGTTAGGAAGCTGACGCGTTCGGCGAGCGGGGTGAGGCCAAGCAAGCTCAGAGCAAATATCCAAGCCTAGGAGAGATGGAAAATGCATTGTTATCAGTAAGCAGTTTCTTTTTATCTAGCGATAGATGTATTGAGAGACATTGTAATGCACTGCCAATCTTCGCAGTGGAGACCATCGAGATAGTGGCTTCTTGTTCTTTTCAATGATTAACAACCATTTTCATGAACATTGCACTCACTCTTCCAAACTTGTAAAGGTCTGCCACAACTGCTAGCGGGATTGCCGGGAAGAGTATCGCGAGCTTGGTCCCGAGGATCACCTCTTGCAAATTGGCGAGCACCTGTCTAAGCACCAGGAATCGAACCTTGGCCGGCACAAGCATCGGATCGGACTTCTTCCTTAGGACTGAAGAAGCCGAGGTATTATGCGGCGCACGTCGATCAGCAAAGGATGCTTCCTTGTCCAAACCCTTCATGTCAGCGCCATTAGTGCCACCGTTTTCCAAGTTCCATGGCTCTTGAGAATCCATGGGAATAATACGTAGCCCTTATATGAACTTAATTAGTATGAAAGGAGAGGAATTAAATGCCAAGAGGCTCTTCTGTGGCACGAAATGCTGAGGTGGTCATATATAGAGATAGGCCACGAGTGCTCTCTCAGGAAAGAAGGATCGAAGTACCATTCAGAGAGAGCAGCTTCCTGGAATTTTCCACTCTTGTTTTCTTTCTTGCATGAATTTACACGTACTTAAGGATGAAGGCGTGCAGGTGCTGGACTGTTGGTAGTGTACACACATGAAGTTGGCCATATTATATGGGTCATTTACGTGTTTTAAGCGTTACACTTGTAGCACACAAGAAGATTTAAAACCACCAAATCAATCAATGCTCTACTATGGTTGCAATTTGGCGAAAATAATTAGTTGGTCTTGGAGAGAATTGGAATTTACCAACTTTTAATAGTATAACTACCATTCACACATTGACACGTAAGGAACTTTACGGACGGTCTTCGTTAATATCAGTAATTACTGTACTTAACATATATGCTAAATTATGAGCTGAGGATGCTTCCAGATTTAAGGTATTATTAACATCTTAATCCGTAAACTCGTAGCTTTCAAACTAAACCAAGCTAGAGTGGAACCAAACAGAACCTCCGGTTGCTTCTTTTCAACCTCCATTACACTGAATTATCTCGTACTGAGACGCTCTGTCGAAAGCGTTCTAGCTGAGACAAAGTGCACTCCTTGATATTTTTGCCTGGAGGGTCGATGAGAGGTTGGGGATTGGACATGGGTAACCCCCGTCCAGGTAAAGACAAGGCCATTATCAGGTAATTCCATCAACCCTAATAGCTTCAGAACTCCATGAACTGTATTTCCAAAGGAGCCTTCATGATTGATTTACAAAGAGTGACAAATACAGAATTTGATTTACGAAGTAATGCATAGAAATGTAAAACAAGAGCGACGCTTGAGATTTAGAAAAACCCGATTTGCAAATTTATTCACAAACAACTTATTAGTGCACGTCTAAATAAAGGCTTCTATATGCTACGCAACAACTAGTGTAAAGTATATTTATACAAATTATTGCGTAGATGCATAGCATGCATCACTTTAAGTTCAAATAATTATTGCATATGAGACGTGTCGTCAATCCAACAAAGCTGGTGTAAACCGTTTTTTGGCGGGCCGTCTAGCCAATAAACTTTATGAATCGGCTTGTATCCACAATATTTGTGTACTACTGCATGTTGAAGCACTCATTAATATTAATATTAGGAAAAATTGTCCAAAAAATCCTAAACCTATTATACTTTTATCAATTCAGTCTTAAACCTTTCAACTTTGACAATTGAGTTCTAAACCTTTTCGTTTTTTGCCAATTGAGTCCATCTGGCTAATTTTGGTCGGAAATCGCTGACGTGGACGCCGGACGGCCATGTGGCCCTGACGTGGACATTTTAAAATAATATTTTAATAATTCATGATTTTTTTTAATGTTTTTTTCTTCTTCTTTTTTTTTCTGGGTTTTGAAATTAGGGCTGGTGAGGGTGGCCGGCAGACCCTCGCCGGCTTTGGGTGAGGGCCGCTATGCCCTCGCTGGCCAAAGCGAGGGCGTGCGAGCCCTCGCCTAGATCCGGCGAGGGTCATGACGCCCTCGCCAGATTTGGCCAGGCGAGGGCATGGGGCTAAAGTGAGGCCGCCAAGTGCCTTGCCTGGGGCCAGCGAGGGTGTTGCGACCCTCACTGGATCTGGGCAAGGGCTAGCACGCCCTCGCTTTGGCTGGTGAGGGCCGTGACGCCCTCGACCAAAGCCGGCGAGGGTCGGCCGGCCACCCTCGCCAGCCCTCACAAAAAAAGAGAGAAAAAAACATAAAAAAAAAATCATAAATTATTAAAATATTATTTTAAAATGTCAACTTCAGTGCCATATGGCCGTTCGGCGTTCACGTCAGCGATTTTGATTAGACGGACTCAATTGGCAAGAAATGAAAATGTTTATGACTTAATTGGCAAAGTTGGAATGTTTAGGACTTAATTGGCAAAAGTGCAATAAGTTGAGGACTTTTTGGACAATTTTCCCTTAATATTATGTCAAGTATCACTTTCATATATGAGTACTGTCTATCCTCACGTTGTTCTTTTCAATGGTGCCACATATCAAAGTAGACAACTACTTTGGAAGGATAGTGATTGCCTCGCGAGTGAACTCACTCTGCACGGGAAGCCACAACTAGATGTACAAAATCTTTCTACCCTGAGAAAGTTGACTGTTTAATACCCCATCTGAAACTACAACAGTTCTAAAAACTATTTTATCATCATAGTGATCGCGATTTACATTGTCTGCTTTTTCCTCAAAATCTCTTCCTTCGGTGTGCTGAAAATATTTATACGTATCGTGTATATAGACATAGATATGTCTATGACGTGCAAATGTATACACATGCACAATCATGAAAAAAGTTAGACTTAAATCATTCAAAGGTGACTTAGTGGTTAAGGAACAAACATATGTGTAGATTAGGCGCACGGCACATATTCAATTCTTTACGTCACCAAATGGAAACAATCCTTTGTGTAGACCACCTAACCCAAGTTTTGGCATGTGTTTAAATCGGTCTGTGAGGTTGGCAGGATACTTCATCAACAGGAAACTTACGAACCACCGATATAAGATCCCGAGAGTCATAAAAGACGGTGATCAAGCTATTGTTGCAGCATGATATCCATGCAGGATTTTGGCAAAGGGCAAGAATACTTCAGAATCCGTTGTGCAAACTAATTCAACTAGTAAAACTCGTTCGATGGTCACATCAGGGTTCTTTCGAACCCTTGATCAGAATGATGAGGTGTGCATGTGCAATAATTGGCAACGTCTATCTTGCGAAAGAGTCATTGAACAAAAAATATAAAGGTCTCCTGCATTCACCGAACGTAGATCAATACAGAAATGACTTTGAATTCCTCTCTGGCATTAACGAAAGCATCGGTATTATATTACAAGAGAGAGATAGAGCGCAAGAACCAAAAGATCCAAATACTTTAACTTGGGTGTGCTTCAGGTCACAGCTATAAGAAGCACGATATCTTCTATTGATATACTTCGGTTCGAGAGTACGTACGTATTATCGAAAAAGGAAAAACGAGTATAGAATATAGATAATCTACTTTTGCATGTGCTGCAGGTATAAGGTGAAGGGTTGATTCTAGTGTTGGAAGCCTAACACGTAGGAAAATGAACATATTAGTTCAGCATGCGCGACCCTAATCTATCTTGTTGATATATATATATATATATATATATATATATATAGAGAGAGAGAGAGAGAGAGAGAGAGAGAGAGAGAGAGGTGTATTTTCTTGTGAAGCGAAAGTGCCTATTTTGAGAGCTTATGCGGGGGAAGAATCACGCAGGCCTTGGTCGTACACCAGATGTAGGACTTTCTCGGAATTTTCAGGCGGCTTCGTCCAAGCGAATCCAACGCGGTAGAGACTTACTCCCTTTGTTTTGTTCTCTTCTTTATCCCACATACTGGTTAAGAAAACGAAGTACGAAAAAGGGCATGCACAAGCTGCCATTCTGGTTGTTGTGCACTTGCAAGGAGAAGAGAGGTTGATGGTCGGACGAAGTTTCCTCGCGAAATCTCTCATTTCCATCCTTCATTTCGAGTAAATTGCCAGCGCTAATCTCATGTTGCCTTATTAATCAGCAGCATTAAGTTAAGCATTATGTTCACGCTTCTAGCGAGCTCTTGCTTGGGTATCCCGTTTCCTCAATCTAGTACGCAAAACCTTCGCAAAGCAACTTCTTTGACTGAAGTGAATTGCATGGCAATTCGAGGATAAAGTACTTGTCGTGAGATTAGGGGAGAAATTTTTCTGAAATTAGTGAACAACGTTAATACATGATAAATGTATCGGTTGTAGGAGCTTGTCACTAGATCCTTCTCTAATCTTAATGAATTGCTTGTGCTGGGAAATATCAACATTGGAGTCACGAGAGATTTCACAAGCTTTTTGCGTACTTTCTTTCTTTGTATCCTCCGAATAGCTAAGACGACTGACGTGACCACATGGGCAAGTGTCGAACACTTCAACAAGCAGATAGATAGATTGATTAAGCAAGTAGAAGGCCGAGGGACCATCGACAGATGAATTGTGTTGCGCTTCGAAACTCATTTTTCATAAGTATACCGGACATTAGCCATTGATTTTTTGTGAGTCATTGAAGCTAGGATGTGTTGAGTGCACGTATGAGAGGTGTGACAGAAAGAAAACTCCCATCAGATTTCGAGAGCTAAGAGTGACACTCAATATACTTGGTTGGGACCATAACTTAAACTTCTGAATAAAATTAAGATCGATTAAATTGTCAATGGGTTCAACCACTCAAATCCGGGCGGGGAAATTGTCCAAAAAGTCCTAAATTGACAAAATATGGAAATATTTAGGACTCAATTAATAAAATTGAAATGTTTATGGTTAAATTAGCAAAAGTGCAATAGATTGAGGACTTTTTGGACAATTTTGCTAAATCCGGGCCATATTGTCGTGGATCGCGGTCTCAAATCTGTCGAAGCCCAAGATAGTTCGGATCTGCAAGCCATGGGCCGGCCCAATATAGAGTCGAAAGTTGGCCCGACAGAGATCCATCGGAGTTCGGGACAGAGGCATGAGCATGGGCGATTCTTCCAGATGAAACGGCAACGAGCAAAATCGATCCCGACACGACAGAATAGCGCAAATCAGGAAAAAGAGCGCGGAGGCGACAAGCAACCGAAGCTCTTTAAGGCTCGATCATGGCGGAGAAATTGGCTCCCGAGAAGCGCCACATCTTCTCCCACAACGGTGCGTTCCGCTTTGTCTCTCTCCCTCTCTCTCTCTCTCTCTCTCTGTGTTCTTCATTTGGGGGATGTTGGGGTGGCCGGAGATTTCGATTTTTTGATTGCTCCGCGGCGCGTTTGCATTTGCATTCCGCAGGTCAAACGGTGTTCGAGTGGGATCAGACCCTGGAAGAGGTGAACATTTACATAAAATTGCCTCCGAATGTTCATCCCAAGCAGTTCTACTGCAAGGTTCAGTCCAAGCACGTCGAAGTTGGGATCAAAGGCAACCCTCCGTATCTTAATGTCAGCCATTTTGCTTTCCTCAATTCTCACGCTCCTTTCGTTGTCCCCCGTTTTTAGAGGGATTCTGGAGTAGGATTGTGCTGTTCTGTTGATGGCCCTGTTTGTTTCCTGCTTTGTTAGCACGACCTGACGAGCCCCGTGAAGACGGATTGTTCTTTCTGGACTCTGGGTACTGCTCTTTTTCTCTTACTCGAGCACGGTTTTCTGCTTGTCTGCGAAATGAGCATAATGGGAAAGTTTATGTCAAGCCCAGCTTTTGGTTGCTGCTCGTTGCAGAAGAAACCCACAAAAGTATTTCTCTTCAGTATGTATTCGTGTGGCTGCGCACGATTGAAGTGCTGTTGTGATTGGAATTTTGCTAGAGTGCAGGAGCAGGTGCGGACGAGCTTACAATCGTTTTATTATTGCGTGTTGCGTTGATTAGTTGTATGTTCTTCTGTTGCAGAGGACGATATAATGCATATAACTCTTCAGAAGAGGGACAAAGGTCAAACGTGGTCTTCTCCAATACAAGGCCAGGGTCAGCTAGATCCGTATGTGTCTGACATGGAGCAAAAGCGGCTCATGCTTCAGAGATTTCAAGAAGAGGTGATAGTTATGTTTTTGGAATAAAATTAGCTTTCCATTGTCTTATAGGTTGTTGTTATTCCTACATATTCTATTTATGTTACGGATAGAAGTTTTGCAGAATAGGGCATTCTGTGGTAAATATTTACTTGATGAGTTTGCTGTGAGTGTTTGATTGGCATGGTGTTTTAGCAAAAGAAGGTGATTGGTCAAACATGCTCATCTATACTAGTTTCATATGCATGTTGAAGTTTAAGATGGCAAGAACTGTAGATCACTGAGAATTGGATGTGCTTTTGTTTGTCTGATTCGCGTATCCTTTTCCTCGTGTGAAGCATCTCAATGATCTCATAATGTTTAGCAGGACGTTGTACGCCACCCCCTTCCCTTTCCCCTCCACAGATGATGCGTTACCTTAGCACCTGTAGCCCCAAAGAAAAGGACTGGATGGTCCAATACTAGTGAGCTTGCCAGCAAATAGTTGAAGTGTATCTATTCCTGTCTTTCATCAGGAGAAATCTCTGTTGCTATCTTCCTTTTTTTGACAATCTTCTAGGAAATCTTTCTGCTCCTTTGTTCTGTCTTGTGACTGATACCCTGCTTGAAAATTGTATAATTGGGCTGAAAAGATCGATGGTTGTTATTCCTCCCTTTTCAGCCTACCAGTTTTGTCATTCCTTAAGAGCCCAAAGATAATATAAGTTTTTCGATCCAATAGGGTGCATTTAGTTATTACTGTACTTTTCTGAGAGGATTTCTGTGATTCTGCTGACTGCTGTCGTTAAGGTGAATCATGAAAATTGCGATTACAATGAGCTCAAGAATTTCATGTTTGCTTAGCCTTGTCTCCGAGTAACAAATCATGGACCCTCCGAGTGGAATGAGTTCATTTTTCCGGGACTCCTTTAATTTTCTATAAGCATCGTCTACTTTACCTGTGACGTTGTTCTTTATACTACTACATGCAGTTAGTTAATGATGAGGTGTTGGTTGACCAACTTCGTTTTTTGGTGCTTTGCCCCTTTTTTACTGCTTGACTCTATAGTCAAAGATTTTTCTACTGAACTATTCCTTGATGAAGGTGATCTCTTTATGCAGAATCCAGGATTTGACTTCTCTCAAGCTCAATTCACTGGCAACTGTCCCGATCCGAGGACCTTTATGGGTGGTATTCGGTCTGATTGACTATCTTTTTGCCATGGTGGTTACATCATTAGCTTCCATATGAACTTCTAACAGTCTGGTATATAAAATGGATCACGCGCCGTTTCCAACTGTAGCGCTTGGATAATTCGCAAATGTTTTGTATTATGTCTTCCGTCAAGTGTAATTATACTTGGAGACAATTAGTGAGTGATAAAGCTGGGTGAAACTCCTCTATCCATCTTCTGTCTTTATTTACCTCTATGCATAAATAATTAGTAAGTGACAAAGTGTGTCTTTCACCTGTCGGTCTCTGCTGCCTCTTGCACTTGCAGCGACGACAAATCATGCTCCTGCTATCATGGTAAGCTCTGACTAACCTGTTGTACTCTACGTCATCCTGTTTTTTTTTTTATTTTGGTCGAAGACGTCATCCTGTTATTAGAGTGGTTATTTGATTGTTTCCTTTATAGACGGATTGGTGTCTTGATTTTTCCCCCTTTCTTATAAAGAAATCTTTTTGGAGAACTCTGGTGCATTAAGGATGGTGCTCTCTGGTTTTAAGAGAAGAGACTGAATTTATGTTTTGGTTTGGAAATTGACTTAAAAAGGTTTAGGATGGTCATGGGTTTATGTTTGCTGCTTTTCTCAGGAAAGGATGGTAATCATCCTTTTCTCCAAGTAAATCTCAATCTGCGTAGGATCAAGGAACTTCTACTGATGCCAACTCTTAAAATAGAGAATATCAGAGAAGGTTAATTAAGCCTAATAAGCGAACCTGGACCACAATCAGATTCAAGTAGACAGTGTTTAGATATGTTTTTGAAGTGTAGAAGAATTTCTTTCGTAGAGCTTGTGATGTAAGAATTGTATCGCGGAGACGAGTTCTCAGGGGGGTTTGAATCTGTCTATGTGTCTCCAAATGCTGCCTACTTCGGGCATGGAGAAAATTGGCAGATGGGGAGTATGAAACAGAGATGTGAGACAGAATGGGTTGGAATTGCTCCCCGAGTGATTTGGATTACAACTAAGTAGATCTAAGCTGTGGATTCTTGGTCTTTTGCTGTCTTTGTTCCATTCCCCTGGCTGACGTCTGACTATAGAATTCACCATATTACATGATTGATTTTTGCTTAGCCCTTGGCTGCTGAAGAACAAAAAGCAGAGAGTGAGTGGGAATCAAGAATCAACCCTGTCACGTCAAAAGAATCAGTTTTCTTTGGAGACGCTCGATTTATAGAGAGCATTTGTTCTTGTCATATTCTCTTCCTCCTCCTCCTCCTCCTCCGTTGCTTGTCATATTTGTTCTCTCCACGGAATGCCATCTATCAGCATTATTCTCGACGGGGGGCGTGCGTGCGTCCTTTCAGCCCCCAAATATTTGCAAGTAATTTACTCGCTTTCGCGAGCAAAAAAGCAAAGATCGTCCGCCCACAAGTGAACTCCGGAATCTTTTGATTTTAAGATTCTTATTGTCCGGCTAAGAAAGAAGAAAATTATAAGCTTTTTGTTAAAGAGTGTCATGTAATTAATTAGGAAAATTTTTGAATTCAATGTATGCAGATGATGCAACTCATTATTCTTCTTATTGTGGCGCTTACGCACTTTTAAATTAAAAAATTTTTTTCTTAATGAGCTTCGATTGCTTTAATTTTCAAAATAAGAAGAATAGTTCTGATTTTAAAAAAATTATGATAAATATATGTATGACTCGACAAGGTTTTTAAATCTCGCATGTTTTGCCATAAAATGTGAAAAAAAGGGAAATTAGGGGTCCAAATTATATTTATTTTATTTTTGAATTTTTTTTTTTTTTCGGGAATATGTTTGGAATAGAAATTTGTTTGGCAATGCAATTTCATTTTTTTTAATTTTCGGAACAAAGTTTTAGCTCAGAAATAGGTTCGGAACAAAAATGAGAAATATGATTTTTTTTACCTTTCTATTTCTGGAATAGTAACAGAAATAACGATTCTTCTAAGAGCTCGCGCTCGCAGCCCGTCTGATGATGTACGAATTCTACATTGACGCAATCAAACTAATTTCTGTTCCAGGATCAAACGTTTCCTTCTGTTCAGGAACTTGTTCGGGAAATAGAAATAGATTTTGGCTAAGAATTATTTCCGGAAAAGAAAACAGTTTTCATTGAAAAAGTATGAATCCACTTTTAGAAATCATTAAATCCTCGAAACGACTGTTCTGATGTATCGTGAAACTTCTTAGAAATGGAAGAATGACACGGACAAAGTCAGGAAAAACCTCTGAAATTATTTCAATATTGAACCTTGGACATATAATAGTTCCGAACTATAATAATATTATTTGATGAGATCATTTCAATCGTTTACTTCTCTTGAAATCTCTTTTATTTTGATTTCTACGCACGTCTTCCATAAGTTTTCGCAACTCCCCCACGTATGATTCCCCGAGACAGACCCGCTTTCTTCACCAAGTTTTAACCGTGGGAAAATGGAAAATGTTGGTACATGGTCCCCCCCTCCCTTTGCTCTGCAAATCTCCCCTGTGGCGCGAGGTGGAGCTTCCGTGCAACATCATTCCTTGTTGTCTACGCTTTGTATTCAAATATTTTCCGCTGCTCCCCTCTTTTGTCCTCCTCCTCTGCTCTGCAATTCTTCACCTCTCCCCTCCCCCACACCCATGATCGTCGCTAGATCCCAGCAGTCCGACGCTCCTCCGGTCGTTCTCCCCTCTTGCCCGTCAACCTCCCCATGGCGAGGGGCTCGCCCAAGCAATCCCAACCCCCCGCCCCCACCCGCGGCCTCGTCGCCGGGAACTACTGCCACGACGTCCTCTTCCGGGACGGCGCCGCCGTGGCCGAGTCCCTCGGCGGCGCCGTCTCCTTCATCTCCGCCGTGCTCGACGGCCTCTCGGTCCCCTTCGACTCGGTGTCGAAGGTGGGTCCGGATTTCAAGTACTCGACGGCGGCTCGCTGCTCGATCGTGGCGCCCGATTGCGTGACCACCCTCTTCCATGCATACTTCGATTCGGGCTCGGGCGAGAGCGGGCATGTGGACCGCGTCCTGAAACGGGTCGGCTCTTGCGACCCGATCGCACCTTCGGATCTCCCCGGAGGAAAATTTAATTTTGGGATGGCGGTTGGGGTCGGGGGCGAGATATTGGTGGAGACGCTCGAGAAAATGATCGAGATGTGTGACGTGGTGTTTGTAGATATTCAGGCCCTGATTCGGGTCTTCGATGGTGTCGATGGAACAGTGAGGCTTGTGGAGTTGAAGGAGAGTGGGTTTTATCATCTCCTGCCTCGAATTGGGTTCATCAAGGCATCATCCGAAGAAGCGGCTTATATGGACGTGGAGGAGGTGAGGAACTGGTGCTGTGTTGTGGTCACAAATGGGAAGGATGGGTGTACTTTGTACTGGAAAGATGGAGAGATGAAGATCGAACCCTTTGTCGCTAGTCAGGTTGATCCAACAGGTGCTGGCGATAGCTTTTTGGGTGGGTTGGTTGCTGGGCTTGTGCAGGGATTGACTGTTCCTGATGCAGCTCTTTTGGGGAATTTGTTTGGTTCACTGACAGTTGGGCAAGTTGGGCTTCCCAAATTTGAGTTGAGACTCTTGCAGGTTTGTTTTCTTGGCTTTGTTTTTTTGCTTACAATTGGCATGTTGCTCGTGGGTGGGGGTGATTTTCTGCATATAAGAGGAATGAGATACTGAATGCAGGGGATCATAAAGATTTTGTTTCCATGCTAAGCATTGATTTCGGATTGTGCTTGCATGCTATGTCTCTGTGAGAACATTGGAACTTAAAGATTGATGCAATGGATCTTGTTAGTTTGCTCATTCTTATGACACCTGTTGTGTGCTGTAGCAGTAGAGTTCTTGGAACATACTAAAAAAGGGGGTGGATAGTATTCCATGTATTAGTTATGGTGCTTGCAGGACGAAGCAATGTCATCCAGTTCCCAACTATGTGTGTGGCAGAAAGAAACCACCTTGTACCTTGATATTTTGTTTTCATTAAATGCCAATGACGTGTGGGGGATACATCGGATACTTTCTCGAAAATGATAGATCCTTTATAAATAGGAAAATGACACAAATGGTCCTTCAACTTTGGTCCAAATTGTAATGTGGTCCCTAAACTTTTTATTTTTTTTGTTTTAACGTAGTTCCTGAACTTTGATCCACTATGCAATGTTATTATTGATATTTTAACTTGTTCAATGTGGTCCCTGCACTTTGGTCCAATGTTCAATGTGGTTCCTAAACTTTTAAACATTTTCATAAAGTCTAAAGACTACGTTGAACATTTACCAATATATTAGGGACCATATTAAATGAACTAAAAGTCTAGGGACGATATAGCACATTGAGCGGAAGTTCAGGGATCATATTGCATAAATCAAAAGTTTAGGGACCACGTTACATATTGGACCAAAGTTCAGAGACTATCCGTGTTATTATCCCTTTTTAATTCTAGCAATCTTGCTGGGAAAGATTGCTCTGTTGCCATGATAATTAGACAGACAACCTTGCATAATTGTTGCAGCAACATTTGTCCTTTGACAATTTTAGGACTCCATACAGTTGTTTGATAATTGTTTCATCCTAAGATCAAGCAAATGGACATGGTTTTGGAATCACACGAGTTTTGTGAGTTCGTGCTACTGCACTTGTACTTAATGTAGATTTTCCCACGTAATTTACCAGATATGCTGTCTTGTCAGCGGTAGGTAAGCTTCTATACGTTGATGTCTGTCATACGATTAATTAAATGTCAAAGAGAGGACTCCCCTGAATTCTGCAACTTTGTTAGCTGAACCTGGTAATGTTAGCTGAACTTGGTAAGGGAGGCGCATCTTTCCCTGATGAATTTGTGAACATTCATTCGACTGAGAGTTTCATTCTAGTTAGTTTTTTTGGTCAGCAATGATATGGTTGAATTGAAAAGGGAATTTGACAAGGCTTAAGGCTTAAGGCTGGTAAATATCCCATCAAAGCGTCACATGGCATTGTTCTTTGCCTGGTTCGTGGGGGATAGTTTATTGGTTTAGGTTTGTTCGCTTCAGTTAGGGTTCCACTTAATCGAAAAACACTTCATTGTCATTGGACGGCATTCTAGTTGCTTTGGTTGATCAAGCCATGACTTGGATAAATGTCAATTAGATATCCCTTAGGCTAGCAAGCTCTAATTCTGTTGTTGTCGCATACAATTACCTGGTTACAATGTAAGAGCATTTACTAGAATGGGAGGTTACATAGTCAGGAATTTCTCGTATGCTGTGTCGATGGTGGAACTTTGTGGGACGATGCATGCTTTGGCATCCACCTACCCTAGAGTAATTAAGCATCATCTAGGCTTTCCTTAAGAGAAGTTTCGGACACTGTTGTTTTCATATTTTACCAATTTTGTTCTCGGTATTTGCATTTTCTCACCTTCTGCAATCACAATGCTCACCCCATGACCTCGTTGACCTGGCCATGCTCTGTTTCCATGAGTTGACGAAACTTTATTTCTGTAAATATTTTAATAGGGTGTCAAGGATGAAGTAGAAAGGCAGAAGATGCAATGCATGCATTGTCTCAATGGAATAAATGATGAGCCAAAGTTTCTGGAGCCGGCAGGACATGATCAGTTCCATGCATCCCTTAGTGCATTGAAACTTCAATCCAAGTACCCGATCCACGATTGTCCAAGGGAGCTGTCGAGTCCCGGCGAAGGAACCGAACATCCCAGACCACTCTCAGCCTAGAATTATTCCATCTTCGACCTCTCCAACTAATTTAGTTGAAACTAACGTGGCTAAACAAAGAACCGTTTCTTTTTGAACAGGTGCTATGAGTACAATTTAGTCTGAGGTGTTAGATTACTAACTCTAGCAATGAGGCCTCCGAGAGACCCACGATGCGCAACTGTATATTTCGCTGATATGGTTGTCAACATTGTTCTGATTGAGAGGCCGCTTATTGTCTCGGTTATCATGCAAAGTTGTTTTGTGATGGTACTGGTCATATTCTTTTTAACTCTAGACAATGAGAACTGTCCAGCACCCCGAGTCAATGGGCGAAGGCCGACATCAAGACTGAGTTAAGCATTTTGTTGGAAGCTGCACTTCTTTAAGGAGAAAGAGGCATCATCCATTCATCTGTAGGTTCACTGAATGCTTGCAAAAGGCCAGGAATGAGAACGATGTGTCTAAACCACCTTCTTCATTAAGTTAAAGGAAAATGCACAATCACCAAAACAATGGAAAGGTGTATCTGGCAGCCCGGCTGTTAATGTAGGCCAAACTCGTGCCCGCCTCATGACCTTCGGAAAGTTGAGTATTATTTTGGGCCTTAACAAAGCCCGCTGACCAAGATTGGACCAAAACTGACCCTCGAATGCCTTGTCAATGGGCCCTTGCCTATTAATAAGGCTCATTGATGAGGATGTTGGGCCTTCGTGGGCCCAGGGAAACGGTCTTATAGGCCCATTAAGGCCCAATACCTCTTCATAGAAATTGGCCCACTTTTTGAGCCTAGTTAAGGACCAAAACTTTGGGTCTTAACTGGGCCCAGAATAAGGTGATTGGTTCCCGATCTAATCCGGTCCCACCTAGGAACTGGGAACCAACCAGTTAGTCCTAGAACCAAACTGAACCCGGGCAGTCCAACGGAATCGGTGGACGCTGAGCTTGTTGGCCAAGTCTAGGTTGCGTTAATTCTGATTTGCTTTGGTCTCTCTCCCCCCGCCTCCTTCACTTCTTTCTTCCTTCTTCCCTTGCGTTCGCACTCGTCTTTCGTTCCAGCAAATGCTCTCATCATCCGTTTTAGTTTTGGACGACAACAGAGTCCAACCCATGGCATGAATGAATCGTTTCAATTTTTCTCTCCGGGTTTTGTGTCTACTCTCTTCATTTTCGAGTTGATAGATATCCGATGCTTATGTGGATTAACAATGGACAAGATACTAGCAAAAATGAAGGGAAAAAGGCTAGGGACTTTCTGGCTTCAACCATCAAATATTGCTGATGTTTGGATCGGGCGGTTCAGTTCCCACCTTGGAATCGGGAACCGGATCGCCAATCATCGGTTCCAACTTTATGGCCGTTGCCCTTGGGAAACGCCCAGAACTGGTTGGTCCGGTCCGGTCTGGGCGGTTCCCAGTTCGGGTGGTTCCCATTGCACACCCTTAGCCCAGAACATGGGCCTTGGGCCATTAAGGCTAAAGGCCAGCCCATAAGCCTCCCTGGGCCCTGAAATTGGCCTTATTAGCCCATCAATGCTCACTGAAGATGGGCCACATTTGGGCTTCGTTGGCCCAAAGAAGGCCCAAAACAACCCGCCTCTTTTGACATCACAAGTCTGATGGCAACATCACTTGATACAGAGGCATATGTAACTAAAATGAGGCATCGAGTTGGAAAAATCCCGACTCCAGACACATTAGAACAACTGAAAAACCATAAAGGAAAGAGTACAGCTTCAGTTCCAAATTCAGTTACCGGTTTCACATAATTTACTCTGTTTTTGCATCTCTCTCCTAACTGCTGCGTAAGAGCTAGTCATTGTAAACATGTTGGCATCAGTTCCATCTACAGTGGGAGTTCACCACTGTCTGCAATCACGACTTTGCTTTTGGGGGTGCCACTTTGCCTTCCCTCAGCTTCAATCTTGTAAACCACGTCCATTCCAGACAACACTTTCCCGAACACAACGTGTCTCCCATCAAGCCTGTAACAAAATTAAAAGTTAAGACTGTCGGCAGGTACCCACTGTGTATTGACCCCCACAGAAGTATCCAAAAGCCAAAACACTAGACAAAATTTCCTGAACATGGTTGAAATTGAGAGAAAATGAAGAACTCTGCCCCCTTTTAATCCAACCAACACGAGGAATTATTATTCAGCCGTGTTTCAATGACCTAACCAATCACTAGCCAAATGATTCACATTAACCACAGCAAGTGCATTGCTACATCTATAGCTAGTTCTTTTCTACATGGAAGTATGGAAACTTTTTGTTAAGGATTTCACATACCAACTAGTCGTCACAGTTGTGATGAAAAACTGTGAACCATTTGTGTCAGATCCGGCGTTCGCCATAGACAAAAGCCCTGAAGAGAGAGATGTGAAACTATCTTTCAGCTAACCGAAATCACTGACAAAGGAAACTCTCCCTTAACCTACAATCCAAGTAAGATAATATCAAACCTACCTGGTCCAGTGTGCTTCAACTTAAAGTTCTCATCAGCAAACTTCTCTCCGTATATGGACTCACCACCTCTGCCATCACCATGAGTAAAGTCACCACCCTGTAGCATGAAGCTTGGAATGATCCGGTGGAAACTGCTTCCCTTGTAGTGAAGAGGTTTCCCACTCTTTCCAACTCCTTTCTCACCTGAAATCATTAGGAATGAAATGATTTACATTTCAAAAAGGACTGAAGCATCAAACTGAATCTGACACTGTGGTAGACTATGAGAAGGGGACCAAAGCATGTACGAATGCCAAAGATCGGGACAGAACGAGCCATTTACCAGTACACAGCGCTCTGAAGTTTTCTGGAAAAGAAATAATAGGTTGAAGTCAACAGCAGGATTAAACATCCGTTACAAAGAAAATATAAATATGCTTCTCTTATAAGCAAAAATGGCGTCCATTACGTACCAGCAGTCTTTGGAACTGTTTTTCCAAATAGACCCATGACAATTCGACCTAGAAACAGATGAAGATACATCAGCAATCGCAAGCCAGAACTATCCTTTATGCAGAAAATTCCGACAAAACATTGACAAATCACGTGCAACGGTATTTGCAGACAGCACCATCATTTAGATTTCTTATGGTTTCCAATAATGGACAGAAAACAACACCTTCCTCTCCAATAGAACAAGTTAGAGGGCACAACTGGCTAACAGGTATAGAAAATCAGAGGAGCATTATTGGTCAATGCAGAATCGCAAGTTTCGCTTCACACTAAGAAAGAAGCTTTTATCAGTGATCTCCACTAGGATAATTGCAATTCATGTGTTACATCACACTCCAAATTGACTTCTCTTGATCCCAACAAGTAAGGCAAGTGTAAAAGCTAAAACTACAAAGATTAAAGCAAGAGTATGAGAATGTATGGGTTTCGAGGTAATTAATCCCACGTCGCCGTCCAGGCTATCCAAGTGAAGCAGTGCGTACCTGCTGGTTTTCCAGCTATCTCCACATCAAAATAAACTTTGTGAGTCACGTCTTTCAAATCCTCAGACTGCTTCGCCTGAAAAAGCACACAATTCAAAAATTTACACCAAGAAGATACTGTAAGTAGCTCACGGCATTCCATAATTACTCCGTTTCCTACTGAGCAACCCGAAGCGCATCACTACATACCTAATAACTTCCATATCGCTGCATCTAACAATTAAGATCGATCACGATTCAAGAGTGAAGATAATCACACGGCCTCGTGAGTTTACATCTGACAAACAAATCTCGATTATCTCGGGTCGACTTTGAACGCCTTCACGGCATGATAGGGTTAATGCGATTCAATTCGAGTTCCGAATAGAGAAGAATTGCGACTATCTACACCAAACGGATTCAATCAATTACGCCAAACAGATCCATTGAGCAGCTCACGGCATCCCCAAATCACTAATTTCCTACTGATCAATGCGAAGCGCATCGCTACACGCCAAGAAAACGTCGATGATATCGCGTCTAAAAATTAGGATTGATCCCGATTCACGATTGAAAAGAGATTCAGCTGTCTCTTATCAACTTCACCTCCCGCTTCGTGGCAAGCCAAGTTCCATGCGATTCAATCGGAATAAAAAATGGAGGAGAATCGCGACGATCTACGGATGCTAAGAGCCAGCCGCTCGAATCCGAAGTACCTGAGCGAGAGCTAGGGTTGCAAAGAGGAGCAGAGCACAGAGGAAAAACGATCTCGCCGTCGCCGTCGCCATCTCCACGATCTCCGAGCACGCTTGAAGAATGTCGAGTAGAGAGGCCGATGGTTGTAACAAATACATTGAGCGTGGAAAACACAGACCTAATTAGTGAACAAAGTACCGCCAATAGGAGAAGGACACGTGGCTCTGCTTGGATCCTATTGGCTCGGGAGGCGTGGACGTCAAATATGATCATTAGCCCCCCTACACTCCCCATCCACCCCACTACGCCAAAATTTTAATCGAGATTAAAATTTAATTAGCCGTTAGCTGAAAATTGATTAGCCCAAATATGTTGATTTATCTTCATTTTCATTTTAAATAAATAGACTGAGTTGTTGAGAAAATAACACGATATGATAGAAAAATTCTAAATAGGGACATGAAGTGATATCGTTTTCTCGAAAGAGTGTCTGAAGTAAACTTTATCTAAAATAAGGTCTCGAAGCGATCATTTAACCTCAAATAATTAACTCGTCGGCCGACAAGGAGGTGTATCTCACAAACGACCACAGTTGGCTGCATAGGATTACGCTACAAGGAGTAAATATCTTTCACCGTTTTAAATTGGACTCGGTTTCTTTATTACTCTACATAACTTTTTAAGAGAAATCTCAGAGTAAACACGGAAATTCTAGAAAATTAGGGGAATCAAGTTATTAAAGAACAACTACTATTATTTGTCCTGTTACAAAAAGTTTGAGAGGGTAAGACTTCGAAAACCAAAGGGAAGACGGCTTTTGAGATAATGTCAAAATAGACTAACGATCTCAATTGGCGTGAGTTCTCTCAAACACTTACTTTGCGTGACGTTAGGATTTGCATTTCAATTTGATTAATTCTATGAGGATTCTATCACGTGAAGGAGTCACCATTAGCCTATTGGGGCCAGCTAGGAGCCAAGTGAGGCACGAGAGAATATCTTGCTTCTTACACAATCAGAGATCTAACTTTAGAGATTTGGTTACACTAATTTTCTAATTGATATCCCTTCAATACCTTAAGTTGATCATTTGTCATCTAAGTGTCTCATACAATCTTTTGTCCAATTATGAACCCTAGAGTTTTTGTCCACTAAGTGTCCATGTAATATTTTCATATTGATTATGGCTCCTATAAATGACCTATCCATCAATCTAAGGAAAAGAATCACGACACAAAAGACAATATGAAGAAATCACTATCACACATTAAATGGGCAAGAAAGAATAAAAGTGCGGAAAGTAACCCGATACGATATAGGGTAAAGAATATTACAAGACCTCGTTATGAACCTAGACCATGATTCCTATGAGCTTCTACCATAAGCTAAACATGCAAGGACTATGAGCCGTATGGAATGCAACGACCCATTATGTGAACTAGTCCTTTTTGGTCATTGTAGAAGGGGTCCTTTGATGCAATAGTCCATTTTTCAATCAAGATTGCTGCCCAATTCAGTCATTTCAGGCGCGAATAATAATCATTCTGTTCCAGAAATCAATTTTTGGCCAAAAAAAAGATTTTTTCTATTTCTATTCCATGGACAAGTTTCTGAGCCAAATTATGCGTTTGATAACGACACAAAAATTATATTTCTGAAATATAAATTCATTTGTACAACACAAAAGGCGACGGACTCCGGCGGATATTGTGGGAGGCGGCCTAGCGATGGGGAGGCGGCGGTAGTGGGAGGTGGCCGGCATTGGGTGGTGAAGGAGGACGGCGACAGGAGGTGGCCGGCGGCGGAGGATGATGACGGGAGGCGGTCGGCGGGTGAGCAGCAGTGAGAGGTGGGCGATGTTGGGCGGCGGCGGCGGGAGGTGACCGGTGTTGGGCGGCGGCAAGGCGGCCGATGGCGGAGGACGCGAGGCGGTAGTCGTTGGCCAAAGAAGGCGGACCGACGGTGAGGAGGTGGTTGCCGCGGCATTGAGGCGGCGAAGGAAGGTAGACGGCGGGCAACGGGAGATGGCGGCGAGAGGTGGCCGGCGGGCGAATGGCAACAAACAACGGTCGGTAGGTGGCGGAGGCGAGCTCGGCTGGCGGTGGTGCAAGTTGTCTTGGGTTTTGTCAACTATAAATGCTGCCACAATGCAGCAATGTGTGATTGCTTCCACTTTTCTGAAATCTAAAAAGCCTCCTTGTTGCAGCCCCATCTTCAGGCCATTACAGCTGGAGCTCACCAAGCATTTGCACCAGTTTGGGAGCTAAGCTTGGTTCTCTTACTCTAGTTCATATCTAGTTCTTTTTAGCTCGATTTCCAGCCTAATTTTGACCAGAGGATGGCCGATTCTATGATGCTTAGGGTGTGCAAAGATGTGGGATTAAGCGGGTGTTTATCGGCAGGGACAAAAACGAGATTGAAGAGTCGAGCTTAATGTGAATTCAATTGATCTGGGAGCTTCGGTGTTCTCAGCGATTGAATTTTTCACCATCGAGTCTGATATCCGAAAATTATAATGTCCCTAGTAACTAACTACAGAAAAAATCTAACGAAAATTAACATAGGATGATGAAACGACGACGTTTTTGGTCAAAGGACAAATTTCTAGTTTTGATCGAAAAAAGTGAACATTTTTATTTATTTATGAAATGGTTCGTAAAATGCAATGAATGCAGAATTTGATAAATTGATTATTTTTTTCGTGTGAGGATCGAGCTCTGTCGCAATCAGAAATCTCGAGCACCGAAGTGATTTTCTTTATAAATATACGCTTACGAGTCAGCGAAATTCAATTATCAACAAGTGTGCATCTCAACGCTCCCGCATCTTACCGAAGGTTAGACTGACTACTTACTTACTCACCTAAAAAAGTTTATTCATACCGATATAAGTAAATTTTCTATATTTAAAACAATTGTGAATGAATAATGGACCTCGAAAATTCGTCATATACATGTAAGAGCAAAATAGCTTCTAGCGAGAGCGGCGGATGAGCTATGACTCAGCTCTGTCCATACTATTTTCTTTTAAGCAAACAGAAAAACGAAAAAGCTCCTAATGACGATGGAGCCAAGTACATGTTAGGTCCTCTATAGTGGAAAATTCGTTTTATAGAGGATCCATTGATCATTCGACACGTAATAAAAAAAAAGTTAATTTCGATAAGAAAGTCTCCACGTATATTGAAGAGATCGATTTTGGAACATATAAAGTCAAAAGTCAAAATCTTTTTTTATAAAAGAAGGATGCTTTTCATTGTGAACATGAAAATGAACCAAATTAAACGAAAATTTCAACGGATTATCAAGTCGAAATTAAATTCATTTCTTATCAAAAAGGCAAAAGCACGAGTTAATTAAAGTTAGAAAAGAATGGTACTATCTTTTCAAGCATGATTTTCGATATTTATTTCCTCAAAACCATGACATGCCACTCGTAAGAAATCAAGTGAAAATGATGCCACTATCTTTTGGCAAAATGCATGCTCGCCTAATTTGATTTTTCCTAATCGGAAACTCCTAAAATTTTCCTGATACTTGTGGTTGTGGACACTGAGATTCTCATATAATTTCTGTGATCTTTTTAAATTTCAATGATATTTCCCAGAGATTTTTTGTTTCGACCCCCCAAAAAAAAAAAGAGGCATGTAACCTGGAATTAAAGTTTCTGACATAGAGAAAAAAACATCTGGAATTAAAGTAGCCATCATTAAACCAGAATCCAGGGCACAATCAACACCTTCAGATTTTCCTGCCAAATATAGAAAGATGTCGATATTTCGCGGTTCTGCTCTGCCCGTGGGACACAATCTCCAGAAATGACCACACAAACTTCCATAATCTCCCTTCCAAGCCAACTTGTTCGCCCTCCCTACTTATTATTGCTCACCCCTCTCCCCCCAATCTCTCGTCTCATCTCTCTCTCCCTTCCATTCGTTTCCTCTCCTCTGTCTCTCTCTGTTTTTTTCCGAGCAATCCTCATCTTCATCATCTACTGTGAACGTTATCCTCGTCGTCCGTACCCGATGGAGGGTTCAGGCGTAGTCACCGTGTACGGCAACGGCGCCATAGCCGAGGCCACCAAGAAGTCCACCTTCTCCGTCAAGGTGGGCCTCGCCCAGATGCTCCGCGGCGGCGTCATCATGGACGTCGTCAACGCCGAGCAGGCCCGCATCGCCGAGGAAGCCGGGGCGTGCGCCGTCATGGCCCTGGAGCGCGTGCCCGCCGACATCCGCGCCCAGGGCGGCGTGGCCCGCATGAGCGACCCCCAGCTCATCAAGGAGATCAAGAACGCCGTCACCATCCCGGTCATGGCCAAGGCCCGCATCGGGCACTTCGTGGAGGCCCAGATCCTGGAGGCGCTGGGCATCGACTACGTGGACGAGAGCGAGGTCCTCACCGTCGCCGACGAGGACAACCACATCAACAAGCACAACTTCCGGATCCCCTTCGTCTGCGGCTGCCGGAACCTCGGGGAGGCGCTGCGGCGGATCCGCGAGGGGGCGGCCATGATCAGGACCAAGGGCGAGGCCGGGACGGGGAACGTCGTGGAGGCGGTGAGGCACGTGAGGTCGGTCATGGGGGACATAAGGGTGCTGCGGAACATGGACGACGACGAGGTCTTCGCGTTCGCCAAGAAGATCGCGGCGCCCTACGACCTGGTGATGCAGACCAAGCAGCTGGGGAGGCTGCCGGTGGTGCAGTTCGCGGCGGGAGGGGTGGCGACCCCGGCCGACGCGGCGCTGATGATGCAGCTGGGGTGCGACGGGGTGTTCGTGGGGTCGGGGGTGTTCAAGAGCGGTGACCCGGCCAAGAGGGCGAAGGCGATCGTGCAGGCGGTGACGCACTACACCGACCCGGAGCTGCTGGCGGAGGTGAGCTGTGGGTTGGGGGAGGCTATGGTGGGCATTAATCTGAACGATGATAAGGTCGAGAGGTACGCGAATCGATCGGAGTGAAATTAGCATTGGATTGCTTCTGGCTTTTAGCGCTTAGCATCGTGTCTATTCCCATAATTGTGTAGTGGATTTCAGCGCTCTCTTTTCTTTTCATCGATGCTGTGAAATCTTTCCAAAGTTTCAACTTTCCAGTTTCAGCCATACTGGTTTTGGTTTGACACAACACTAGAAGCCTTTATACATGTATCTTGGCATCTCTCTGTTCTTTTCATTGATGCCGGGGAATTTTTCCCGAAGTTCAGGTGCGGTCTGTAGTGTCCCATAAATTCACACTCTTCATAATACACCAAAGCCTAATGTTTCGTCGATTATTCAATTTTGTACACCGTGAGAGCCTCGATTAAACTGCAAAGACCAAAAGCATTACAGGAATCAGAAGCAACAAGCATTTGAAACCTTGTTATGTGCTAAAGACTAAGGACCAAGCATACTTCGCTGCTTCGGTAGGTCATCACACTTTCACCGAGGTTGATGAATGCGTCGAGGGGCAAACTCGCATTCTGAACTGAATTCCTGCAGAATTTTGGAGACCCCATTACCGGTGATTTTAGTGCTCTGTCCATGGGTGACTTTGGCATGCTGGGGTTCTTCAACACAGCTTTAGCATCCATCTGCACGCCTGTTATCCCAGAAATAATCAAGACACCAGCTTCAAAATTCAGAATCCATTTCCTCCAGCAACAATTTCCAGATTTATTTAAATTGCTTCACTAAAACATTCGACCAAGGATAAATCTTATCTTTCATCAAACGTAGAAACAGAAATACTCCTACTGATTTCTACAAGTACCCATACACAAGCTAGACCCTATATTTATCAAAAACTACAAGGTATGTTTCTGAATTTTGTCAAAATCCTCGATTTGTTGTCTCTATTTCCTCTTGAAATTCATATGTTACACAAAATCACAACTTTAATTTAATCGCTTCACCATTTAATCAATACACTACTAGGATCGTTACTATTGAGCAGTTTCCTTTCCTCTTCACCAGCGCCCAAGGGATCTGATCCTCCTTTTTCCCTCTTGTCAACACCATCAAACTCATCCACAAACATGAACTTGTCATCGTTAATCTACAGAATTATATTATCCTCACAATCAAAAGCATTGTCACAATCATTTGCTTCAAAATCATCATGATAGCGATGATGATGAGGACAATAGGAGGATCGAGTTAATTGGACGTACCAGAATGCAAGGCATGCCCAGCAAACTACTATTTACATAAGTACATACGCAATTACAACCCAAATAAGCAACTTCCCAAAAAACCAGTAGAACTGATAGAACTTAGAAGAAGCACCAAAAGGCAGCAATTTACTGAGTACACTGCATCAAACTGCCTTCATGGCATATCAGGAATCCACTAAAAGAAGAGGCATTTTGTCTCGGTCACATAAAGGATTCAGTAAAAAATTTATGCGAATTCATTGGAGATCGGCAAAAACACGAAATCAATTTAATTTCAGCCCACTCAGATGCAGAAAACCGAAAAGTAAAACCACGGAGAAAATGCCATAACTTAACTATCACCAAGCCAGCGTAAAAGAGTATACAAAGAAAACAAATTGTCCTATATCTACTCTGCCTCGGTTCCAGAATATTCGAAGCTGATAAAACCAAACCTTACAGAAAACGGAAACATATCTATAGAGGTATATTCCCAAAACTAGAGAGTAAGATCAAAACAGAGCAAGATCCAAAATGACTAACTTTGGTCTGACATAATCCCACCGGAGCATATCAAAAGAGAACACTATCCATTGAATCCTCAACAGCCTCCACTTCTTCAAATGACTTTTGTCTTCACACAAAACTAGAGACCCAAAATAGACAAGAGATTCTAGATTGAGAAGCAACACTAAATGCAACTCTATCTAGTATCTTAATCTACATACTATAAAAGAAAAACTGTGTGTTTAAGTGTGAAGGCGAAGACCAAAACGAACCTAGCGAGAAAGGAAGTGAGAAGAGAGAAAATGGAGGAAAGTTCGTTTCTTTGCCTCGAAGAACACAACCCATCTACTCTTCTTCCACATTTGTTGAGAGAGATATCCTTGCCTTGGTTTGGCGAAGCCGCTTTCTTCAGCAACAAGCGACGAAGTTGAGAGAAGCGTCAATCAGAAGAGCTTGAAGCGCGAGGAAGAAGAGGTAACGCTGTGAGTGAAGATGGGAAATTGACATTTTCATTAAAACTTTGGCTGAGAGCACGCAGAAAATGCTACTTCTCAAAGCTCCTCCATCCTGCATTGAGCTACGGTCCTTTGGAGATCTTTTCCCCAAAACTCTCTAAAAGGCCTAAAAGGCTTTGCAAAGGTGTTGCCAAACGCATTCTTAGATACTGTGCTGATCGGCTTTAATTGATGAAGCTTGGACAATCATATGCGATTTTGCGATATCTGGGGAAAATCATGTACTGATCAAGTTTTGAGCACAATTCAAAAGTCTAGCTTCTCTGAAAGAAGACTCTGCAAACGAACTCCTACCGTTGCAGAACCACTGAAGAAAAGCCTCCATGGCATATATCATTGTGTCCCCGTGTGCTCGTTTATGCATATTGATCGCGGTAAGGCCCTGTACTGATACAACTAGTCGAGCAGTTCCTGCATTCAGACTGGAGTACTGCTGGACCTATCTGGGAAACAGCACAAAACTGTAGTAGTAAAAAACATCAAAAGCAGAATATTAAGTAGAACGACCACGGCTTTAGCTTAAACTCCGAATACATAAACTATGGCTTCTCAAGCAAATGCGCCGGCAATGTCACGTCAAGAAGCAGAGTCATGCGGCAGAGTGACCAACAAAGGAGCTCAAAAGAGATGGTTGGGCTTGGGCGAATTGGGACTATAGACCAGCCCGAGATTGTCAATTGGGCCAAACAACAGAGACTCGGCCGAATGATGTTCAGGCCTATGATGCGAATCATGCGACGGCTGCCATGGGAACATGGCTTTAGGTGCACTTGTCATGCGAAAGAGGTCTTGCTTTGCACCCGACGGCATCGAGTGATGTAGACGTGTCTTATAATGTTAATAATACAAGATCAAGATTGATTTCTTGGTGCAACGGTCCTTATATTTGGTTTTTCTTTGACAATTATTAATCGAAGACAGCGCACGTACAACTAATCAATGCCAGTTAGTTGAGGGCAGGATTCAGAAATCAATGAGTTCACATGCGTTGGGATATTGAAAGTGTTCACATTGCCGATGCCAGAAAGCTAAAAAAATCTACAGATCCGTGCAAACTTCCAGAAAGCACACAGGAAGAAGCACTGGTTTACGCTGTAAAAACTTTTTTACTTCCGAGGTGAATATCAAATGACACGACAACGTAAGCAGTATGTGTCTATTAAGTAATCGGTAATCGTACTGTCCTTAGGAAATTTATATTGCGCGGTGGCAATTGGCCCCGCTTGCATCGTCAGCGTTATGACGCTCTTCACTGCCCTTCGAGCGTGTACATTGGAGGCATTCAAAGGTCACTTGCTTTTTCAGTTCTTTTTACGGTGACTTCTTTTATAACGCAAGAAAAGTTCGGACCCACCGAAGCAAACAAGGAGTTTCGGACAAAACCGATTCTTGATATGCTTTCGAGATAACGATTCGAGTAGAAATGGACGGGAAATAGTGCTCCTGAAATATACAATGCGAAACCGAAATCAATGCATAATTTAACATCGAAAATTTAGTGTTACACTTTTGCATATGTGAATAATATCGAGATAGGTAACCTTGTGAGAGGCTCTTAACCGTTCCTTAAAGAAAAATGAATTCTAATTTTCTAGCTCCCGAGAGTTTTAGCCGAAGTTTTTCTATGTTGGTAAGCACCTAGAAATTTTGATTAGGACATTAACAACTACTTCGAATCTTCTTGGTCTTATATTTTGTAAGCGTAAACATTCTTTGCAAATCGCATCACGATACGTGAATGGGAATAGCATTACTTCGAGCAGGGTCAGCTTTAAGGGGCGAGCCAACTCCAATATTTTTCTGGAGTAGTTCCTCCAAGTCCACCAAATCAATCATGTAGATGTGTGAAAGTGAACAAGAGAGGCTTCGACCATACTTGTCTGAATTCCGTGCAGATGCAGGAACCCTTCTCTTTTTTCTTTTCTTGACAGAGGAAAATAAGATCTAAATTACCCACGTGGGAGATAAGAGGGAGACCTTCGAGTCAACCTGATGGAGGTCAACATGCAAAATACGGATGGGGACAGCCACTACGAACGAGAGACATGCCGTGGGGTCACCTTTCCCTTGGAGGGTCTCGAACTGTCGTACAAATCTTTACTAATTTCATGCATTGGAAAGCACAGACGACGATTCCTATCGAATATGCAAATACCCATTTTTGCAAAATGAGCAATTTCCCAGCTTTTAGCAGCTTAGAGTGAGCTTAGCTTTCCATTAAGGTCTTTATCAGCAACAAAGGCGATGGACTTTAATCATGTCCACAGAGCTCGGCGTACAACGAGCAAAGGATCAGATAATATATCCGGAAAAAGCAGAAGGGCCGACAAAAGGAAGAACGTTGATTATATTATGTGCCGAGCGAAGGAGACGAGCGAGCACTATCCAATAATTTATTGTCTTCAATCATTAATTTAAACACATCTCTCTCTCTCTCTCTCTCTCTCTCTCTCTCTCTCTCTCTCTCTTAGCATGAATTCATGGCGATTATGAGCACCTAATCCACGTTTTCTTTACACATATTAAACTCCGTCGTCCTGCTAATTCTTTACTGTTCCTGTCCGTTCCTCTGCTTCTACCCTTTGGGTTTCTCCGTCTCTCTCTCTCTCTTCTCCGACCGTTGTGTTCGTCTCCCAAGAACAAGAAGGCGCAGATCGAGCCGGCAGCCCACTTGGTCTGATCGTTTGGTTCTTGGAATGGGGAGCTACAGATTCTGCCTGTGCTTCACCAGGAAGTTCAAGGTGAAGGAGGCGGAGCCGCCGGAGGACGTGAAGCAGGCCTTCGAGAAGTACGCCGATGGCGGCGCCACCATGTCGGCGGAGCAGCTCCGGCGTTTCCTGGAGGAGGTGCAGGGGGAGGGCGGCGCCTCGGTCGCCGACGCGCAGAGGGTCGTGGATCAGGTCCTCCAGAAGCGCCACCACATTGCCAAGTTCGCGAGGCACGCTCTCACCCTCGATGATTTCCACCATTTTCTCTTCTCCGCTGATCTCAACCCGCCTATTGGATCTGAGGTATATTCAGCTCCTTCTTGCTCTGGTTTGATTTGAGCTGAATGAAGCTGTCAACCTGAGTCTTCGGCCTTGTGTTGACCATCAGTTGTACGGTTTCCTACTAAAAGCGAGCTCTTTATTGCAAGTGGTTTAACTCGTTCCTCAAATGGAGCTTTCCTGGTTTTGGTGAGTGAAGATCGCGAGAGTTTATACATCTGCATCGGAATGGACATAAGTGGAATGAAATGCTTTTTTTTTTTTTATGGGTGTTGGGCACTTATTATAGTTTGAATGTTGGAATTAAAGAGGAGCTGTGAAGTTTGCTGCTTTTAGTAAATCACCATTCGATCGTGTTTGTATATTGTGCTCTTCTCAATACTAATGTGCGGTCCGCTATGTTGTGAACTAAGAAAGATCTCGAATTTACTAGTTTCCATATCCATTTGAATTAGCAGTGCATCCGTATGAGTATTTCTCTGCTCATTCACTCTTGAACCATGTGTTCATTTCTAATAGATGTAATGACCCATAAGGACCAACTGTATCATGAAGGTGAGATCTTTGTGGTCAACAAACTCAATTCGTCTTTCTTTCAGGTTCACCAAGATATGACAGCTCCCTTGTCCCATTATTTCATATACACGAGCCACAACTCGTACCTCACGGGAAACCAGCTAAGCAGCGATTGCAGTGATGTCCCGATCATCAAGGCACTGAAGCGAGGGGTGAGAGTGGTGGAACTTGATATATGGCCGAACTCAGCAAAGGATGATGTGCACGTTCTCCATGGAAGGTTTGCATCTAATTCCTTGGCTTCTTTCTTTGCCCGACAATAATCTTTTGCCTCTACTTCTTGAGATGGGCCTCTTCTTTTTATACCCTCCGATTGCGAAACGAGATATTTTCAATTTAGTAGTTTAAAGTACTCTCCATTGGTAAAGTACTAATCTATACATATTCCACAAATAAAAGATGCTATTTCACTTGTCCAACCGAAACAAGAAACTATAATGGAAAAATCATGATCCACCTGTGTATCCAGCGTCATGTCTGTCATTCTAAAAATGCCCTTTCTCCATAGAAGTTCTACAATCTAATGCCTGGGGCGCATGTTCCGAGTTTAGCCCTTTCAAATTGCTTGCAGTTGCAGAGCCATTACTACAGAATCCAAACATCCGCACTTTTGTAATAGAGCATATAATGTGTAGGATAGTTTTTCTTCTGGCAAGAAAAGCTCAACTTGAAAAATGACTTCACTTTCACAGGGAATGCCGAATTTTGCAATCTCTTGTATCATAGCAGAGTTATAGGGGGTTATCAGGCTATTCTAGCCCTGGGTATGTATCAGTTCAGCACCTTGTGCTGTATTAGAGTTGACAACATAATCTATATTCTCAACCCCATTTTTTCAATGTTCGAGTATATCAACTCTTTTATCTAAGATGGAGAAGTGAAAAGGTTATCTGATTGGTTCATCCATTACTAATGAAGCATTACAACTCCAGGGCAGGTTCCATCACCTAGCCTTTCCAAATCTTGTCTGAGTATGTTTTCTGTATGGATGCAGAACCTTGACAACTCCGGTGGAACTCATCAAATGTTTAAAATCTATAAAAGAGAATGCTTTTGCAACATCTCCTTATCCTGTTATAATAACACTCGAGGACCACCTAACTTCAATGCTCCAGTCTAAAGTAGCTGAGGTGAGTTCTCGTCAGTCTCTTGTACTCCCATTACCCTTTCTTGCTCACACTTTAGTAATAAAATCTGTATTCTCAGATGGTCACCGAAACATTTGGAGATATGCTTTATTACCCTGAAGCTGAATTGAAGGAATTTCTCTCACCTGAAGACTTGAAGTATCGCATAATTATATCAACCAAACCACCGAAAGAGTACCTTGAAGCTAAAAGTATAAAAGAGAGCAGTCATTTGGAGAAGAAGGATTCTGAGGATGATATATGGGGAAATGATCCATTGGATGTTTCGCTTACTCAACAGGAAGATGATAAGGTCCGCTGGGCTTTCAGTACAACACTTACCCATATGCAATTTTTCATATCTTCTTAATGGTGCTGAAATACTCAACTTCCTAGCTTTTAGATTAATTGCTACTTTTTCTGTTTTCCCTGTAATAAATTCTATGCAGAATGAGGGTGAAACTAATGAACACAGTCATGAAGCTGAAGAAAGCGATGACTGTGAAACTGAATCATGTCAACCAGGAGGACCTACTTACAAGCGTCTGATTGCTATACATGCTGGGAAACCAAAGGGTGGGTTAAAGGAAGCACTAAAAGTAGAGATTGATAAGGTTAGACGCCTCAGTCTGAGTGAACAAGCACTTGAAAAGGCCACCGAGTCTCATGCAACAGACGTTGTGAGGTACTTATATCCAAGATAACATTGTTGAGTGGATCTTTTTGTACAGATTATTGGCCATTCTGCTGATGTCCATGTTTTTTTTTTTTTTGGGGGGGGGTAAATATATCAAAGTCTACTGCATATGATGTTTCTGCCTGTTAATTGCAGATTTACTCAGAAGAATTTCTTGAGAGTTTACCCCAAGGGTACTCGATTCAACTCCTCCAATTACAAGCCGCTAGTTGGTTGGATGCATGGAGCTCAGATGGTTGCATTTAACATGCAGGTTTGCTTCAGTAATTCAAATTTCTTTGAGCATAGGTGGAATGTGTTTCAGGTGGCTCCCAGCATTATATAGGGGAAAGGTCTTGCCATAAATTGTAATAGGAGTAGTTGGCTTTGTTGCGAGGCTGCTTATAGGACAAAAATCAATTGCTGAATTGGTTCCACTAGCAAAAAGCTAGTAGTGCAAATTCTGTAGTGAGAGGGAAATATAAGCTGGTTTGGTTTTAAATTAAATTAAACTCTTAATTCAACGGGGTTATAACTCATTGGCTTCAAGAGCGATTGCTTACTACATGTTAATCGACAATTGCAGGGTTACGGAAGATTTCTTTGGTTGATGCATGGTATGTTTAGAGCCAATGGGGGGTGTGGCTATGTCAAGAAGCCCGACTTTCTGATGAGAGTGGGTCCAGATAATCAAGTTTTTGATCCCAAAGCAAAACTGGATGTGAAGAAAACTCTGAAAGTACTGTAGCAAAGATCTCCTCCTTGTTTCAACCCTTATACCTTGGTCTTTGTCCACATATTGTTCTGTTTTTTTGGATAAAAAATACTGCAATCTTTTGTTCACAGGTGAGAGTGTACATGGGAGATGGATGGCATTTAGACTTCACACAAACGCACTTCGATTTGTATTCACCACCAGATTTTTACGCTCGCGTAAGCCTTTTTATCTTGGTTAATGAGATATTCCTGTATCTAAAATGCTTTGTTAAGCTGGTCATTTAACATGCATCTTCATGAGGCAAACTAGACTTGGAGCCTGTAGGGGGCAATATATTTGTTCCCAAATGAAATTGGTTCCTAAGCAAGTTCTAAAGATAGACAAGCTGCTTTCACTGGAGCATATCGAACATCATCCACTCTTGGGACAACATAAAAGTAAATTAAACTTTGAATATGTTAAAACACTGTGGTGTAAAAGTGGACTCTAGTGCATATTGGTGATTTTCCTGTCTAAATATCTCATACCAGGCTTCTTACCAAAGCTCCTTTTTGTTTTTGTGGCCTATGTTTTCTGTAATGTTGCTTTCTCAAGAACATATCTGTTGATAAGTGGTGGTACAGATCTTGCAAGACTAATAGGACTTAGAGACAGGCACAATATAAAAGGGCCTTTCTTTTTGTATATTCCCTCTCAGTTTGGTGTGGTGAGTGGGGAGTTGGGATTAATTCTTACGTCCATTTTGGTGCAGGTTGGCATAGCAGGAGTGCCGGCTGATACAGTAATGAAGCAAACTAAGAAAATAGAAGACGATTGGACTCCTGTTTGGAATCAGGAGTTTTCATTTCCGTTGACTGTTCCCGAGCTGGCTTTTTTGCGGGTCGTAGTCCATGAGTACGACATGTCTGACAAGGATGATTTTGCTGGCCAGACTTGTTTGCCAGTTTCTGAGTTGAAATCGGGGATACGAGCCATCCCGCTCCATGACCGCAAGGGGGAGAAGTTCGACTCAGCGAGGCTGCTTATGCGCTTTGACTTTGTTTGAATACTCTCCCCCGTTCAATTCACATCGTCTTCATGTAACTTATATAGTCTTCAAATTTCCGTTTGCTTCTCTACGAGTTTTGTCTTTTCATCATCCTTTGATGTGGTTTTATTCATGTGTCCGTTGTTTTGTTCCACCCACTCGAAGCTGGGTGGTGGGAACTCAGCTTTTGTGATCCTGTTGTGCGTTTCTCCTTATGTGTGATCTCGAAAACCGAGTAGAAACGTGTATGGTTGAGATGTATCTATTTTGAAAGATTGAAATAAAAAAGGGCACTCAGATGTATATATTCTGTTCTGTTATGCTCTTCATTGAATTAGTACAGACAAGTTTGGAACCCCATGATCGGAACACCGAATGGTAACTGGCTCTGCATTCTGCATATGTAAGAACGTAAGAATTAGCAAGATGGGGTAATGTAAGAAGGTCACAGGGAAGCAAGAGGTGTAAGCTATCTTTCAGTTGTCGAACCAAAGTTGTGCTTAGGCCAACCACCTCCCTATCTGATCCAGTCTTCTCTCCATTATTGTGCAAGATACACCATGATATCAGGACTTCAAGGTTCAAGGGTAAACACATGATGCGGTGAAACAGACATGAGGATCGTTAATACGTGAATGCAGAGAAAAAGACTTGCGTGGAACTTGCGTGGAGAAGTTCAAACGTTACCAAAATACTGTTTGCTGAAGGGAAATCCATGTATTCATGCTCCCGTTAAATCAGGATGTACATAAATTGCATCAGGACATCAGCAGAACTTTTTGTTTTGTGTCCTCCCCTTTCTTTCGAGAACCCGTTTCTCCACCATCTCACTGACGCCATCATTTTCCACTCCGTACATCTTTCTCCTTCTAACTTTTGTTTCTTAATTTTTTTCTCTCTATTATTATATTTTTCATTGATTAATGCATATTTTATGTATTTTCATTCTGGTTTTTATGCTTTTCCTTCTCTTTCAATTGTTCATTCTTTCTGAAAATGTCACTTTCTTCGGATACTATACATGTGGAGATGTTCTCTGTGTTTCCTATACAACAATTAGCGCATGACTCGAACTCTAATATTATAGCGATCTTATCCCTATTTAATTTATATAGCTACATTGAACAAATTGAAAGTTCAGGGACGGCATTGCATATTGGACTAAAGTTCAGAGATTATATTAAATAAATTAAAAGTTCAAGGGTCACATTACATATTGGGCCAAAGTTCAAAGATCATTTATGACATTTTCCCGAAAAAGAAGAAAATCTCATGTCCCTATCCGTCAGGTTTTGGGCCAAAGTCGATCAACATGTCTTTGGAGTATAAGGATAGTTTGAACAGGCTGGAGTAATCAGACAGCGGACCTCACCTCATCTCACCTCACGTTCAGGAGTGGCCTCTTCCAATCATAGTCCCCCCCTCCCCACGGACAGGGAGTCCTTCTTTACCTTGGACAGCACTCAAGAAAGTAAGTAAGGACCATATCCTATGATGCCTCCGCACATGACCTGTTGACGCTGCGTGATTGAACAATTAATTCCTTATTCTTGCTTGTTGCAATCTGATATATAATGAAAACGTTTCACTGAATTGGTAAGCCCACCTCAATAAATGATACACGCATCCCAAATGTCGTCTTTTCTCTCTCTCTCTCTCTCTCTCTTTATTATAACTGATTAAACAGGAACGAATCCTGGAGACGATCTTTCCTCCTTGATGCAAAATAACCGGGTTGGTTTCTTTTTACTTGATCGATTCCGAATTCAGGACTCTGCAGACTTCCTGGTCTCGTGGATCACCATCATGTATGGATCAGCAGATTGCGGCATCGTGCTCGTTAGTTTACTCCGAGATGCTTATAGGATTTGGAACCGAACCGACATGGCTGCATCTGCATTGAATGTGCATCTATCTAGGACGGACAGACCTTTCCTTTGCATACGGACAGCTTCGTACTTCCGTTTGGCAAAAAACAAACCAACCCGCCACCCAACTTGCGCTCGTTAATCGCTTGCAAGAACGTGAACGGCGATACCCATCATCCTCAGCACTTAACGCGGGCTCCGACGTAATTTTATTTGCTTCGTATCGGTCAAGAGATCCCAACTGTCTCCAGTCCATAAGACCAGACCACCAATAATTATGGGATTAATTTAGTTGAACCCGTCCAGCGACCATGATCTTTAAACAAATTTAAAATTCTGCTGACAAAATGAACGGGATCGAATGGACGGAGACACTTAACGCGCTTCATCTGATCTGACTCGATTATCTTCTTCGATAGATTATTTTCCCATCTCCATCCATGGATAATCTATTCGACGGCATTCTAGGGAAGAACTCGTGTCAAACTCAGAGTGAGAATGACTCTAAACTAAGCTGTTTTCGAGAAATTGCCTTTTGAATATTACGTCCAGTGGAAGAAAGAAAGATGATAAATCTATAGAGTATTGACATTGCAGCTCGGGAAAAGAATCCTGAAAAAGTTAGATGAGCTGCAGAGAAAGAAATTGAAAGAATCGCGATTCTCCCTTTGGGATTTAATCAAAATTTGTCTCGCAAAAAATGGAAGTTCATTCATTCCGAAGAAATGGATAATGTTGGATTTGTGAAGCTAAGGCTACCGTGGCTTTCTTCACAGAGAGAGTATGCTCTCTCCAAATCGGTGACAACCTGTGTCATGTTAGGCCTCTCTGTGCCCTCCAGGCTCACACACCGAACGGCAGTGCGAGCCACCAGCTCGACTGCTCTAGCCTCATTCGTCGTCGGTGGCGCCCCCCTCCTGTCGAGCACTGCCATTAACTCTCCGGCTAACATCTCTGGCCTCACGCACTCCACCAATCCAATCGGTCCCGACCCGTCTTCGTTTCTGAAGACGGACCGCTTTCCTGTCAAGAGCTCCAATAACACTACTCCTAAGCCATACACATCGCTTTTCGTCGTCAAGACATTCGTCACGTAGTACTCAGGGTCGATGTACCCAACTGTCCCGACCGCTTTGCTCGACACGTATTTTTGGTCCGATTCCGGCCTCATTAGAGATAACCCGAAATCGGACACTCTGGCAGTCCAATTTGAATCTAAAAGAATGTTGGATGACTTGATGTCTCTGTGGATTATGGGTGGCACAGCGTAGTTGTGAAGATACTCGATTCCCCTAGCGGCATCTAAAGCTACTTTAATCCTCAATTTCCAGGAATTCAAAATCTTGCTGCTCGCTCCGATGGCCTCGGTTTTATGCAAGTGGTCATGAAGCGAACCGTTGCCCATGTAGTCGTAAACAAGAAGCCTCTCGTCCTCTTCCTGGCAAAATCCTACTAGGCCCACCAAGTGCTTGTGGTTCAAGCGCGGCAGGAGCGCTAGTTCCGAGACGAATGCGCTTTCTTTCTCCCGGGCCTTCTCCGTCCTCATATAAGTTTCGCCCCTCTTGATCGCCACTAGGCGACCATCCGCGAGTTTCCCTATATAGACCGCACCAAAGCTGCCGCTGCCAATCTTGTTCTCTGATGAGAAGCTGTTCGTGGCAGCCACGAGTTCCGAAAGGGAAAAAACTTCGGTCTTGTCTATTTGCTTCGACGGCCATGATCTGCCTATGTCGCGGTTCAAAGAACCGGAGCTCTGCCCCTTGTAGGAAACCGATCTCGAATGTTGGGCACTAGGATCGACATTAGCCATTGAATCCAAAGAAGTCTCGGGAACTTCTTGTTGCGCTTGCACGGGGTAGTTCAACTTCTTGCCAACGTAACCACAAACTCCAGCCCACAAGCAGTAGAGAATCGTGCAGGCTCCGACGAAAACCCCAACCGACCCAACGATCACGAATGCCAGAGAGAGCCGGTTCAGGGATCTTCCGGGATGAGAAGGCGGCCGCAGATTTTGGGAAGGTGGCGATTCCACTGGCGGAAGCGGCAATGCAATTGGAAGCTCGACCTGACAAGATCTGCAAATGGTTCCGGACCCGTGACACAACGTTTCGGAATTTGGATACGTACCGCAGATGCTGCACGGAGTCTTCACACAGGGGCCGGGAATGATCATTCCTAGAGGAAGATCGCTTCCGAGAATATTGCTCGACTTATTGGACCAACCTGGTCCCCAGCATGTCATGGTCAAGTTCCAGGTGATCAGCCCGCAAATTACATCTGATCCTGCCACAATTGTCTCAAACGACACGCTCTCCACCGAATCGATATCATACTCAAATCTGTCGGTCTCTCCTCCCCAACATATGACGAGGCCGTTGGTTCGCCGGACTGCGCAGCTAAAATTCGCCCCCAATGCGATGCCAGAGAACTCGAAAGCCGAGTTGAAAGGAACGACCAACTGTCCGTGGTCGTTGTTCCCCTTGCAAACTAGAGTCCCGTTCGACGTTAATCCGCAGGCGTGCGAAACTCCGGCGACTAATGTCGACATTGTCAGATCACCGAATTGCCCCTGAATCTCAGCTCCAGCTGCATTGTCCCCCCAGCACACGACTCTGCTGTTGTTCTTCAGAATCCCGCACGCGTAACCACTCCCAGAGGTGATTGCACGGAACCGCCACGCCTCTGGTGGCGACGGAAACTTCGACCCGTTTCTCTCTCCTCTCCAGCATCTGGCGATGCTCGTGTTGACCTCCAATGCGCAAACATGATCGTCGCCCACGGTCAGATCGATCAGCTTGACCGTCTCGCTGTAGTAGATACGCTTCGGCGGGAAGCTCGTGGCGGTCGTATCCCAGCAGAGGACGGCAGAGCCGCCGGAGAGGAGGCCGCAGAAGAAGGTGGAGCCGCCGGAGATGGCTTCGAAGGAGGCGTTGGGCTCGACGGAGACGAGGCGGTTGTCTTGGTAGCACTCGATCCTCTGGGTGGCCTGGCCGGCGACGATGCCGCAGACGGTGGACGTGCCGGAGACGACGGCGGTGGTGGAGGAGGAGCCGAGGGCGTTGACCGCCGGGCGCAACAGAGGCGCGACGGATGCGGCGAGGAGGAAGGCGAAGGCGAGGGTAAGAAAGGAGGGTGGGAATGTCATTGTGAAGGGGAAGGCTCGGAGCGGGAGCAGAGGGGTGTGCCTGGCTCTGCAATCTTCTTCATCGAGAGAGAGAGACAGAGCACGAGGGGAATGACAGGAGAATAAGGGAGCGAAATATAACGAGTAGCTCTCTATATATGCGGAGCGTGGTCCCGTGAGAATTGGCGATCTTGATGAAGTTGAAGGAACTGGGTATTACTCAAATCTTTTTTATATGTTCGAGTTTCAGGGGTTCACACTTCACAGTGTGAGACAGCGAGAGTTCTCCGTGACTCCCTAACCATGATGGATTTGACCCTGGAGGACCAAGCAAGTTTCATGGCAACATGGCGGGGTTTTCTAGCTTTCTGGCCAGAAAGAGGTAAGATCTTTAACAGGATGCTCTCGATCCAAAGTAGCGGGGAAAAGACCAACATACAGCGAGGAGAGAAAGAATGGACTCGACACGTGTGTGCTTTCGATTGGGTTCAGTTCAGGCGATTGGTTTCGGACAGTCTCTGCTCCTGTTACTGTTGAGTCACGGGGGAAAAATGCCCGACGCCTTCTTTCTAAGTTCAATGATGAACACGAATGTGAGCGTAACATGGCCATAGGATCCCACCCCACCTGTTCCTTTACGCGCACTACACTCGATGCTAATCATATAACGTCTTGGATTTCCTCCCCCCTTTCTTTTATTGTTCTAGACCCGTGACGCTTTTGCAGCAATTTGGCCTCCCCTCCCTTCGTGGGTATCGGATTCGGTGGTTCTCGGGAGTTTGAATGCTCGCAGGAAAGCGAACTCTCCCCGGACTCATTTTCATCCATTGGTACTCGCTCTATTTGAAAAGGATTCCCGCGAGGCGACACTGTCCCATGTCGTCAGTCGTGGTCGAATGTAAAGCACCATCATTTCCGCATTCGTAGGACTGATTCGCTGTGAATCTGAAAGTCAGAGCTGAATTTAGTCTTCTGCGTGCCTTAGGCCCAAAATAGATATAGGTCATCAGCAGAGATTTCTTAATTTAAGATGGGCTCCGATCGTAGCTCCCCAACCAAACAGCCACTTCTTTTGATGAGGGCCCATCTCAAACTCCCAAGCAAAGCAATGGCCCATTCGCTTTCATGCACTGCAATATCCATATCCTTATCCTGATGAATAGTAACAGAATGTGCTAAAGAGCCTCAAAATTTCCAGACCCACTTGCTTGATTCAAACTACCCATTTACATTCCGCTCTAAAGTTGGCTCTTGATTAGCTGACATAAGTTGGACTGAAAAGAAATCAAATTGCCCTTTAAGGGTGCGAATGGTAACCATTCTGCTTCAGAAATTAAATTCTTGCCAGAAATTGATTTCTGAAATTCTTGCCAGAAATTGATTTCTGGAGGAGAAATCTGTTTGGTAAAACATACTAATTAATGCTCAGAAATTGATTTCTGGGCAATCTGTTTTGATTTGTTGATTTTTTTTCACCTAAAAAAATTAAAATTTTACTCAAAGTGGGTGGCCACATGTATTATAAGCCATTCTGTAAAGTTTTGAAATTTTTGATTTTTTTAATTTTTTTTGGGCACCTAAAAAAATTTAAATTTCACTCAAAGTGGGTGGCCACAGGTATTCTAAGCCATTTTGTGAAGTTTTGAATTTTTTTATTTTTTTATTTTTTTGGGCACCTCAAAAAATTTAAATTTTACTCAAAGTGGGTGGCTACAGATATTCTAAGCCATTCTGTGAAGTTTTGAAATTTTTTATTTTTTTTATTTTTTTGGGCACCTCAAAAAATTTAAATTTCACTCAAAGTGGGTGGCCACAGGTATTTTAAGCCATTTTGTGAAGTTTTGAAAATTTTTATTTTTTTATTATTTTTCTTTTTTTTTGGGCACCTCAAAAAATTTAAATTTCACTCAAAGTAGGTGGCCACAGGTATTTTAAGCCATTTTGTGAAGTTTTGAAATTTTTGATTTTTTTTGGGCACCTCAAAAAATTTAAATTTCACTCAAAGTGGGTGGCCACATGTGTTTTAAGCTATTATGTGAAGTTTTGAAATTTTTGATTTTTTTTATTTTTTTAAAAAAAATTCACCAAATTTCATATTTTCCCGAAATCTGACTTTTTTTTATTTTCTGGAAATTTTTATGAATTTTTCTAGAATTTTTCAATTTTTATGCATTTTCTGAAAAAAAAAAATTGTGAGAAAATAGGGAGAATGCATTTCGGAATCAAGAAGCTACAAAAAGTAGCTTCTTTTTTTCTTGCCAAAAACTCATTCCGGAATCAAAAATGCATTCTGGAGTCAAGTATTTTTAACAAACGCATTTTTATTCCAGAATGCAAAAATCGCTCCAGAATGCATTCCGAAATTTTTTTAACAAACGCCATTCTGTTCCGGAATAGAATTTTTATTCCGGAATGCATTCCATGCGCACCCTAAATGTCCTTTAGGATTAACTGGAAAGGTACAACCTGTAAATATAGAGTGGGGTGTAGAAGGTTTTGATCCTTTTGCTCAGGGAGGAGTAGCCTCTCATCATATTGCAGCAGGCAACCTTGGAAGTAAGCTTATCATGTTGGGCCCCAGTAGAGCAGTTTATGAATGTCTCCGTGGCGGATTTGATGTTAAGAAAGATGATGAGAACGTGAAATCACACCCATTTATGTGTTGGAGAGACCGTTTATTATTTTGTGCCAAAGCCATTATTAAAGCACAAGCTGAGATAGGTGAAATCAATGGCATTACTTGAATGCTACTGCAGGTACATGCAAAGAAATGATTAAAAGGGTTGTATTTGCCAGATAATTGGGAGTTCCTATCGTAATGTAAGTTCTTGGATAATAAGTCTAAATGTTTTCTTGTTGATGATATCGATATTGGATATACCAAGAAAGATGTACGGTCTAATGAGGCAGTCCCACGCGTCAATTTGTGGATCGTGGTCTCATGTACTGATCATACAGGTTCCCATAGTAGGCCGGCGCCCTACCTAAACCAATCATCATATCGGTCCCTAAGCACCCTTTGATATTTTGAGAAGAGTTGCTTTTTGGAGAGGGGACTAATGCTTGCCCAGTGTCGAAAGGTCAAGGAAGTTGGTGACTTGATGACAAGGGAGCCGGCGACTCAAGCCCCGGTGAATAGCGGTCGATCAGAACATTGAATCGTTTATTTCTTTTAAAATCTCTTTCATTTTGGTTTCTACAAACGTCTTTTTTTATGTGGCATAGGGGTTACATCACATACCCAAGAATTTTTTTTATTGGATATTGGACATTGAGCGACTTTATCATATTCTCTTTATCATACTAATTTCTACTCTACCTTCCCGGTTTGAAATCTACCGTGGAACCCCCCATGAAATTTGTTCTTGAGTCAATCTTCTCAACCTTTATTGGCTCGAAGCTCTTGATTTTTTTTCTATGAATAGATTCATATAGTTATGCATGAATCATTATTAGAGCACTAGCCTTTATCTCGAAAAAGCAAAAGAGTATGACAATGCAGTCCAGACTAGGAGGGAAGTCGAAGTGAAGTTCCTATTGAGGAGGAGGATGTGCCATTAGTTTTCAAATGAATAGTTGATATCTATGAGAAAGAAATTACACTTCTAGAGTGAGACTCGTGTGTCTGATGAAATAGTTAGGGTTGATGTTCTAACTCTACGGTTATTGCTATCTAAAGAAGGAGACACCGAAGGAAAGAGAGTGTTTGATCAAGGAGGCGGACTTCTTTTTGAAAACCAATTCTTTTTCGGATGAAGTGGAAGTAGATAAAATCAAGAAATTTATTTGAAAAGGTGAGCGGCATAAGTTGATGAATGGTTATATAACGATGATCCTTATGAGTTAATTGTTCTACACTTCTTACTTGGTGGAGCTCGTTACATGGGTCGTGAGTGGGAACTTAATTTCCGTCTGGGTATGGGAGCAGGGAAGGGATATAACTCAGCGGTATAGCGCCACCTTGACGTGGTGGACATCATCAGTTCAAGCCTGATTATCCATAAAACTAGTACTAGTTTTTCTATTTTGACTTACTCCCTTGCTTTGATCGAATGAGAATGGATAAGAGACTCGTTGAATTGACGTGAGGGGGTAGGGATAGCTATATTTTCGAGAGCGAACTCTAGACGAATATGAAGTGCATGGATATAGGTTATGCCTTGAAATGAAAGACAATTCCAAATCAGTTTTCTCGTTTCAACTCTCATTTCTTTTTTCTAGGTTCATCGATTGGATCAGGGACAAATGCCTACGAAAAGATCGCTTGGATTTTTCCATGGTTTATTTATTCCTTATTCCCAAAATCATATTTCAATATGATCGCGAAAGATTTTGAATTCATGAGCTGACTAGACTCTTTTCGAAATTGCGTATGGAAAGAGAAAGAGATTTTTCTTACTTATTTGCTTTTTTCCCAAGCCCTTCTTAGAAAGCCCTCGACAACCTTTGTTTCGGATTCGATTTCTTATGCAATTAGGAGTGAGTTGTGCTAGCGGGAAGTTCGGAACATATATAAATCCCTCATTTTATTTCGTTGTGTGGTTGTCTGAGCAAAGGGGATTAGGTTTCGATTGAAAGGAATCCGGATAGAGGTTCACATGTTATAAGTTTCGATCTATGGGCTTGACTAGTTTTCTCAAAGCCTCTTGCTCATATCTCTCATTCGACTTCAAATATTGAATAATCCACGTCACTTCTACTTTTATTGTAACAAAATATTACCCTTTTATATGAAAGGGCCCATATCAATAATTATGATTTTACATATGGACAATTCCTCATATTAGGGTAGAATGTACCCTAAAGGCTGACACTGGCTTAATAAACTAAAGACTGCAAAGATGTGTACTTGCTACTGTATGCTTAGTCAAGGGGGGACCTAACACCAATCAGTTAATAGCCAATCACTCTACCAATAAGCGATTTAGTTAATGAATCACTTCTCCTTCTCAATGGTATGTACGCTGGGGTTTTTCGATAATGAAGATCTAATTTTTAGGTTATGTTTCACAAAGGATCTGACAGAGTTTTATACGGATATTATGACACATAAGAGCCGTAATCATATTTTGACATGTGATCAATCCGTAGATACCAATAGAAAATAAATAGGCACTCAAAACAAGTACAAGTTCGGGTGTCATTGACCAACTCCTTATAAATTCTGATTCATTTCAATATGAACAAGAATTCAAATCAGCATGTCCAGTAACCCATGTGTGATATTTGAAACGTCATCCTTGTTATATCGTGAACATTTTAGATATAACCTGCTCCTATCGGACATAGGATTGAATAAGGATTCGAGCCATAGCACATGGTTTCATAAAATTGTACGATTTTCCCGATCTAAATCAAGCATGTTTTACATAAAGAATCCGAAATTTGATTCAAATCCAATATAGCACCTTCGATTAAGCTCCTTCCTATTAATCTCGAAGTTCTTCTCAGATACAAGGAAATGATTCAGGTCCAGAGCCAAAGATCATAGTTCTGATTAGGTCACAAAACCAAAACAACACATTAACAGTAAGTTTACGATAATCGCCAATTTGAGATTTTCTTTTCTTACTTATTACTGGATTTAATAATATTTTATTAATCTATTAAATAGGGAAGCAATTCATAATCATCCGTTTAGGATTGACCTAAACCAGCCGATCTATTATGTATACAAGCAGTAGCCTGGGATACTCCCCCAACAACTTTCCCAAATCCCATTGACTGAAAACTTGCTATGAGCACTCAGTCCCCTGTAACTCTAGCTCTTTTAACTCTTTCAACATTGAGAAAGGAGAAGATATTCCGATGCATCTGTATTATAACATGGAAATGACTAATACAAAAGGTAAGTTAATAAAATCTCAACAAGGTAATTGCGTGACATATTGTTGCCTCGGCATTCGGCAACATCTTCCCTATTCAGAAGGAGGTGGTTTATGTAAAATCTTGCAGGACCATTGCCGACTATTCTAAAAATTTAAGATGGTAAATAAATAAAATAGTAAGTTACTTTAACAGTTGATGTATTGATAATATGACAGGTAATGATAAATGGAGAAGTAAGCTAATCTATTATATATTCTTGGGAGTTCAAAGCAATGTTAGCTGAAAGTCATCATTATTTTCAATGGTTGCTAAACAACATTAGCAATGCAACAGGCTCTCTCTCTCCCCGGGAAGCGATGGGTCAATTCTTTTAGAATCTTTGAGTTTATGTTAAGGGTGGAAAAGAAGTAATTGGTTACCAATTAAAAGAAGCATGAGAAAATGAGAACCACTGAGTCATTATCGGGAAACGAAGATCTGTCAACAAGGTAATGACAAATTATATCAGTTGAAGTAACACATGTATTTCTAAACGAACATGATGTACAAAATGACCCTTATAAATTTATTTTGCACCGCGTCTGTATCACATCTTCGACTATTGGTTGCTCCAGCGCAAGTGCTCTTCGGTGAATTCCTAATGGCGAGACGATTCCTGTGAAGTACGAACGACAAAAAGCCTCGACACTAGGCTTTAAAGTCAGCAGTTTGTTTCCTCGTCTTTTCTTGTTCTGAAGCCACGTGACGCATCCGGCGATGAGAAACCATACATCATGACATTGTTCATTAATTAAGTGACTATAATTCGATGCAATCATTGTTGGACACCAAAAGTCAAAAAAGAGTTTGAATGTGCCACCAGGAAAGTGAGTTCGAAGAATGCTTTAGCAGCACTTTCTCATGGCATCCAGCCAGAGGTGCCGAGTAGTCTCGAATCTCTCCATCTCCAGCAACACTAGCTCCACTCCGGCTTTAGCTACATGAAAGTGAAAAAAAGGACATTCGTTTGAAATCGCTTTAAAAATATGCCCTTCCTTTGACCGACCGGCCGACCCTGGATATTTGAAATCCAAAGTCCTCCGTTCTGGTTAACCAAAGCATGGTGGTAATTCCAGAATTCGGCTGCTTTTTCTTCTCTCTTTTGCTTTGGGGGAAGAACTCCAGTTGTAGAAAGTTGATGCAGTATATTTTATTACATTATCTATTGTCAATGTACAAAGTCAAGTTTCAAAATACTTCATTCTGAAGTTGGAAATATATGATCTAGTAGCTCATCTAACAACTCACAAAAGATCTGCCGTTCCAGATCTTGGCCGATGCCTTCAATATCTTCACGCTTCACCATTCTTGGGTCCAACCAATCGAGTTCTATCGTCTCTTTCTCGCTAATCTTGCAGATCTCGCTGCACATTTCTGAGTAGCTCTGTCTTTGTTTCCTTGATCCAAGACACTTGCCTTCGCTTTGCTTCGGCTGATCATCAAGGAGATCAATGTCGCTGCGTGGAGAGGAGTGCTCATTGCTTTCAAGCTCCGGTGCCAATTTCTTTCTCGAGCTTGGACGTTCCAATCTCGAGTCATCTGTTGAGAAAAACTTCCTTTTAAACAACCCACGAATAATTTGAACAAGCGAGTTATGATGGGACAAAAAAAAAAGTGAGAAGTTGATGTGAATGACACGAACCTGATGTGGACACTTGAGGGTCACTAATGAATTCGCCAAAATCAAGAACTGAAACTGGGCTCGAATCTTCTTCGGAGCCGCACACGGCTTCCAAGCTACGAACACTTTGACACATCTTCACAACCTGAGAACGTGATGTTTGAGGTGTTCCCAGATCATTATTCGCCAAAACTGAATCGCTTGAGCTTGACTCTGTAGCTCTGCCTCTTTCATTTTCCCTGTTCGGTTTTTCACATCTCTCCCCTGTCCGCCTCTCTTGAATTTTGCTTCTGCTTGATCTTCTCTTCCTCCCTTCTTTTTCACTGCCGTTTCCGAAGTTCAAAACCAAGAACTCTTCGTTTTCTACTTCGAGGTACGTTGGCATCTCCCGGAACGATAGCGTCGAACTGACTTGGAGATGCTGCCATTTCATTTCGTCGTCGAACTCCTCTTCTTTGAAGTCCAAGTAATTTAGGGACCGGCTTCTTGAAATTGAATTGGGGGATTGGTGAATGTGCATTGAGCTGGTGTTTGGTAAAGATTCCAAGCCCATGAGCCTCGCGACGATTCCTGGAGTTGTGTTCGGCTCGTTCTGCTCTTTAGGCTTGGAGTGATCTCTGTCGTTGTCACACTCAAATGGATGAGTAGGGAGGCTGCGAGAGCAGAGAATTCTGCGTAAGACTCCCGCGATGCATCCACCACTTGTGGCACCCTTCGGACTGCACAAGTATGCATCAGAGGAGGTGGAAATAGTGGAGGAAGAAAAGGAAGGCGATGATGATAGTAACTTCATTGTTGACGAGAGAGAGAGAGAGAGAGAGAGGGTCGAGTTGTAGTTATTGCAATTCTGCTTTGGACCTGAAAAAGGAACAGTGAACAGGGGGGGAAAGGAGAGGTTTTGAATGTTGTGACGATCTAAAGTTAGAAAAAGTTGATGAGAGAGAGAGAGAGAGAGAGGTGGCGGGATTCGTATTCAAAATGTGGTCAAGCGGATGAAACTGGTAAGAGTTGTTGCAGAGAACATGTCTCCACGCGCTTGTGTGAAGTCAATTTTGAGCAGATTGTCTTGTGTGGTTGCGGTGTGTGGTGTGGCAATGGTCCAAAGTCCCAATAAGCACAGAAGCTGGTTTCTCTTTTGAGATTTGAGGATGCGCCGGGGAAGAAAAGATGCTAAAGTGTCTGAGGTTGATTGGACATGGTGTGGAGGGGACATAGAAGAGGATGTGTGACTGCGAGTTCAAGTGTGTCAGGAGTGAGTCGGAGACTGTCTTAAAAGGAGTGAAATTCTTGTGGGATTTGATTTGCACTACTTACTGCCGAAAACACTGACTCTGTCTCTGTTTACATGGCCGAGACACACTAGGATAGAAGATATAGGAGAATGAAGATGGAATTAAACAAAAACCACAGAAGATAATTGGAACGAAAAAGAAAAGGAGTCGGGGAACAGAGAGATAGGGCCAAGAGATGAATGCAATGCTCCCTACTGACCAGACTGCCATTTGCAGATTCCATCTGCTTTCCTGTTGGGCATTGAAAATGAAAGCAGCACTTTCAACTTGCTGCGAGTATTTACTTGGTGGGTAACTGGTTACGCGGGAAATTTGGTTATTTTGTTACATTTTAATAGGCCGAATTCCCTAAAAAATCCCAAATTTTAGGTCAAGTCCTAAATCTGCTTCGAACTTTTTTTGTCTCAGAAAAAATTCCAAACTTTAGGTCAAATCTCAAATCTATCCTAAACTTTTTTTCGTCTTAGAAAAAACCCAAAACTTTAGGTCCAGTCTCAAATCTGCCCCGAATTTTGTTTTGTGTAAAAAAAATCACAAAAATTCAATTTATTTTAAAAAATATACCCCCGTGACTCAGTCTCAACTTGATGTGGCACTTTCACGTCAATAACAAAAGCACATCAACAAAGTAATGGGGCTTTTTTTTAGACAAAGAAAAGTTCGGAGCAAATTTGAACTGAACCTAAAAATTAGGTTTTTTTTTTTTAAAATAAAATTTTTTTTTGGGGTGGATTTGTTATCGTTCCTAACTTTCATATCCTATAATGGTTTTATTTTGGAGAATTCCAAAAAAATTTATTGAGTTGGATTTGTTATCAAAGTGGAAATGCGACGTCGGTTTGTATCTATTGCCCCATTACTGATGTGGATTTGTTATCGACGTGGAAGTGTCATATCAAGTTGGAACTAGATCACGGGGATATATTTTTTAAAATAAATTGAAATTTGCTGATTTTTTTTACACAAAACAAAATTCGGGGTAGATTTGGGACTGAACTTAAAGTTTAGGGTTTTTTCTGATACAAAAAAAAGTTCAGGGCAGATTTAGGATTGGATATAAAGTTTGAGATTTTTTCTTAGACAAAAAAAAATTCTGAGTAAATTTAGAACTTGACCTAAAGTTTGGGGTTTTTTAGGAAATTCACCCCATTTTAATAAGAAACTGCCTGGACTTTATTTAATTTGTCAGTGGGAATTTCTGCTTTGTTCAAGGATGATGAGTGATTGAATTGAGGAGTCCCTGTTTGCCTGTAGAGGGCAGGGCAGGGCTACGTGGGGTTTCGTCCCATTAAATAAGCTGGGGTGGTTCCTCAATCCTATCTCATGTATCTCACATCCATGAGAGCTACATAGCTTCAATCAAACCTTTCATCGGACAATCCCATGCGAAATTGATGCATCAAATGATGTGACGCACATTTATAAAATATTGCACGCGACTCATTTTTAATGGTCTCATGTGGAGTTAGATCGTATTATATACCAATTTTGCAAATCAATTTCAGTACACTTTGTATGACTCTATGGTCTCTGCTTGTGGCGTAGCTTGCCTTTCACAGGACCTCCCACATGAAAAAAACAAAGGCATCTAAAAATGCACAATCAAGTGCGCTAAGTGAAATGCAAGTAAAAAAGAATTTGGAAACTCTATGCACATCACACTCGACCCTCCTTGTGAAAATAACTTATTCTGATTTCTTTAAACAAAGTTAAATGCAAAATGAAAACTTTATGATGGGATTGATGGGCTAAATGGTATAGGATTGACCCTTCGAAATCTGCGACAAGGGCAGGAATACTTGTCAAGTATAATGCGCATGAACTTGTAGAAGATCTTATCAGAGTAACCATTGTTACCCCTTTCGAGGTCTCATATATTCCATCGTCATAAGGACTGCATTGAACTTGCATGGGATAGCATGTTTCAATTCTCCGTTTATTCTAGTCATGGAATTAAATTCAGAAAACTTCTCTCAAAATCAACTAAATACGGTGAGTTAAGCAGTAAGTACTAATATGAAACGTCAGTTCTTACTCTGACTGTAGTAAATGTAGTTCCTGGAAAATTACTGGTGCATCACTTACACCTACTGCTTCGCACTTAATCTCCTTGCTTGTCAATACGGATTTCGACATTTTCGCATATGAAACTTCTAATTAGACCATGGACGAGAACGTGTACAATCATTTCCTGTATTAGAATATCTTGCTGTTGGTACATTTCCATTTCCTTCAGCATTGCAGCGTTCATTAATCAACTGTAGAATTGAATGTCAAATTTTGGCAATATCTACTATACAACAAGAACATATTTCTAGATTACAAAAATAGAAACGCATAGCATCTAAATACAATCTCCGTCACTAAAAAAACTACCTTCTTGACTGAATCTGACTCGAGGAATTTCCACTAACTCCTGATATCTGTCTTAGATTGGTCAGAGCATCTTGAGCATGCCTCTTTGTGTTAGCATTGCCATGCCTCAAGGCTTCTATCAAGGCCCTAACTAGATTCTGATTGAGCGAGTGGCGCGAGGATTGGCTTTCCACTCTAATTATTTTTTCTATCATCCAAGCTGTCCTCTCCTGAAGTTCACCAGCTTGAACTTCAGAGAAAAGGTTAATTAAAGCATCAACGGCGTCTTGCCTCTCAAGCTCCTCGACAGCTCTCTTCAAACTCCCGGAACTTCCTAAAATGAGAGTGGAAAGTGCCTCCACTGCAGCGACTTGGACATCAGTGTCCTCATCCTTAAGGAGATCAACTAGAGGCTTGATACAGTTGCACTGTAGCAAACACAAATGAGTATGCTCTTCGCACAAAGAGTGGTGTATGGGGCATCGAGCAGGTTCTGGTGGACCTCGGCCACACATGAATACCAAGTAAGAGCACAAACCCTGAGGTGGTGATGGTTCTAAATCTCCAGCGGCAACCGCCTTTCCAGTTTCCGACAGATTCTTCAATCCAAGCGCAGCGAGTTGCTTCATTCTGGGTTTTGAAGGGAAGTTAAGTTGATCACAGAATACGTTCATCAGGTGCAACTCTCTAATCACAGAAAGAATCTCTGGGTCGGTGGATCTTGTAAATTGAAGTAAGAGGCCAAGAATTCCTTCAACCATGCTTGGCGAAGATTTGAAAATTCTCCCCCTGGACTTCAGATGATAATCCTTTATCGTAGCAACTGTCCATCTCAAAAAAGTAGCTCCAAGGAGTGTTGTCACTTCATGTTCAGATAGCGGAAGATTAGCAAGAATGCATGCTGTATCAGACCTTTCACTTTCAATTGTTTGGGTATCTAAAATTTTCTCTTTAAGCAGAGGAATCTTGTCGGACGATCTCAGATGACTCGCTACATCTTCACGAAATCGTTCAGAGAGCAGTCTAGTAAGTTTGCAAGCATTAAGTCTGTGTTCGACTTCTGCATGATCAAGAAATGATATGGTCTTTTCGAGTCCCTGCCCATCCTTTATGTTAGAAGCTACAGCCTCTGCAAAATGGAGAGGAATAAGCTGGCATAATTAATCGTAAAAGATTTGGGAACCCATTTACAGTCATACTTGGTTGACACAAATATTGAGGTGATGAAATGAAGACGGCTTTAACCATTATGGATAAACAGTCACTGGTTTCAGAGTTGCCTCTTCATGTTCCAGGACATGAAAACACATAAATGCAGGTGACTTTGTGCCCAGTTAATGAAAAGCAGCAAATTTGGTAGCAATCTTCTGACACAGAAGTTAGCTGAGCAGTAACTATATGAAGGCAGTTCATTCTATATAAAAGAACTCCGTGTGTATATAGTCGAACTTGAAAGCCTCACGAAAGTCATTTCCCTAGTAATATTCAAAGTACTCCTAGTATAGGCAGGGTTACCAGCAGCACATCCTAAAATTCTACACATCTTTCAGTAAGAAATTATAATATATCCGAATATGAATACAGCACGAGGCATGTTCAGAGATGTGTGAGTATGCAGTAAATCATTCAGAAGATAAAATCAAATGAGGGTATGATCCAAAAAGAAAAACGGCATAAAAGTCACTGAATCAAAGCATGTAAAAGCAAACTTACCTGATGCTTGTGGAGACGATGCCATACCATACAAAATGCGAAGTGCGGAAGCTTGGCATTTAGAAGATGCAGAAGATAAGAGCCCCAAAAGTTTCGCAATAATTGGTTCCTTGTCACCAACTGCTAATTCCCAGTGCCCAGGATTCAAGACTACGTTAGCCATTGTCGAGGCTGCTAATTCCTTCAGTTCCGGTGAGGCATCCTGATCCTCAAAGAGGATGTATGTAAGAGATGGGAGCATGGAAGAATTAACGAGTATGATAGCATTATCTTCGACACCCGATAGGTTATGCAATGCCAGCAAGCTAGGCGCCTTTCCTTCTTCCTTTGCCAACATTTGGACAAGTATTTTGGCACTTTGCCTGGCAACAAGCAATTTGCAGTTACTTGTCATGGCCATGCTTCCCAACATGGAAGCCATCCTTATTCTGACCTCATCACTACCTGTTCCCAGAGATCCAGAGATTACAGCTCAGGTCTTCACAACAGGAAAAATTGTCACTCAAATGGACAAGCGAAAGTTTAAATGTTAGAAGTCTCTCACTATTAAAAGTAAGCAATTCCCACAGTTCATTTTTCTTCTTTCGGATTTACTCTTCATAGATGATTAAAAAGGAGACATGCTTCATAGAAGGATGTACCTTCACAGAGCCGGCTGAGTAGCGGTTCAAATCTTCCAGCTGCTGCTAAATATTGGATGTTCTCCTCGACGGTCTCGATTCGTGTTAAGACCTCCTCTGCTAGATTGGATAAAGTGGGATGCTCAAGAGTTCCTGCCAAGCTAGTGAGGAGAACTAATGCCCCTTTCTCCAATGCAATCTTTCTGCAATAAGCTTCATCATTTGAGAACTCGAGCAACAGCTTAATAGCATGCTCTCTTTCCTTTTCAGAGCTCCCAGTGAGACTATGTATTGCCAATCTAGTCATCCCCTCCTCAAGCATTATTTTCTGAAAAAGTAGACATACTCTATCAGAAATTACAGCAGTTTTAATGTTCGACACTATCTGGCATTCAAGTGACATTGCAGAAGCAATCGAGCTCATGGAGAAATCAACTTCCAATTGAAGGAGAAAAAGCTTGCAAGAAGTTGTGGCACAATATAATCTAACCATGTCATGAAACCGCGATTATGGAACTTTCAAGGAGCTGTAGTCTCTTCCTCGGGGTACATGCATAATACAATATTGAGTTGCCCATAACAAGAAATGTCTAATAAAGGCATGCCCACTGAACAACATGTCTTGCCTAATCGCTTGAAACAGTTAGTTGCAGATTATGCCCTCTGCCTCCATTTCCTCAGTTCGAGAAACATCGATAGTCTGAGTTGACAAATATCCTCTAATTTTGGACAAGATCATGTTTGAGACAACTTAGACCAAGCAAATATCAGAATAATTTCCACTGCAACATTGGCACTTATTTTCCCCGAACTTGATCATCACTATGAAATGTGAATACTGACACATTCAAGCATGGGTATAAAATATCCTTAATGTACCTAGAATTCTTTGGAAAAAAATCAAGCTCGAATCAAGTGAAACAACACAATCACACTAGAGTTATACAATGAGAGGAAAGAATCTAACCTTGCTTTCTTCATCCTTTGCCATGCCGAGCAAGGCAAGAAGGGTTTTGCTTCTCAAGTGTGTTCCAATACTCTTTGAAGAGTTCTTAAGCAACTTTATGATGATAAGAACCAGACCGGCATTCCTCACTCTGTATCTGCTAGAGGGATGATCTTCTGCTATCTTATATATACTGTCCAGTACTCTCTCAACTCCATCTACCTTAAGAGGTTGTTCGCTAAGACACTGCACTGCTGATTTTACCTGAATTTCTATGTTCCTATTAACCCACTCCTCAATTGCCCCGGCCAGTCCAATGTTCGGTTTGAGCTCTAAGGACTTGAGCACTTGACCTGTGACAGGGCACGTCGGGTCCTGGGCATCCTCTATGCACCGGTCAAACCAGTACTCGATTGCGTTCCGCTCATACGTCTGAGACGACTCCAGCACCACGGGCTCCTTCATGACTTCCTTAGTCAAGGGACAGAGAAAGTTCTTGAAAGGCGAGATTTGGGCGCCTTCCTCAAAATCGAGATCCATGTGGCCAGTCTGAATGTCGGGTTCCACAGACCAGTTATCCAGAATCTTCTCCAGAGAGATCAGGATCCGCCTCTCCGTCATCGAATTTGAGCGAACTAAGTCGTTCTTCAGGAGCTTAACTTGAGCAGATAATTCTGTGTAGTTATGCGATTCGATCCCTAATGCCCTAGCTAGCTCCATCACAATAGCACTTTGCACTCCTTTGCTTGCTCTTCTCCCTTCTCCTTCCTTCTGCAGACTAAGATGCACTCTCTCTTCATTCTCAGTCACCTGCCAATGCCATGGAGTTTCGACTTTTTTAACTAATTTTACGTCGGCAAAATATGATATACATCAGTCAGGACTGGAAGAATGTTGATTTTACTGCGCTACTTAATGTAAGAGAGAGTGATACTGAAATCGGGGTCGTACTATGAATATAGCCTGCTTCATGTCTCTGGAGAGATCGGCAATTTTCTTCCTGAGATCAGGATTTTCGTGAATAGCCGACTCCAGCAACGCGAGCCATCCTGCAATCGCCGCCGTCCGCTCCTGAACCGATGCTAGAAGCGACTTGCAGTTGATGAGCACGAAGATCTTGCTCTTGCTCACGTACGCTGACACCGTCTCGGCTGCGCCCTCCAGATCGACGGCGATCCCCCGGAGGGCGGTCTGCGCGGACGCGGGGAGGTCCTCCGGCGACGGCGGCGAACGTAGGAGGAGGAGCTGGTCGACGAGGAGCTGGAGCCGCTGGGCGAAGGCGCAGAACCGCTTCGAGTTCTCGAACTGGTGGTGGCGATCGGAGGAGTTGAGGCGGGCGAGCGATCGGCGGACGGACTCCACCGCGTCGGCCGTGGCGGCGGGTAACGTCATCTGGAGGCGGGGACGGCCGGCAGAGGAGGGAGAGAGAGGCAGCGGCGGCGGCGGCGGCGGGGGGCAACGGTCGACATTGCCGGGAATCTCATTCGCATTATAAGAGGAGGTCTCACTCGGTTCTTGGGCTGAGCATGGGTCCTGAGGAGCACCGCGTTTCCGCGGCCATGGAAGAAGAAGAAGGAGTCCAAAGGTTGACTTTGCGCAGACTTGCCATCTCTACTGTTGCGGCAGAGAAGCTTCAACAGTTAAAAATTAACGGTTCTTTTTCACTTTGACTTTTCAACGTCCAATTTGTTTTTCCTTTTTCCCCTTTTTTTTTCCCGGCAATGGTCTCGTAAAAAAACTGTCCTAACGGATTTAACTTCTTCTGTTTTTTTTTGGGGGGGAAAAAAGAAAACATTATTATCCGGGACCAAATCCTAAAAAAGTTTGGTGCTTACCGGTCAATGAAAAAGTTACTGTAAATACTAATTTATACATGATTAATTTTTTGGGATAATGACACAAATAATTCCCGAACTTTGGCTCAATAGGTAATTTGGTCCTTGAACTTTTAATTTATTCAATATAATCTCTGAACTTTAGCCTAATGTTTAATGTAGATCATAAACTTTTAATATGTTCAATTTAGTCCCTAAACTATATGAAAATGTACAATATAATCCTTGAATTTGAATTCATGGAAGGACTACATTGAACATTTTTATAAAGTTCATGGACTAAATTGAACATGTACCAAAAGTTCAAGAACCATATTGAACAAATTGAAAGTTCAGGGACCACATTGAACATTGGGTTAAAGTTCATAGACTACATTGAACAAATTAAAAGTTCATGGACCAAATTGCACATTCAGTCAAAGTTCAAGGACTGTTTGTGTCATTTTCCCTAATTTTTTTTATGCTGAGTGGTCACTTTACTGTCGGACAAGGTACCGTTTTTGGGGAGTTATTAATCATAGATAAGATGAAAATTGTCCTTCTCAATTCAAAGTTACTAAGCAAATATTACAATTATTTTCTTTTATAGGAAAAACAACATAAGGAGACCCGGGGTGACTAGTCCGCAAAGTCTCGACCCTAGAAGGGATTACTATTTACAAATCAAATTCATCTCTACCATTGATTAAACGAGACTCGTTGTGAAGCCCATATACGACAACTTCTCCAAGATTCAAGGATCGAGAAAGGCGAGGTTGTCAACGCAATAATATCACACGAGGATTGGATCTCGAGTATATCGTGCTTCAAATTTGTGACTTTGGAAAAAGGCACTAGTCTTCTCCCTGTTGACCTACTACATTCAATGATGTATAATTGCTATCCATTAACAAGTACGTACTTACTTTTTTAAATATGAAACGGCCACATATCACATCTTTCGATTCGTATAGTCAATCCTTTGATATCTCGACTTTGCGTGCTCTTATTGGAGAAAATAAGAGCCTCAACTTATTTCACATGCATTTGATTTGAATTTTATGCATATTGGCAGGAATTGTTCAAATGCAACAATAGAAAGTAATTAAAATTAATAACTAATTAGATATATGATTATCTCTATGAATCAATGTACTCATAAAATATCGTTGAAGTCAAGTAAATATTCAGATATCACCAAACTAGCAATGTATTGAAATCAACTTTAATTATTTTTGTGAGATTGTCGACGATCTAAAATGACGGTTCAAATATAAGGTTGAAATAATGACGAAATATATATATGTAAGGTTGCATGTCCCTTGTTATTTCCCCTTTCCCCAAATTTACAAATTTGGGCTAAATTAGGGCCAAGAAGCAAATCCTAACCCTAATCCATTGAAATTACTAGTAAAATTACAAGTGATTACTCCAGGAGAGTGAGGGAGAGCCCCGGAAGAAGCAGAGTCGAGGTCACTGAAGAAGGGGAGTTGTGACCTTGGAGTGGGCAAGGAAGATGACGCAGAGAGAGGGGGGAATGTGATTTGGGTGAAAGATCTTCCTCCAAGCGAGGATGATCTTTAAGGACTCCCTATAGATGCTAAGTAATCCAAGAAATTGTAGCTCATCCTGGTTTTTGTCCTTTCATTTGCGGCACTAAAAAATCAAGAATTGAGTAATTGGTCTTCAAGTCCAAGGTGATTCTTGAAGTAGAGCAAGCGGCGAGGCACTATCTAAAGCTTCTCGTGGTTGTTGAAGATGGGGTTGTCGGACACATATATCGTCCATCGACCGTGTTGCGGTCTTCAAGATCTCGAGCATGATGCATTTTGTCCATGATCCTCGGCTCCAGGAATCGGTCGACGCCTTTGTCGTTGCCCTTCTTCTTGTTTGGGTCTAGCGTGTCATAGCTCTTCTCGAGGTCCTGCAAGGATGTGGCTTCAATTGTTGTGTCTCACCGGCCTCGTCTTCGTCTTCACCGCAAGGCTTTGTCCTCAATCCTCCACTATTGGCCTCGTCTTTATTGCAATGCCTCATCTTCCTCCTCAAAGAAGAATGCATCCCTTCTTCGTCCATTCTTCGGATGTCGTCATCCTGTGAGCTGCGGCGAACAAGAATTGGAGTATCATGAGGGTGAATGAGATGTTTCTCCATCGAGAAAATAGACCTTTGCTCTTTCAGCTCCAGAGAGAGAAAGAGAGAGAGTTTTCCTCAACTTTAAATGAAGCATTGTTATTTTGTTCACTTTGTCACGTCGGACCAAGAAATTTTCACTTGAATTTTAATTCTTTTTAAAAAAGTCACGTCAAAGTTAAATTTTAATTTAAAAAGCCACATAAGACTTGAATTGTCAGAATTTATCATCAGAGGATTACTTAAGTGGTGGTGGTGGTGGTTAGCAGTTGACATTTCCGGTAATCTTCTTTGCTTTTGAGGATGTCTTACACGGTTCTTGTGCTGACTGCTGAGTATGGGCCCGGAGGAGCACCGCGTTTCAGTGGCCATGGAAGGAGTCAAAAAGCTTGATTTCACGTACATATGATATCAAATTTTATGGACATTGTCAAAGAATTCGTCAAATGCAACCATAGAAAGTAATTGAAAAATAAGCAATAGATAGAAAATTATCTTTTATGTATTAACGTGCCCTTGTAATTTTAATGAACTCAAGTAAATATTCAAATTTCACTAAACCAACAATGTATTGAAACAAACTTTAATTATATTTATGAGATTGTTGGTGGCACAAAATGGCAGTTCAAATGTAAGGTTGGATTCAAAGACGAAAGAAAGCTAATGAAGTAGGTCCACAAGAGCTTTCCCCTACCTTTAATGGTAGCAAACCCTAATTCTCAAGCCTGCTGTCCATCTCTCTCGTTGGTAGAGCTTTCCCCTACCTTTAATGGTAACAAACCCTAATTCTCAAGCCCTTTTCCAGATTTTCTATCTCTAACCTATTCCATCGTCATCGTCTTGATGCTTTGTACACACATGTCCCACAAAATCTTCATGGGTCCTTTGCCCTTCGTCAGCTCAAACGCACTAATGGAATTTCCACCATAAAACCCATAAATCCTTTCCTTACCTGCAATACTTGTTTGCACCCTTTCTTCTGTTCGAGCTTGACCTTTTATTCTACTCGCATCTACGCATACATCCATCTGCTTCAAGAATGTGAGTTTTTCATAAACCATAAAATATTAGCTACTGTTCCATTGAAAGCCTTCTCTTCTTCACCACTATTAGGGTGCGCATGAATACCATTCCGTGCCGCGCTATTTTCAACAGTAAATGATTTTTTTTATTCTATGCCCTGAAACAATTTCGAGTATTTAAAGGCGTTTGATAAATGTCCAAAATTTCTATTCCTAGAGTAGAGAAAGAATGCAAATGCGTTTGGTAACTACACAAAATTTCTGTTCCCAAATAATATTTTAATAATATTTTGAATTGTTTATTTTTTTTTCTACTTTCTTCTTTGGCCATGGCCGCCGCGGCGACCGGCCACCCAGTGGTCGGCGAGGGCATCACGGACCTCGCCTGGCGCGAGAGGCGAGGGTCGCCCGTCTGGCGAGGGCGAGGGCATCACGGACCTCGCCGGCGGCCGTCGGAGGCGAGGGTCGCTCGCCGCGCTGGCGAGGCGGCCTCTGCCAGAGACTGGCGAGGCTCGGCCTCGCCAGTATCCGGCGAGGCCGAGCCTCGCCGTCTCCGGGGCGAGGCCGACCCTCGCCGTCGCGACGGACGGGCGAGGCTCGGCCTCGCCGATCCGGGCGAGGCGCCGCCGCCCGGCGGCGAGGGTCCGCCTCGCCTGCCCGGCGAGGGCGACCTCGCCTCCGCCGGCTGCCGGCGAGGGCCGTGACGCCTCGCCGCCCGGGTCTGGAGCACATGCGGCCGCCGGAGACCGGCCCGGCCACCAGAAGAACAACACAAAATAAGAAATAAAAAAGAAAAAAAGAACAAAACTCGATTCTCAAAATTGGCTAGAAACAAGAAGCAACTTTTACTTACTTGTTTCTTCTTCCAAAATCTGTTTCTCACAAATTTTTGCAAAATGTGCCGAGGAACAAAAAGTTTACCAAACGCATTTCTGCTCCCAAACTATTTCTGGGAACAAAAGAACAGAAATTTTCACTATTTGGCACGTTACCAAACGGGCCCTTAGTCTTCTACGGTTCCTTCCTTCGAGATCCCACCTTTCCTAAATAGTGCAGTTTGGGGCTTCTGTGGCTCCAGGCTTCGTGCTAGACCTCCCCCCTGAAAAACATGGCTGAGAATGTAAATCCTGAGGCAAGACTAGCGCTGTTATGCAGACGCCTGGGTAATCTACGGACTGAAATAGAAGCTCCACAGAAAGATTTAATGGTGTCAAAGGAAAAGCTGACTGAATGCAGCCTCTCAGTTTTTGGAAAGCTTTACACAAGCTCCAATATCAACTATCAGGCGTTCCTTACAACAATGAAGAAAGCGTGGAAGGTAGATTCAGTTTCTCTTACTCAATATGAATCGGGTATCCTGTCCTTTACTTTCAGTAACGACTTGGACAAAAACAGAGTTCTAGAAAATAGCCCGTGGTCCTTTGCAAGCAACCTCTTGATTCTCACCCCCTGGGTACCCAACAAACCCCCTCACTGTTATAAATTTACTTCGTGTGCGTTCTGGGTCCAAGTTCATGGACTTCCAATGGAATGGTGTTCGATGGAGATGGTCTCTTATGTTACCCAGATTCTGGGCGTTGTTCAAGAGGTGAAAATAGAGAAGAAAGGAGCTGCATTTCATAGAGTGGGCAGAGCAAAAGTGGTCTTGAACCTGGACTCGCCGTTAAGTCCAGGGATTTTTATTACGCTAGAAGAGGAGAAAATCTGGCTGGACTTTAAATACGAGCGGCTGCCTCGGTTTTGTTACTCTTGTGGTAAAATAGGGCATTATACAACTAATTGTCCTGTTATTCCCTACGATGAAGCAAAGAATGGTGACCATTGCTCAAGTAAATTTGGGCTTTGGCTCAAAGCAGAAGCACGGGAATCGAGCCCTTTCTGGAACATCTTCTATGATGAGGCTGGGGATGTCTTTGAGGGCATGGAGGAGGATGAAATACTACCAGAAACCCCACTGCAAAGCACCCAAAATGTCTGTCCTGAGAAAGAAAAGAATGTTGAGATTGAAAAAGGGGCTAGAAGTGGCCAGGAACCTCCTTTTGCTGTGGCAACAGCAAGTGCTCGGGGGAAGCAGCTGGCTTTACGTAGCAAGGAGGTGAGGACTGATGAGTGTGATTGTTTTGGGCAAGCTACAGATTGGTCCAAACTGAATAATCCTTCGAATCTGAACAAGACCCTCAAAGGACCTTTGACTAAGAAGTTAAAGAGGAACAACCCCTATAGCTCACTTCCTCAGGAGCTCAACTTGTTGGAAGAAACACAGCTACAAGATACCCCAATTAGGATTTCTGATGAATCTGCTGAATGGGCTTTGGTGGCTAGCCCGAACAAGCCACCGGGTTACAAATGAATGTCATGTGCTGGAACTGTCAGGGGTTGGGCACACCCTTGATAGTTCAAGCTCTACGAGCCTGCGTGGCTCAAGATAGGCCCAATTTGGTACTCTTAATGGAAACAAAGAACCAAGAATCTGTCATCTATCGAGTTAGGAGACGGCTGAATTATCAAAATAGTTTTGTGGTGAATCCAGTAGGGATTGCGGGGGGACTAGCTGTAATGTGGAATGACTCGATTACTGTGCACATTGAGGAAGCTTCTCAAGAGTATATCAATATGATTTGTATGGGGGCAAATTGAATGAATAGAATGAGAATCACACTAATACATGCGCTGAATGTATATCAAGGGAGATTGCAGCTTTGGGATAAGTTGAGACAGATTAGCTTGATAGACACCCTTCCTTGGTTGTGTTTGGGGGATTTTAATGAAGTATTATATAATTGGGAGAAAGTGGGTAGACGAATGACTGAACACTACCGTCTTAATGCATTTCGAGAATGTTTGAAGGATTGCTCTTTGATGGAAATTGAAAGTAAGGGCTGCGCTTACACTTGGGCAAATAATAGAGAAGGGGAAAATCTTGTTAAGGAGAAATTAGATAGGGTATTATGTAACCTAGAATGGAGACTTTCATTCCCGGAAGCTGCAGCCTTAGCTCTACTCGCCATTGGCTCAGACCATAGCCCTTTGCTGCTGGTATGTTCACCAGCCCCAGTTAAAAGGAGAAAGGAATTTAAATTCGAGGCCTATTGGATTGAAGATGCTGAATGTAAAAAGATTGTTCATCATGCATGGCAATCTGTCCTACCGGAAAATGCCAGTATACTGAAGAAACTTCAGGAGGTTATTAAGGCCTTGATTTCTTGGAGTAAAAGGAAGTTTTCAAACAACCATTGAAAAATTGAGGCCCTTAAAAAGGAACTGTTGGTTTTAACAAATAGTACTAGTCTCACTCATGACAAATCCAGGTCTCAAAGTATAAAAGAGGAGATTGAGTTTTTGTGGAGACGGGAAGAAATGTATTGGAGTATGAGGTCGAGAATAAATTGGTTAAAGTGGGGGGACAAAAATACTAAATATTTTCATGCGACCACTATCCAAAGGAGGTAGAGGAATAGAATTTACATGCTGAAATCTTCAGAAGGTGAGTGGATTAGGGAGAGAAACCAGATTCAGCTGATGACGGAAAATTTTTTCCGAGACCTTTACACATCGATGGGCCAAAGAAACATAACCCCGGTTCTGGATTTATGCCCCAGAAAGGTTGGAGTTGAAATGAATGAGTTGTTAGTGGCTGATGTAACAATGGAGGAGGTTAAAGCAGCGGTTTTCCAGCTAGGTGCAGCAAAGGCCCCAGGACCAGATGGTTTAAATGGAATGTTTTTCCAACATTATTGGGATATTATTAAACAAGATGTTCTTATGGCTGTTAAAGAGTTCTTCCAGTCGGGTGTCATGGAACCAGCTTTAAACAGAACATACATCTCACTGGTCCCAAAAATACCCAATCCAGAAAAACTGGAATAGTTTCGCCCCATTAGTCTGTGCAACTTCATTTATAAAATCATCTCAAAGACAATGGCTAATAGATTAAAGCCCTGGTTGCCAGAACTGATTTCTGAGGAGCAAAGCGCATTTGTTAGTGGTAGACAAATTCAGGACAACATTCTGATTGTGCAGGAGGTCCTACATCAATTGAGGATTCGAAATAGAAAGAAAAAGTTCCAGGCTGTTCTTAAACTTGATATGCAAAAGGCATATGATAGAGTGGAATGGGATTTTCTTAAAGCATGCATGCTCAAAATGGGTTTTTGTGAAAAATGGGTTAATTGGGTGATGCAGTGTGTTACCACAGTAACGTTCAGTGTAAAGTTAAATGGAGAACCACTTCCTTACTTCATACCGACGAGAGGCATCAGACAGGGAGACCCATTATCACCCTATCTATTCATATTAGTGGCGAATTGCTTGTCATCGCTGATAGATACAGCAGTGGAGAATCGGAGCATTAAGGGGATTACACTAAACAGATTTTGCCCAACCCTCTCCCACTTACTATTTGCGGATGATTCAATATTTTTTCTAGATGGATCTCTTATTGAATGCCAGAATTTCTCAGCTATCCTCAATCAATACTGTTTTGCCTCAGGACAAGCTGTCAACCTGAACAAATCAGGTATATTTTTCAGTAAAGGATGCCCTCAATCATTGAGGGATAACATGGCTAGGGAGTTAAGGATCCCGGAGATTAGTCACACAGGAAAATATCTAGGAATTCCTTCAGACTGGGGTGCCTCAAAGAAGCATATGTTCTCTTGGATCTTGGGGAGAGTAAACATGAAACTAGAAGGGTGGAAAGAACAACTGATATCGAGGGCGGGGAAAGAAATTTTGTTGAAAACAGTGGTTCAAGCTTTACCACAATATGCAATGTCCATCTTCAAAATCCCAGTCACTATTTGTAAAGCTATTGAGCGGAAAATAGCCAATTTTTGGTGGAAAAACAGTGATTCAAAGGTTGGATTACATTGGAAAAAGTGGGAAACTTTGAAAACCAGGAAAGACAAAGGAGGCATGGGCTTCAAGGACTTAGTCACTGTTAACAAAGCTATGCTAGGCAAACAGGCATGGCGTTTAATCAAATCCCCAGAATTTTTATGGAGTAGAATATTCAAAGGCATCTATTTTCATAGAAAGGAATTCTGGCATGCTGAGAAAGGATTTAGGCCATCTTGGGGTTGGCAAAGCCTACTTATGGGACGGGAAGCAATATCCAACTCGACAATGTGGTCAATAGGAAATGGGGAAAAAGTAGATATAAGGATAGATAGGTGGCTGAAAAGAGGTCTTATTGGGGGACCTGCAAACTTGAATGATCCAAGGAAAGTAGCTGAATTGATTCTTCCAGAAGCAAATCAATGGGATGAGCAAAAACTCGATGCCCTTTTTGATGAACAGATCAAGCAGGAAATCCTTTCCATTCCAATCAAACCTAGTGAGGAAAACGATGAACTAATGTGGACAGGTACAAAGTCTGGCTGCTACACGGTGAAAAATGCCTATAACCTACTCAGACAAGGTACTGCAAGCAAACCAAACACAGAGCAACCCTCCTCCTCATTTCAGCCACCCAAAGCATTATGGACTTCCATATGGAACTTAAAAACTCACTCTAAAGTGAAGATTTTTTTATGGAGCATATGCCAAAATGCAATTCCTACAAGAGAGAATCTGTGGAAGAGGAAAATCTTACCGGACCCTGTCTGTTGTCTTTGTCGATGCGAAGTGGAAACGGTTGAACACATCTTCCTGCTCTGTCCCTGGACCCAGAAAATATGGTCAGCCCCTAACCTGCGATTGCAAAATATGTTACAGGGGATAACCCGTTTTGATGCCTGGATAGCGAGTATAAAAGAAAATCAGAACATAGTTCCTTCCCTTGAAGAGGTGGCTTCGATACTGTGGTGCATTTGGGTTGCTCGCAACACCGCAATATTCAGAGGCCAAGACCCGAATGCAGAGGTTACTGTTGAATCAGCACAGATCTTGCAAGAAAACTTCAAAAAATGGGATGTTCAGGCTTCGAAAGATGGAAAAAACAAGGAACCATCAGCTTCTCTTACCTGGGTCGCGCCGGAGAAAGGCGAACTGAAAATTAATGTTGACGGCGCTCTTGGGGAGGGAACGACTGACAGTGCCGTTGCGTGCATATGTCGGGATTTCACTGGGAGCCTCATTGCCGGTCACACTAGATCGGTAAAGGCCTCCACTCCAGCGCAAGTCGAAACCCTAGCTTTGCTCGAAGGTCTTCGGTTCGTACAGAGGAGGAGTTTGGGTAGAGTTTGTCTTCAGTCAGACCGACTAGATTTGATACGTGCTCTTACCTCCGCAGATCAGTTCCCCTGGGACGCGCGTTTGCTTATCAAGGAATGCACTTCCCTTCTCGCGGGCCTTCCATCTGTTAGGCTTGAATTCGGCCCAAGAAGTTCAAATATGGTGGCTGATTGGGTTGCGAAATCTCATAAGAATCGGTGTCTTCCTCGTGACTGGATTTCTTTTCCCCCACAAGCCCTTTGGGCTTTGCTATGTAAGGATGCCCCCTCTGCGGGCCCCGTTGGTTAGAATTTATATGATATAAATAAAAGTCTCGTTTTCGACCAAAAAAAAAAGTAGGTCCACATTAAAGAGAATCGAGCTATATCAAGTTTGAGCTCGATCAAATGCTCATGGGAGTCCATGCGATGTGACCAAGGCACGGGAGAGAAAGTTTTCGACCTATTCGAATTAAGCGGGATTACAATCGTAAAGTTTGAGCAAGCCTGAGCACGGAAGAGTAATTAATAAATGCTTGAGGATTTGAAATTTGCTAAGATAACAGGAAGATGGAGGAAATCTTGCATACACGAGAGCAGTTAAGTGAAGCAGGAGACATAGATTGTATGAACCATAAAAACAGATTGAAGACTTGCGTGGAAGAAATGTGGTGGAAAACAGACACATTCAATTTGTGCCGAAGCTCTACCGATTTTTTTGCCTGAATTTCCTTCGAAATGTATGTTGAGTGTAGTTTTTGGCTTAAATTGAGCTTGTAATCTATAGCGTGATTTTGTAAGGATCACTATACCGTTTGTGTAAACATTGCACTCTAAGTGAATTTGGCCATTTTCTGCACGAGCTAAAACCCGAAAACAAACTTGCTATTTGTCTTCTCAATTGCTTGATGGTCAGATCGATGGACGTAGAGCGATTTTGGTCCGACATGTATCAAATTTCCGTGATTTTTCCCCGCGGGACTACGTCCTATTATTATAACTTATACAGCAAGGACGACGAGTCGATCTAATTCCGGTTCAGGATAAGTCGATCCGCGACCGGAGGGAGCATATCCAAGCATCCAAACGGGTCGAGCCTCAGCGTCGACCCCCTAAAAGAATCATTCGATCGCACGAAGTTTTCAGTCGCTCCTCCATCGCCATCGCCATCGCCATCGCCATCGCCGTTCCTCTGCAAGAATCGGGAAATGGATCGAGGGCAGATTCTGCTGCTAGGGCTGCCGCTGTTCCTGCTGTGCACCGACCTCGTCAACCTGTTCACGCCTCCGCCTCCGAAGCCTCCTCCGCCCCCTCACCTCCGCCCCCAGCCGCCGCAGCACCACCGCCACCTCCACAACCCTCCCGAAGTCCTAGAGTTCCCTTCTGAGGTGATTGAGCTCGTCGCGCGATTGCTTCGAAGGCGGAGCCTTCGTTTGGTTTGTCTAATCGTTTCGTCGTTCCCGATTTCCAGGTGCAGAAGCCGAGCGCTGTTGGCGGAATCGGTCTGGGGAGCACGGTCGTCATCAATTTTTGTTCGTCTTGCTCGTATAGGTACCTTCAGTCTATTCCGTTCAGATATGGATTTATAGTCTGTAATGATGGGTTGCTCCTGCTTCACGCTTCGCTGCATTGCCTGGATTTGGTCGCATGCGCGTTTCCGCTTTAGTGCTAGAACAATGCCGCCGCTGTACAGTGTATGTGTTTGTTAGTCGCGATATGATCGTCCGCGCACTTCTGGTAACAAGTTTGGTATGAGGCGATTGTGCGTATTGCTCCCTTTAGTGGGATATGTTCTGTTTGTGCTCGGAAGGAACAAGCTTGGGATGATGCCAATTGATTGCTTCTTGAGAACCATGGCTTGCCATAGTTGTTCATCCATGTGGATGTAGAGGGTTTGCAATCGCCTTTAAAGACGAAATTGGTGGAGTAACTTCTGTGATATGATTTACGACGGTTTTAGTCACATTAAACTTTGGGTCCTTAGGTCTCAGAACTGCTAGTGTCGATTGAATCAATTCCTGCTTTTGGTATCAAGTATTAGGTTTTCATTTCGTTGCTCTTATGAATTTTTTATGTCAGGGGTACTGCAGTAACAATGAAGAAGATGCTTGAGACGCAGTTTCCTGGTATTGATGTTGTTCTTGCAAACTACCCTCCAGCATTGCCAAAGCGCATTTTGGGTAAATTGGTGCCGGTCGCTCAGATAGGAGTATTTGCTATCATCATGGCCGGAGAGCATATATTTCCGATGGTTGGGATTGCAGTGCCTCCACCCTGGTATTATTCTCTTCGTGCAAACAGGTTTGGGACGATTGCTTCAACTTGGCTTCTCGGCAATGTGTTCCAGTCCTTCCTGCAAAGCTCTGGTGCTTTTGAAGTTTACTGCAATGATGAGCCGGTTAGTTTTTTCTATCTATAATTACTTTATCTATTTTGAAAAATATTGTTGCAGGACATAGATGTCGTGGATCTTCACTTTTGAGTTTGGCAATTGAATTTACACGAGCTATCTAAAACACCGCTGTCTATTTGTCTTATAGTTCTTGGGGCTCTGTTGCCCTGCTAGTTCTGTGGCTTCTTCTTGGAGATTGTTAAGATCCAGAGATGAATTGTTGTACTATAACAGTCACGAGAAAGGCCGTCATTTTGATTGGCATTTGTTGTCTAGCTTTGGTATCATTGTATGATTCGATCTATCAATGAATTATTTTGACCTTGACTCCTCTTCTCTCTTGTTTTTCCCAGGTTTTCTCAAAATTGAAGGAGGGAAGGTTTCCTGGTGAGATCGAATTGAAAGACCTGATTGGCAGAAGATTGGCAAATTCTAGAGTTACAGATGGCCTTGGGGCTATGTGGTCCTAGTTCTTTAAGCTGATTTGCGGTTCTGGTCAAATCTTAAAGAACCAGTTGGTACTCCCGTTTATCATCAGGTTTCATTTTGTGTACAACTATACGCATGTTTAGCGACTGAAGTTATCTTCCTCTGAAAGTTACTGTAACTTGTTCGATGTTTCTAATCTTAGAACCCTTCACTTAGTGTCATATATATCACAGTGGATTGTGACTTCCTTTTTTCTGGACTAACTCCAGTTGTTTTTTTCTAGAACAACAAATGAAACAAAAATGAACAAACAGCACTCTGTGGGGATCCTCTGCCCACCAAAAGACGAATTTAAATTAAGGTCGAGCCTTCATAGGCTCCGTTGTGAGCCAATTTTGCAGTTGGATATGCATTTGCCTCGAGGAAAATGATGTGAATAGAAGAAAACTAGAGTCATATAGTGAAGGTGGCACGCATGAATTCAGAGTTGTAAATCGAATGAATTGAAATCAGGAGTTTCTTTGCATTGGAACTGTATCTGGAATTGGAAATATAAAAGATCGTGATCTGTTCTTTGAAGCTTACTTCAAGTAGGGCCAATTTCCCCATGGCCGATTTCATCTGTGACATTTACCCAGACAAAGAGGATGGTACTGTTGAAAAGGCAATTTCATCTGGCCAGATTCGTAGAGCATATGCCAGGCCACATTGCGATATCAACAAAACTGCATTCAGTTCAGTATTACCTCACTGTCCCGTTCCCACTCAAAATTAATAGACGCAGATACTTCTTTGCGAGTATAGTCTGACGCTTGCGCAAGTTGTAGGTGATAGGCGAAATTCGAATTAGATTTTTGGGAGTCGTGAAAGTTGCATTTCTTTCTGATATCCAGCGAATCCGTCAAAGATGGAACTATGTGTTTCGACCCTTGACTCGATGGGTTTGCACGAAACAGACGAGTATCAATCTTGGATTACTGACCAGATTGACACCTTAACATCACCGGGTAGCGGATCTAAGCTGTTTCCATCAACAAGATACAAGCAAGATCTAATAATCGCAGAGAAACAGCACGTTTTCTTGTCCCAAGCATTGAAGGAGACAAATTGCAACATTGACCAAACTGCATCTAGGATCGCTTTCCAGTATAGATGCCACGAACAGAGTCATGTTTTCATTGATGATGACAATAGCATCTCTTTCAATATAGACAGCTACTGCTACTAGTAAATCTCCAAGCTTCTGATTCGGAATTTTTCGGTTTGTTGGATAAATTTATAAGCTATGACGGTTCATACTGGGTCCGTCTTTTTTTTCTTTTTCATGTGAATGCTTAAATTCATTTCCATGCGTCATTAACTGAAAACGCCAGCTAATCAACTGAACTCGCAGAGTTGAATCTGTCATGCGTGGTGCTGGCTGTGTGATGTTTAGTACTTGCAGAGCATACTGTTGCAACAATAAAATGATAAAGATAACATTTCAAACAAGTCACTGCATCATGTATTTCACCCCCCAGTAGAACGAAGAAGATTCAAGTATGTATGAAAACTGACACCCAAGGTTATACAAGTTTGATTTCCTGTCAATAAGGAAGAAAGAGTTCAGCCGTTATCAGCCTCTCCTGCCGCCACGATTGCCGCTGCTGACCTTCTTAGCTGGAGTTGGAGGGTCATGGTTACGGTTCGCCGATGGAACATCATAGTCGTTCAATCTCACTTTCAAAGATCTTCCTTCCACCATCCATTCATCTTCATAATCTGCAATCATTAAGATATTTGAGTCCTTTTGGCCAACCGTTGCCTTTTTAAGTTATAGCTATTGCTGACAAAACAAAATCTCATTGGAGTGAAAAAGAAGATCCCAAGAAAGATTTTTAGGAGATGATGTTTGTAGAAATCTGTCCTATCGATTGCAACAAACGCCACGACTTGCTCCTTGTGAAAATTCGACTAGCATATTCAGATTATGGGTCCACCGACTACATTCGTGATGATTTTGTGCAGTTGATGTCTTCCGCTCTGGTGTTGTTTAATTGAACGAGCTCTTGCAACTGATCTTTTTCTCTCCTTTTTAAGCCAGATTCTACCAGAACCGTTTCGTGTGCCCATTCACTTTCATTTAATGAGCTGGATTCCGCCTCATTGTTTCAAAATCTTTACCCAAACTGAGGCCCCAGAAAAAAAGATGGATAACAATCACTAATAACCATGGCAGCAATCAGATAAATTGGTCAAAGGAGTGATTCAAAAAGAAGAAGAAAACATTTTAGCCCTGTAACGCCCTCCCCCAAAAAAAGAAGAAAAAAGCACTGTGCCCAAGGCACGAGACAAGACAGGCTTCGATGTTGTCGTGGCCTGTATAATTTAATCGTTCGTTCCAGGTTCACCTAGCTGTAATGCACGCAGTATTTACCATGCCATCTCCACAAGTAACAGAGAGAGAGAGAGAGAGTGTGTAATTTATATGACTGCAATTAGCAGAGCGTCTCCAAGCCCAACCATGCATCTACCCGTGTGCAGTGCATAAAGAAGTGATTAATACCAAGAAGCACGGCTCGAGGAAGTGACTTAAGACCCAATGGCAACAAAGAACGCACAAAAACTCAAATGACTTGAGACCCAATCGAACCCGTCTACTTTAATATAGGTTACAGCCTAGTTTTCTTATTTAAGTTCTCAAAATGAACATGCCCACATGCCATCTACATCATCCAAGACGCAACCTCGCTCTCACTGAGTCAGTACGCATATGAACAGTCAAGCTCTTCCTGCAGTCGAGAGCTTCGTACCATCGTCGTCTTGTCAACTTCCCCAGAAACAAACGTTTTTTAATCGAAACTGAAAAGCTCTTCACAAGATTTTATGGCTGCGTTCGACCACTGGCCAACTTATTTTCTCAGATCAGTCTGCTGAAGAACAAACAAGCTGTTTCTCTATTTACCAACAGAGAGAGAGAGAGAGAGAGAGAGAGAGGAAACGTCGGGTTGGGAAGAAAAGAAATGAACTCCCGAGAAAAGATTGTTTCATTCAACCGGCATAACAAACAGCGTTTCGAACCCATAAAAAGGATCAAATCAAAGCATGCTCATTCAATGCATGTTGGCTTACCTGATGCAATGCCAAGCGCAGCGGTGGGCCGTCCCCAACACAGCGTCGCCGAATCTTGGAGCAGCAGCAGCAGCAGCAGCAGCAAGCAGAAGAACAAGCTCCCTCTAAACGACATCTTCTCTCTCTCTCTCTCTGAGATCGCCTGACCAGGACAAGATTATGCAAGTTGGTCACGAGAGATAGACCAGACCAGGCTACTACTTATAGGCTAAGTTGTAGCTGACAGGGCACGTGGGGATTTTAGCAGTTGACGTTTGCCAACTTCGGGGTGGCTGCCACGTTTTGGGGATCCAGGGACACAAACCCCAAACCCCCCTTTCCTTCCTCCCCAATCATCCTGGCCGTCCATTTCCATTGGGTCAACAGGCTTGCTGTCAACGAAAAAAGGCAACTTTTGACATTCAAAAGTCGTAATTGTGTTCTTTGATGAGATGAGCCGTTATTATACGCGATCTCCTTTGTGGGGCTACCTCATTTCAACGCTGCATCTCCACCCCAGGTGATGTATGAACCAGCTTATGCTAAACATTGTCGAGGGCTTTTCCTCACAAAAGATGCCAATCATAGTCCATGGATTTAGTAAATTTTCTCCTGCGGCTTATCCTACCTGAAGCTCCCGTGCAGGTAATAGAGGCACTATTGTTCAATTATCTGTCATAACCATGAAATGATCCTCTCAGGCGATCCTTTTGTAGAGGGATGTTCCTCTTACACTCGTAGTTTCTGAAGGATGAGGACCCATTACGTAGCAACTACATCGACAATACTAGTATTGTATGCATCATTAGTCCGATCATTTGTAGGAACTACTCGTAGGGAACTTGGAAAATGAATTTGTTTATCCTAGAAAGTTTCGGTGTCCCCGATTCTCTTCTATTTTGACCCGACATCCGGTTCATCTTGTCTCTTGGATGATTTATGAGTAGGTAAGGCATTCCAAGGATTGAGAAGACTTAAATTATGGTAGATGAGTGCCCTGCCAACTGGTTTGCAAGTTAAGAACGGATAACACTATTAATTCACCAACACATATTCAGAGGCAAAGAAAAAACATATATGTTGGTCCTTGCACACACATGCATGATTATAGACATATTTATGGACGTTGTTTCTTCTTTTATATGTATTTTTTTTAAGAAAAGCTCTCATTATATACCCTTGCAGTACCCATCTTTGGTAGGTAGATTCATGAAGACTCGTCCTCTCTCTTTCTGTCCAACAATGCAGACTCATTCCTTCACCGACAGAACAATAAAAGCAGTCGCAAAGCAAACCCCATAATTTATATGTCCTTCTCCTTTTAGGCTTTGGTAAAGATCCAAACCCTATCTCATAGCCCACGATTTGTTAGTAGACCAAAAAAATACCAACTTTTCAATCGGAAAATCACGCATGAAACCGTTCTACTTTTAGGATTCGTGCCCTACAAATATATATAATTCACTTCAATCTGGGGGAACTTTATTTTAAGTACTACCGACGCCGTTGACTCGTTGAAGCAGTAGTTATTGGCCACAATGCTATCTTCCCAGCCTATGCAGCCATTGATTTTGCAGCACTGAAAAAAAGCTAACTGGGTCTCACGGCTAAATCGGCTGGTGCCCTGGTCAAAGCACCCAAAGCTTTCGGCATCAACTCCACCATAGGGTAGAAGTGCCTCATCATGCTGGCCCTAACCATGTCGGGTAATTTCGCATCATCAAGAATCTAAAATGGATACATGCACCGTGTTTTCTGAGGGATGAAACATAGACAGCTACACAAACAACCCAATAGAAAGCAATGTAGATATGCGGAAGAAGCCTAATCGATTCATTGAATCCCAATAAAAATTCAAGACACATTAGCGCACAAATATTCCATCCGGGTCATTGGGCGCTTTGACTCCTACTCACCTTTGCAAGGAAAATAGCTATGCCTTAACACATATCGCGGTGAAACATAATAACTTAATGCACTAGTTGCTTTACAGAGCATTAAGCAAAGAACAAGGAAGGTGATGGAAACACGTGGTTTGAAAATAGAACTATTGCAACCGCACATCATGCTGGTCACTTCAGCTACAAAAAAACCCATACCTCCTCTCCTGACCACAACACTCTATCAGATACAGGCACGGTTGACAAATCCAGGCATGGACAGAGACTTCTGGGCTCAAGTACATAGGCCGACCAAATGGAACATGATTAAGTGATACAATGAATACGATCGATCATCTTTTCTTAAACCCATATGTCTTCCGCTCATACAATAGATCTGTTTTGGCACTTCCTAAATTGACAATCTTGGGACACCCATCCCTATCCTTCTCCTGCTGCGTACACTCCTTACTGTAGTAGGTATCGGAGATCCCACTCCTCCACAGATGACACGCCTACCCTGAAAGGAGCCATAGTTGCACTCATCACAGACTCTAACGAGGGTGCGAGGACGAACATAAGAGTCACAGATGACACATTTCCCGTCACACTTCTCATAAAGGCGTCCTAATAGCGCTCAGCTCCAACTGCCTTCAAGCTGCGATAGAATCTATAATTAGGCTTGAGCACAAGGACCTTCGCTTCACAATCACAATTTAAAAAGAAAAAACAGAAAGATAAGAATCATGCTACCTCTTTACCGAAACAATTATAGCACCTCTCAAGACACAAAATCCAGAAAATAAAATAGATTACATTTAAGCAAATAAAGAACGAGACAACCAAAATGATCAGATGTGACAAGCCAAAAATCTTGCTTGTATCACCAAGCAATGGAGTTGATCAACTGCAAATCATGATAGATAATTGCCTCTGTGAAGTGGCTGTCTGGATTCAGCCAAAACACGTACACATACATACATACATATGTGTGAAGAGGGATTCAACGACAAACTATGTCGAAATCAACAGAAGGCGAGTCTAGGTAGGCAATGATGTTCTTACTAATCCTTCTTTCCTGTCCCAGTACATCGCAACAGCCCAGTTCAACGAAAGGTACACAATAAATTAGTACATTCACAGATTATTCTTCAATTCAGGGACATACAGTACATTTGAGATGGTTTGTACCGAAGTCCCTTTAGGATGAATTGCTACCGTTCCTTTTCCCATCACAGACACAGCAGAATTGTCTCCAAACTTCACGGTGTTGCGGAACGATTCGTCTAGATCGGAAAACATCTTCTTGTCTCCACTCATGTGGTTGCTACAGCCAGTGTCGAGATACCACATGTTTGGTTGAGTTTCTTCATTCTCATGGCACACCATCAAAAGAGACACTTCTTCTTTTTCTACGAAGTTTGAAATATAAGGATGAGGGACACACACGAAAGAAGAAGAGCTTTCTACTTCCATATTTATTAAACTGACACCATAGCCTTATATAGGCTTTACACCAACAGGTAACTACCGACAACCCACTAACTTAACATGTGCAGCAACAACCCCATAAAATAGGAGAACTGCTCAACAGACTACTAACACGTGAAAACACAAAATAAAAAGGAAATTGACTCATTTAACATTCCCTCCCTTAAACTGATGTTGCAAACAATCAGTTTAAATGACCTTCCCTTAATTTGGAATATCCAACAAGCAGACACCAAGGAGCTTTCTCAGCTTCTGAAACGTGGGCAACTTTAGAGGCTTGGTGAATATATCAGCCACTTGATCTTCACTTCTGCAGAAAACTAGCTCAATTTCTTCGTCCTTTGTAAGATCCCTTAAGAAGTGACACTTCACATCTATATGCTTGCTCCTCCCATGTAGAACCAGATTTTTGGAGAGTTTGATGGCTGAGCTGTTGTCACAATAGATTGTAGTTGCTTCTTGTTGTTTGAACTGAAGCTCTCCAAGAATCCTTCGTAACCATACGACTTGACAGGCACATGAAGTTGTAGCTACGAATCCTACTTCAATTGTTGATAAAGTGACAATTGATTGCTTCTTTGAAGATCATGAAACCGCCCCTGAACCAAGCATGAAGACATACCCTGAATTACTTCTTCTATCATCAACATCTCCAACATAATCGCTATCTGTAAATCCAAACAAATCTGACTTTTCCCCCTTTTTATAAAATAGCCCAAAATTCTTAGTTCCTTGCAAATAGTGAAAAATCCTTTTTGCAGCTTGCAAATGTAACTCTGTTGGGTGCTCCATATATCTGCTTATAAGGCTCATGGCATGCATGATATCTGGTCTTGTCCCTGTCAAATACATTAGGCTTCCAACAATTTGCTTGTAGAGAGTGCTATCTACCTTGCTTCCATCAAGATCCTTCAAGAGCTTCAATCCAAATTCAGTTGGAGTAGTCACAAGGTTGCAATTCTTCATTTGAAACCTGTCCAAAATCTCTTGAACATGCTTCTTTTGGGATATAAAGATTTCAGTTGCAGATTGAATCACTTCTATGCCCAAAAAATAATACATCAATCCAAGGTCAGTCATTTCAAATTCATCCATCATAGACTTCTTGAATTTGTCAAACATGGCACTATCATTCCCAGTAAAAATAAGATCATCCACATATAAGCATACAAGAAGCAACTTTCCACCATCACCAATTTTAATAAAGAGTGTATGCTCATATGGATATTTTCTAAATTCTTCCTTCAAAAAATAGGCATCAATACGACTATACCAAGCTTGGGGAGCTTGTTTTAACTCATATAGTGCCTTTTTCAATCTATAAACTTTATGTTCACCACCAAGCTTCACATAACCGGAAGGTTGATCAACAAATACCTTTTCTTGGAGGTCACCATGCAAGAATGGTGATTTCACATCCAATTGGAAGATAGGCCATGAATTCTGCACTGTTAATGCAATCACCAATCTGATTGTGTCCAGTCTTGCTACAGGTGCAAATACTTCTTTATAGTCCACTCCAAATTCTTGTTTGTAGCCTTTCGCCACCAAGCGCGCCTTATACTTGTCAACTTCGCCATTCTTGTTCAATTTTGTCTTGTACACCCACTTGACCCCAATTGTTTTGTGTCCTTTTGGAAGATCTGTCAACTCCCAAGTGTTATTCCTCTCAATAGCTACAATTTCTTCATCCATTGTTATCCTCCAATTTTCTTTTTGTACTGCTTCATCAAAGTTTGTTGGATCGCAATCTGAAAACAAAGCAAAATGGGTAAGTGGATCATCAGATTGATCAACTCATGTTACTTGATAGTCGCTCATCCATGCAGGCCTCCGTCGAACATGATGAGG